GTGTGTAAACTTATAAATATATACACAAATTACCTTTATATGTGTATAAAACTTTATATACCTTTCATAAATAGCGTAAAAATAAATTATAAAAAGCTTATAAAAACCTTATAAAAACGGTATAAATCATTTTAAAAACCTTTTAAAAACCTTATAAAACTTATAAAAACGACTTAAAACTATTTAAAACATTTTAAAATATTTGTATCGAATCTCCCAGTAGTAGTTATTATATAGAAGTACCTTATAAACTATATAAAACTTTATAATTTTTATATTTAAAAAGGGGTATTTTTGAAAATGGATAGATAAAGGGGGTATTTTTAAAAAGGGGTACACCAAAAGGGGTATTTCTCAAAAATTCTCTATTTAGTTTGTGATTCAACATGTAATAATACAAAGAACATTATAATTTGTTTTAACTTTGAATTTTATACTTGATTTCCTATCTAAAAAAAAATTTGGTATTCCATTTTCTATCTATTATATATATACTACAAGGATGAAAAATATAATTAAACCTAGAAATATAACTTAAATTAAGAGGAATATAAAAAGAGATTAAAAATAAAATTATTTCTTGGGAATTTTTAAGGTTTCACTCTCTCCTTATTGGTCCATTTAGCATTTATTTTTAAATTATAATATTTATTTTTAATTAAACCAAATATCTAACACATTTAGTCATATACTTTAATTCATACTTGAAATCCACACTTTACTATTAAATTGTAACTTAAATTATATAACCTTTCAATTGACTATTTGTTTCCTCCATTTAACTTCAATTAACACACTATAAAATATAATTATAACTCCTCTGATTTAATTATTTCAGAATTGTAACTTACATCATATTTTATCCTATAAATACTCATTTTTACATCCTCCTCCACCATATATGATATTCTCAATATTTTCTTTGTTTAATTTTTAATGTTCTTGCATGGGTTGAAAGCTCAATTAAGATATCATTGTAAGAGCTTGATTATATATTTGGTTAAAACTTTTGTTTTCAATTATATTTCTTCTTCATTTTTTCATTGTTTTTTTTACTATTAAATGTATAATACATATGTATAATAATATTTTATGGTTATAAGGAAATTACTTTATCGATGGATTCAAAAATATTGATTTCTGACCATCGCACCATAAGAAAATCAAGCTAAATAAACCATTTTCATTGTTTTACTTTATATGTTTTTTTCTTTCTCACATATTCATGTATATTTATTTTATTTTCAAAGTATGTAATTATTTTAACAAAATATTTTTTTGTTATATTCAAACCAATTTGTAAGACATTGAAATAAATAAAATTTTATACACAAATAAAGGTAATTTTTGTGTATATTTATAAGTTTACACACATATTTGGATAAATTTCAACATTTTTAGTGGTTGTTTTGATAAAGTTTGAAAAGGGGGTAAATTTAAAAAGAGGTATTTTTAAAAGGGGTATTTTTTAAATTCTTCCAATATTATTTCTATTTTTATTATTAACAATATTATTGTTTTATCAAAAAATACTGAAAAGTACTAAATAAAATTACTATCAAAATTGATTAATTGAACAGTTAATCAACGAATAAATTCAAAAGATATGGATGTATGTTTCTATTGTATGATTTAAGCAAATAACATGTAAAAATGTCATAAGCATTAAAATTTATTTAATCTATTTTTATAAATAATAAATAAATTAAAATAATTAAATAAATATACAACAACCCGCGCATATGCGCGGGACATTACCTAGTCTTAACAAAACGTAACAAATTTTTTTTAAGAGTGAACGATTGATGATATGTTTATTTACGAACGAGTATATACGTGCTTTCACTACCAAATGCTAACTATATTCATTCAAATATAATTAGACATATGTACTGATCAAATTCTTCTAACATACAAATAGTAATTATGGATGGTCAAGGATGCAAATGGAAAGTGCAATGAAGGATATAGCAAGAAGTAGAAGTAGAAAGACATGTGAAACTCGAGAAGCAAGTCTCACTAGCTTAAGATTACTCTTCTCTCTATGTTGACCAAACCACTCTTTGCAAGAACACATCATCCTTCCCAATTTGTTACATTATGATCTTTTGAATTGAAAATATAATTTTATTAACTAAATAAATGATTATTTTAATCAAATGGGCCTATAGCTCAGTGGTAGAGCATTCGACTGCAGATCGAGAGGTCACCGGTTCGAACCCGGTTGAGCCCTATTTGGTTTTGTTTTTTTTTAATCTTTGTTACGAACCTTCTTTGTTTCACGTTCACCCAAGTGGCTTAAAGGTCACGGGATGATCTTGTCTCTTATATTCCCTTCCTTACCAACCCAAATAGGCTTAATGTAAGAATGATGTTCCTAATCTACTCATAGGCTTAATAGGTTTAGAGTTTATTAACTGAGGAAACTCCAAAAGTACTAGTAAAGCACATTATTGCTTCAAACCCCACGGGTCATATTAGCTATGTTGTCCTTATATGTTCGTATACGTATATATATATTTCTTGTATTATGCTTTAGATACATAACAAAAGTGTGATACAAAACAAAAACCACTTCCTCTCTTCCGAAGATATTTGATTTTTTATATTGCTACATATACATATATACATGCATTATTATTATTTTTATATTGCTGGCAAGATTATCTTGAAAAGAGAAATAACACTAATGCAAGAAAACAAAATAGTCCAACTAAAAGAAAAAAAAATGAGTTTTAAAGGATTAGGATAAGGTAATATTAAACACAGTGAGTAGTTGTATCACATGCAGTGATTAAGAAGAGACAACGAAGAGACTGTTTGATCGATTCTTGTCTGAGAGTTACTGTCTATTTCAGTATTTATAAACCTATCTTGAACCAAGAACAAGTCAAATCAAAACTCAAGAATCTTATATAAAACTCTCTGATTCTTGATTCTTTCTTTATTCTTAGTTTTCTTTGTGGAGATGGGGAATTGTTCGCAAAGAGCAGTATCTGACGGTGGTGGTTTAGTTCATGTAATTGAGACAGATTCCAGAAGAAACATAATGGAAGAATACTACAGAACCCGGAGATGCACCTCGTTGCCTATAACCAGGGAGAAATCATTAGGGTATCTTGTTAGACAAGGTACACCAAGTCCTAGAGGAGCTGGGCCGAAGATTCAAGTGTCGCCGCAGAGAAGGAACGGAGTTTGGAAAGCGAAAGTGGTGATCGGAAGTAAGCAGCTCGAAGAGATTTTGGCTGTTGAAGGCAATACACACGCTTTGATTGATCAGCTCCAGTTTGCTGCGGCAGAAGCTTTGGTTTCTTCAACCTCTGCCTCGGACATTGTCAGAGTTAAAAGCTTGTCGTCCAGGTCCGGCAAAAACAATGAGAACTACTTCTGTTAGGTTCGATGATTGCGGATTTTGTGCCGCGTTTCTCATTTGTAATCCTTGTAAGCATAGTGTGTATAATGTACATAAGGTAAACTTGTTTCAGAAAGTTAAAAACATAAAAGAGTGTATTTGTATTCCATCATATGATCAGTTTCTTTTGGTTATGGTCATGCTTCTTTATTCAATTTGGTTTTGGTTTTTGTTTGGAATTAGATCATAAACCGAAATGTTTACTCCTACTCAGGGTAATAGCTGTTTGCTGGGGGGCCTCGAGAGGGAAACACATTACGACCAATTCAGGAAAGAAACAAAAGAAACAGTTACATGAGACAATTAACACTGGAAACCACTACTTAAGCAGACACACATGTGTCGTGAGGTACCACATTGTTCTTCTTCATACACGCGATTCCATTTTCTTGACAGCTTTTTCGATGGCTGGGATGTTTTTCTTGAAGGTTGACCATTGCTCATCTGTTAAACTTATTCCTGGATAACACATTACAATATATCAGAGACAGGAAATGGATCAAAAACATTACTCAAAAACCCCAATTCTATATTCTGACTTATTCAAAAGATTAGTACTTGCACGTATTCAAATACTCGAAAACTAGGAAAAATTGTTTGAAAAATCCAGAACAAGCTTTAAAACCTGTGAGGTTAGACTAAACTACACAACTGAAGAATGATTCTATTTCAACTTTTCCAAATAACAGATCAGCCAAAATGGTTTCTTCTAATCAGCCTTTACACTAAAATGAAACTTTCAACACGCAAGCAAAACAATAGCAACTCTCTCAATCCCCATTGACTTCAAAATTTCGATATCGCAAACACAAATTGCTCTGATACAACTCAAAAGTGGTAACTTGAAAGAAACAACTTACACATAAACACACAATATGGTCAATAGAAGATGCATTTGGACACACACAAAGTCGGAGATTTTGGTAACAAAATTGGCTATCATAGAACTAAAAGAGAGCAAAGTACCTTTAGAAGTGGGAAGCTCTTTGCCATCTTTCTTGTAATACTCTCTAATTGAAACCAAAGTCTTCCCTTTAAATTCCTGAATCGTCACTCTTCTCTTATCCGATAGCTAAACACACACAAACCCCAACAACAACAACAAAATCATCATAACTCAGTCACAATTCAAACACTTCAATTCACAATTCAAAACACTTCAATTCACAAAATCAAGAAATCGAATTGGAGAAAGAGTTAATGAAATCGAACCCTGCAAATGATGAGATCGCCGTCATCATCAAACTCGTTGCTTCTTCTTCCTCCTTTACCACCACCACCACCATCTTCTTCTTCTTTTTCTTCTTCTTTTTCCTCAGGACACTTGGATCTCTCTTCGTCGAGGAACGAGTTCACAACTACTCGTACATAAGATTTGTGAGACGGCTCAGAGAGATCGATACCGAGTCTCTCCGAAGCGAGTTTACGGACCTTGAACTCTGTCATCTCTTTCATATCTGATTCCTTGAGTATCTCCCTCACAGTTCTCTCGATCTTCTGCTTCGTCTCATTCTCCATTTTTTTTTAGGGTTTTTTCCTCCGCCGTGATTTTGAAATCGGTGAATAGAGTTTTTAGCTAAATCGGGTTATCGGAAAGTTTTATGTAGGGGAGGAGGGGTTTAATACGATGACGTTTTATTGCCGTTTATGTTGTCCTACGTGGCATTTAAATTACGTCACTCTCTCTCTCTGTATAAAGTTTACTTACGTCATCTAAACCGGAAGTGAGTTTTTTCTCGTTTGATGATGACAAATTCTATCCGGTACGGTACGGTACGGAGGTGAATTACGTAACCAAAATCTTCAAGAGTAAGATGCGTCACCAATGTACTACTGAGCTAAGTATTGTACACAGTACATAACAATTTTGCAATACTTTTGATCCAATTACTCATTCTCGCCAATGGTTAAATCCCAAAATCCAAATAGAAAAAAATAGATCAACCATTCCAGAAGAGATGAAAAAAAAAAAACATCCCATACATGTAGTTAAAAACTAAAAATAATAATAACACTGATGAATCTAATAAGCCAATTCCCAATATGCAGTTTCTTTCTTTCTTCTTTATTTTCTGTCCACTTGAAAATAAAAAGAAGGAAATGAAACCAAAAAACTAAAGATTTTTTTTATTATCATCAGTGAACAACAACTTGTTGATCATCGATGAGCATCACCGAGCTGTGATGATGAACCATGTGCCACCTTCCATTATGGAACTCGAACACATTTGTGATCAGGAACGGACCACCGTCCACGTTCAGGTATGCTTTCATGGTGACCCAAGCCATGTCCGTTAGTATCCGAGTGCGAACAGTGTTGACCTGAAAGTCAAACCCTTGTTCCCAGTTGAAACAGAGTTGCCAGCTTTGCATCACTTCATTGTACCTGTAAATGGACAAAGCAAAACGTAGATGGTTCATACCGAATTCTCTCTGTTCTTTCAAACAAATCCACCAAGATGTATTTATCCCATTTGCGAAATGACCATATTAGGGATAACAATATCCCACATCCGAAAGAAGCAAGGGATCTTGACTAGTATATAAAGATATATGGGCTCATCCACTACGAGCGAATAGGCTCATATATCCTTATATACTAGTCAAGATCCCTTACTTCTTTCTGATGTGTGATATTGTTATCCGTAATTGTGTGGAGTAGACTCAAACTATTGAATCACAGTTACCGTTATTATTCAAGGATAGTGAATATGCTGAAAGAATCCAAATCCTATTATAGCTAGATATACAAGTATTAAACTGTTAACAATGTTATCCTATTATCCTATTGCTGTAAATCTTTTGCTTCAGCGTTTCAACTAAATCAAACAATACAATTAACATCTTCTATCATTAGCAACTACATAAAAGCATTGTTCCGCTAGTATACTCAACCTTAGATAACATCTACAAGACCCCTCTAACACCTAACAACATAAACACATACCCTAAACCGTTACAGAACATGCTAGTATTAGGATGACATAACCGGAAACAAAATGATAACAGTAAAGACATTCCTCATTAGCAAAAAAGCAAGACGGTGAAAATGAAATGTGCAGTTGTGATTACCCAGAAAAGAGTTCGCCTGAGGCATGGATACACTTGACATAGTCCGAGTTCAGCCACAATCGAGCCATCGCTTGAAGCGCTCTGTCTCTAATGATGCCGAAGAATTCAGTATTCACACTAATAATAGCTCTAGTAGTTGCATAGTAAGCTTTCCACCCATTGACTGGAGTTATACCATCTTGTTCCATAGTAAAATCCTGGTACACCAAATGAAAAAACACACATTGATTTCAGCAAACTGCTAAGAAACTACATCTTTTAAACCTAGAATCAAAAGCTAAGTGAATAAGTGAATTAGTCATAACTAACCTTGTGATAAAGAGCTTTCCAAGCATTATCATCATTAGCAGCTTTCCTCATCAATGAATTAGTCATAGACAAGCGACAAAGACTTGGATAATCCAAATAACTAAGCGCGTGAGTCGTAATTTCAGGAACCAACTGCTCCATCATCGACACTCCAGGCTTATCATCAACCACCGCGTTCGTCACAGCCGTAACCTCCCTCATCTCTCCGCCACCACCGAGGGGAGGCGTACCACCGTTCGCCAGCGGCGTCGACGGCATAGATTTATCGTCCAGTTTTCTGACAGATCGAGACGCGAGGAGAAGTGGTGGGGGAACACGATTGCGATTGATAACTGCGAGTATGAAAGAACAATAAAAGCTAATTACGCGGCGAGAAGGAGAAGAAGTTAAAAAAAAAAACACAGATAAAACCTGAAGGCGACGCACTTAGGGTTTAACGGCGGTTTCCTTCTTCTGCCGGAACCCTAAAATTGAATCGGAGAATAAATTTGGCAGAGACGAGGAAGGAGAGATTTGCAAAAACTTTTTTTTTTTTTCTCCAACTCCGTAACTGACCAATTTGCAAAATGTTTTATCAAAAAAGTGTCACTGTAGGAAATAGCCTTGAGTATCAAGGGTATTATAGTAAACTTACATTTATGTTTATCCAAGTGTGTCATTTTTATCCAAATACGTTGTCGTTTGATCGAAGGTGCTCTCTTTAACCTCAAATTTCTTGTGAACCACGCTATTACATTATCATCTTTGAGCTCTTGGTGTATTGAATATATCTTCTAATCTATAAATATCTTTTTTGTTAAGACCTTGTTGTAGTGACTATTGTCAGTTTCAGACACATTTAGGTCTGTCTGATAGGGTAAAACAAGAATTGCTTCTTTCTGTTTTTTTCTTGGCCTACGAGAAGACAAAAAGAGAGATGATAATAATAAGCTATTTACGTTTTTGTACTTGACTAGTTTGTTCTTCCTTCATCTTCTTATTTACGCTGATGATCGTCATTTGCACTTGTCCTTGTGATGAGCTCCAGAGGAAGCGGTTTCAACGTATTGCTCAGATAGTTTCTTGATCTTGTCGCCTTCTTTGATCAAGAAGTTAGCACTCTTTGCTTTGCTATGATACTTCATCACTTTCTCTGTGGTTTTAGTCACTGCCCATCTGTACTGTTCCACGTTTATTACTCCGCTCTTGCACAATGGTCTGATATGTTCTTTGATGTATGCTTCCACCTTAGGGAAAACAATAAAACCAGTTCAAGAAATAGGAAATGAGAATTTTGAGACGTGACTTACGAGAGAGTTTTACAAATTTTACCTTCTTGGTGACAGAGTTACTAAACGCATCAGCTTTGCTTTTCTCTTCTTTAGAAGGCTTCTCACTTGTTTTCTCTTCTTTAGATGGCTTCTCGCTTGTTTTCTCTTCTTTAGAAGGCTTCTCGCTTTGATTGCACTTCTCAATGTTTTTCGGAACTTTTTTCTCTTTAATGGAAGTGTTCACAAAGTTTGAGGCGCTGAACTCCTTGTGTGTGTTACTCTCACACTCTGAATCAGGTACTTTAGCTTCAACACCATTATCAGCAGTTCCTTCAACGAGAGGTTTCTCAACTAGTTTCTCTATACCAGGTCCATATAGTTCTTCACATTCAGCAACAGAAAGGATTTCACCTCCTTCTCCTTCTCCTTCTCCTTCTCCTTCCCCTTCTCCCTCACCCTCGGCCTCAACCTCGACCTCAACCTCGGGTAGAGGCTCTATAGGAGCAGCGCTTTTCCTATCGTCTTCGCCATTTGTGGTCCCCTTCTGGTTTGCAGTTGTTTCTTCATTTCCCACGACTTCAGATTGATTCGAACACTTTTCAGGTTGAACAGTGGAGAAAACTACCTTCACCTTAGTCAAACTTTCATCCGGCTGCGTTACTGAAGCTTTTCTAGCCATGGTAGCACTGATATAGTCGTCTTCATCCAATTCATACTCAAAATCCCCGAAGATGTCCGTATCAGGAACGGAATCCATGTCAAGTACATTATATGGGCCTGCCGGCCTTGTCTCGTTCATGGAACTGTCTCCTTTCTCTGGAGGAACTTCCGTTGAGCGGGTCGGGCTGTTTGGTGGTGAATCAGCAAGACCTGCTGCTCTGAGCGCTTGAAGGATGGCTGGATCATCTGAATCTTTACCACTAATACGTTCTGACTCGTTAACAGCCATTGGTGATGACAAATTTGGTTCTACAGCATTATCCATCGCCTTGCTCTCTGAATGATGCAGTATTTCTTGTGAGCATAGATTCAGATACACAACTTTGCTACTTGATTTATCCGCGATCGCTTTCTCAATATTTATAGCATCAGCAACGGCTAATTCTGTTGCTGCACTTCTTCGAACAGACTGAAGGTTTTCTTTCTTTAAGAAATGTTCTGTCATGCGATATAATTGTGTCTGCAGCAACAGCGATTTGCTTAGGAACAAAAAACCAGCACATGTGCAAATAATAAAGCTAGCTATTCCGATGTTAATAATGTTTTGCAGAAAAATCAATAACAGATTAGCCCCAACATTCCGTATTGTCAGTTTAATGTGTGTAACCATAATAAAAGCACATATGGAATTGATGAACCTAGTAGAGCAGATCTCTCATAGATTTCCCTAACACATGACATGACTGCCTAATATTTGTAAGAACTAACACACCCCACTCCCCTCTCATCTGTTTTTACTAACCGAAATGTGTACGACTGCTCAGCTTATTCTACCATATAAAGTGACGTCTTATTCAATATCTGGAACCCAAGTAACTCACTATGAACCTAGCCCTAACCAATGCCACATGAACTGGAAAGTAAAGTAAAGAGCTATCCACGTACCTGCCTAACTGCAACAGGAACTTTATTATGGCGACTGGTTGCAAGGCTTGGTCTCATATCAGCTGGTAGTTGAGCCTGATAGCAATGATAATAATAAATGTGCAACAATCCCAACACACCAGATTTCTAAAAAGTAACAAAGTAAAATAGACGAGAATTACACACCAACAATGGATAAATCCCTTTGAGCTCGGGAGAGCCTTCTTTGTCTTCGGTTGAGTTGTTGCCAGCTAAAGCTTTCTTTCTTGCAAGAACCTGCAATGCCCATTTCCTTTTGTCTTTCTTGAGATCATCGGGATTCTCAAACACTTCCTTAGAGTTACTCGATGCAAGATTAGGTTGTCCATCTGACTGTTTGTTTCCCGGGTTCAGTTTTGATCCAGCTTTTAAGCTGCTCCCCTTGGCATCACTAAACTTTGGTATGGTCTTGCTGGGTTCTGTGGGTTTTGCATTGTTTGGTGAGTTCCCTGTTTTTTCCGGTGCCAAAAGAGGCTTGAGATTATCATTTCTTGGGAACACAGAGGTATCTGCCAAATACAATCTGGAGAGGATAGGATTTGAGGCCTGTTGAGTTTCAGATGAAAAGTTTGTTTTGACTCCAGCTGGTTTCTTCTTCAAGAGGCTAAGAACAGACTTCAGAGTTTCAATTTTTTCAGGCTTTCTAGTTTGTAGGCACCTATGTTTCCAAAACTCAACTTCACAGTCCCGGTGCCATGCACTTTTCCGCTTCCCATTTGTATCTGCATAAATTTTCTTCGTGAGATTCTCTCTGACTTTTCCTTTCTGCAGCATCAACTTCTTTGCCTTCACAGCCAGAGCCATATTTTTTCTAGGTGCTTCTTCAGTTTTGGGTCCTGCCACAGCAGCTCTAAAGGCAGCCAAAAGTTTTGGATCGAATTGGTTATCTCTTATGTCCTCCATCGATTTGTTTCGAACGGCTTCTCTTATTTCTTTCCTTAGTTTTTCAACCAGAACCATTGACTCTTTCTCATCTTCTGGTGTCCTTTTGATCTTCTTTACCCTCAAACCAGCAGCATTCTCTCCTTCTGAAGACTTATCAGTAGGATTTGAACGCATGAGATTTTTTACACGCCCAGTTCCTTTAACAATGCTGAAAATATCAACAGTTGTATTGTTTGGAGGGGATCTGCTCTCTTGGTGAACGGTAGCCAAGTCTTCCTCTTTCTCGAGTTTGGGTATATTGAGAGATTCGGAAATCTCAGGTTCAGTTTCTGAATTGCCATCATCGCCACTGGTAAAGAAATGCCACGATGAAACAACAAAACTCAAACAAATCCACACCAAGTAGAGAAAAGAGGGTAAGATGGTACCAAGAAAGGAACAGATTTCATTTGTGAAACTTACCTGAAATCTGAAAGCTTTCTCTTTAAGCTAATAACACTAGCAACATCTGAACTGGAAATGGCCGTAGTGGAAAGATCTGGTAAACGCATTACAGTATGTAAGACCCTTTTTATTTATGCAGATGCAGATTACATTTAAACATAAAGAGGATGAAATGAAGGAAGCAGAAAAAACATGCGAACAAGGGGTAGTATGTTACTTACTTTTTTGATCATTCATCGACAGACAATCCTTCTCTTCAACAGGGTCTACAGTTGTATATAAAATGTTAAATTATTACTTAAGGAAAAAGCATATTAAGAATCTATAATGGTTAAGAAATTACAACTAAGACTCAAAGAAAATTGTATTACCACCAAATTAACTCTTGGTCAATCAATATACCTGTTCTATTCTCTACGTGTGCAACAAAACATGGCTGATCTAAATCAGAAATTAGTCTTGATGATATATCATGTGGTAAGGACAGCTTGAGCTCTAATTTTACGGGGACCTGCTCTGTATTTTCCTCCCGACAGAGAATTTTCAGATGCGACCTATCTGGCTCTCCATCCACTTTAGCTTGAGATGACGATGGGTTGGTATTACTTGGTTCCATATGACACTCGTCTCCTTTGACAATTGATACAACAAGAGCTGTCTCGCCTTCATCAGCGACCGTAACTGAAAAGTTCCCAGAGTAAATAGCCTCGGCTGAGCATCCACTATTTGTCCTCTCAGAAATATCCAGAGTCTTTCTTGTCTCCGTTAGTGAGGTATCAGGCTGTGTCTCCATTGGTGAGGTATCAGGTTCAAGTGGTTTTTCATTAGCGAGACATCTGTGGACATAAAGCAAATGAATGATAAGATGGCTGAGAGAACATATAGAAAAGAAGAATAATATGGATAAGCCTTAGATTTCGCTCAGGTTTGGTACGTAGTGTCTTTACTAGTTAAACACAGAACTGGCACACGGAAATGATAAAAATAATTCAAGAAACTATACCATAAAAATCTGTTTACCTAAAAGACTAATAATTAAAGCAGCAATATAATGAAACAACACTGTTGAAATTTATCAAGCCATGGATTAAGCAACTATATGTAGTCAATACGCCAACAAAACTTACCTCGGACATATCCATGTATCTTCTGATGCATTTTCCAGGTCAAAACCCACGCAAACAGCATGATACCTATTACCACAGATGAAAGCAACAATCAGTAGACCATATAAGAATACTGTAAAGATGAACTATCTAAAACAACAATAAAGTATAGAAAGATTGAAAAGGTTAGTATCTTTGTGGTGTACATGTCATATCATAAACTCCCTTCGTTGATAGTAATATCATTTAGGAACCAGCAACACAGCTAAGCTATAAACATAGTAGACACAAACATTATGGCACTGTAACAACTAAGAAAGCACCAGAAGTTCTCCAGTTAATGAAGTAGAGTGGTTGGAAAAAAAAAGTTAAACAACAATCAGGACAATGCACACATAATAAACAACCCATGGATAAAATTTAAGAGGTAATAATAGTTACCATATATCACAAGAATCACAAGCAATTGATGTATCAAGGTTGGAATCCCCTCCAATGTAAGTGAACGTGTTACGGATCTTGCAAAGATCACCATCTAAACAGATAACTGCCTACAAAATGATACGGAAAGCTTAATGTACTATGTATTGACTAGGACACCCCATATATGATATACTTACATATTCGTCAATATAGTGTGTTTCGTCAATATCGTGTGGCGGAGAAGTGACAGCATCAGTTTCCTCCTCAATGCAGTAATCTTCATCTCTGCATGTATTTCATAACTTAGCTTAACGTCAGCAGATGACAACAATTTATAGCACATACAGAAACCTATGGTACACATGATTTTCAATCACTTGATCATGCTATGCCATTTAGTATAAATCTATCATTATAAGCCACATGTAGTTGAAGACAGAGACACCACTCAGATTTTTCAGGCAAGCAAAGTCTATCACAACAACGGACATGAGGAAAAAAATAGTACCCTGATATCGAGACCTCATCAACCTTGCTGCTTTCACCTGAATCATACACCTTCACAATCAAAACCAAATACTTATTAATACCTAACTCAACAGCTCCTCCACGCACAAAAATGTATGAGAAATGTTCAGATAAATCAAACAAAAAAACAGATATGAAGTGTCTTACAGGAACACATGTAATCAACTGAAACTCTCTCTGGCAAAGAGGGCAAAGGTTCATAATCGTAGACCAATTATCAATGCAATCAAAGCAGAACCTAAGCATAAGACACAAATTATCAGTCTGCTATTTCACAAAATAGTCCATTAAACACATAGTGGGGATAAATTTAGCAATAACTAATCTTCAAAGAACTTAGGCAACTTTTGTTGATTAAGACAGGATAATGCTAATTAGAGAAAGAAAAAAACATGGTGTTACCAGTGTTGACAGCAATCAAGAACACCTCTATCAACAATAATATCCATGCAAATCCCACATCTTTCCCCTTCAATCCCAGCCATATCCTGTCAAAAGAAATCAAAATGAGAACCAATGCACAAACACTAACACAGTTTTGCCAAAATAAAAAAAAAACAAAGGTTTCTAAAAAACGTGACACGAAGTAACTGAAATGCTTAATTGCAGCAGCTTGTGTTCATGATTTTAACTATGAAGCTACCAGGAATTACAAGTTCTGAGCTCCAGGGTTCAAGAAGAATAAAGGTTAACCCATGATTAGTTCAACCAAAAAGCGAAGAAATTCCAAGTTTAACACTAACATTATGTCCAACTTCAGCAGCTTCATCTTCAACCAAGTTGCTAGCGTCAAAATCGAGCTCCATTTTCTGGGGAAAAAAATAAAAAAGACAAAGTGATCAGAAAGATGAAATCGATTCCTAAGACGAGAACGAAGCGTGAGAAAAAATCAAGGTGAAATTTCTCTAAACCCAGCCACACCTAACCTACCTCGGATCAACAAAACCTATGAAGAAGCTGAGAGAGGAAACAAAAAAAAATCTCAGAACCCTTGATGAAGAAAATTGAAAAAGGCAAAGCAGCGTCCAAGGGCAAAACGGGAAAATTACACGAGAGGGTGGAGATGACGTCACCTCTTTAGCCCTCTTCAAGCCCTCAAATTTTTTTTTAATTAGAAACTTTTGATGAGGAAAGAAAGAATTGAAATTTATGTCTTCGTCTCTCTGAAGATGACCAAAAAGATGGACCACACGAGCTTTTTTAGAAACTTTATGGGTCGAATCTTAAAACATTCTATTTCATGTGGGCCATTTACGCAAATTTAACAATACATTGATCCTAAATTTATGTTTCCCCTTATCTATCCCGTACTTTCCTCTTTTATACAAAAAGACCCCATAGTTTTTTTCTTTTGACTATAGGCCAAAAAATCAAAATTGGAAAAGCTCATCCACACTTTACAGTTGGTTTCTTTTTATTTCCTAAGTACTATGATGAAGCATAGTTTCTAGGTTAGTAGGGAAACACATGTCCACGTGGCGACTATTCCATACATTGTCGGCGAGGATGGCGTTAACGGCGTCTGTAGGATGAAACTGGTCCCACCAGAGATGACCTGAAGCGTCGGAGCAAGCCATCTCCGGCGAGATACATGGAAGCCATCCCTTGTACCTTCCTAGCCCACAACACGCATCTGTTGTCTCATTAAAACCTGTCCACACCACAGAACACACACACAACTATGTTTCAACAGAAGACTCACAAGATGATCAGAAAGTTTTTTAAAGCTGTGTGAGCATGACACTAATGTAATGTTGTTACCAGTGGTAGTCTTTTTTTGTGAAGTGAGAATTGAGATGGAAGTGGTGCTTGCTTACCGTAGAGTTGGTGGTTCCTGAGGATGTCCATAGCGCTTTGGAACACGTCGCAGTAGATAATGGATGCACCAGGAAGCTCACGGTTGAGCTTATCTACTGTGTATCTCATGACAAAGTTGGATTCCATGATCATGCTGTTCACTTCCTCTACACATTCTCCGTTCTGGCTCCTGTATTTCCACAGGTAGTATGGTGCACAGCCAATCGGTGGCAAACCCATCACCACCATCCTCCTCACCTTGACATTGTACAGAGTCTGTGAAACAAACACAATACTTCTCTTATTAGGTGACATAAATCGGATACATTGAAGAGGAAAGTACTTATGAATCAATCATCTTTAATCTATCAATATGCCGGGTTGAGATACCATTCAGGGTTCTACATCAGTATAAACCAGAGATGCAAAATAGAATAAGGGTTGTCATTTGAGCTTAATGTAAGAAACGCTTAGTGTCCTAATCAGTTAAAAGGTTTCACTTTTCAAGGTTTTTGGGTAGAACTATAAAAGTGATATCCTAACCTCAGAATCATACTTGTTTGTCCCTATAGACTCTCCACCAAGATCAGACATATAAATATTGATAAAAGGACAAAGGTCTAACCTTGAGCTCCTGTCTCATATTGGTAGCCAAGAACTGATTAAAATTCCAAGGAGTATAGAGATTCTGCACATTGGAGATGTTCCTGATATAGAAATGTATGTAATCATTCACTCCGATCGATATGTAGAAAACCGAGTTTGAGACCAAACGCTCCGCAACTCGCTCCCCAATACTCAGTATCATCTGCTGGAATGTATCAACAAACTGCTCAACCTGCATAGCAAACGAAACTCGCTGGCCCTGCAACAACAAAGTTCCCCCACAGGATTGAAAAAATTGAAAACGAACAAAAAAATCGGATCCACTAGACAAGCTGAATTGAGTAATACCAGTTCGGATCCACTAGACAAAATGATTCCAGCACCAGCTGATGCATAGTTTACACCTTGAAACATGTCTTCAACAGTCCCAGTTTGTCCAAGGTAGCTAGGAACGAATGGTAAACCTAGACGATCAGCTGTTTCACAAGATTTTGCAGTAGACAAACAAAAACCAAATGATTCAATCTCTATCTCTTTCTTTAACAGTTCAAGAACAACATCAACGAATTTGACAATTTGGCTTTAATTTCAATACGAAGAATCAAGTAAAAGCAAATGGTTCTTGAAATCTAACAAGGAACCCGAGAACAAGAATCAAAAACCCAGAAATTTTTTGGGGAAGAAAGGTTTTAACCTAGAAAATCAACTGGGATCCTTCCATTGCAAAACCTCCCCGTCGGCTGATGCGTATCGAAATCTCTACCGTAAGGAAGACGATCTGCTCTCGCCAAGGTCCCGAGAAAGTTATTAGTTCCGCAATCCACAGAAGAATCGCCGAGCACGAACAATGCCGGCACAAAAGGCAAAGACGGCTTCACCGCCGGAGATTGGGCTCTGAGCGACGGCGATGGAGGTAGAAACGGCGGAATCGAAGGATAAAACGGCGAGATCCTTGGATACAAGTGATGATCGGCGATCAATTTGGGTCTCGTGAAGATTATCAAAAGAGAGAAAACAAGAACGAGAAGCTTGATCGACATGGAGAAAGTGCGCGGGAAAAAAATGTGGAGAGGCTCTGTGAGAGAGCCGGAGAGGTTTTAGTTACAGAGATGAATAAAACGCCGTCGTCTTATATCACCTTACTCGCTTACAAGTTACTAGATCTTTATTCATATAAGCTACACAACACATTGAACCGGAAAAATTATAAAATAAATAGAAGACAAATTCCGGTTTACATATACCGGTTAACTTGATTTATAATTAAAATTAGTACGAATCATTTGTATTGGTATACTTTGGTGTCAAACTTATGATCTTCTTTCCACCACTGATGAATCCCATGAGCTTGTTTAAAGTCTCTTGACGAGCTTAAGTTCACTGTTAAAACTGAAGACGGCATCAGATGTACCGGGTCTTGTCCTCCTAAGAGTATACCGCCCAACGAGTGCTGCGTCGCTACACGCTCTACAAACCCGATTCCGATTTCTTCCATCTTGTTTCGATGCTCGAAGTAGCCTATATACTCTGAGCATAAGTGGTCTCCGGGGTTGACGTACAGCCGCGGGAACCAGTCGGATAAGGAGGCAAATGGGTCGGGAATTGCGGGTAATGCACGGTTGTTTTGGCTGTATTGTTGGGTGGCTTTTTTTGCTAGAGCAAGTCCAGCTGTGATCACACTGCCTACATTTTAGATAGCAGCTCGGATCAGTCGAGTTTCTAAACGATTAATACGAAATGTTAAAGTCTAGAATACAGTTCGGTTTGGTTCAGTTTGTGTGTCATCTTGAAACCCTAAGAACAGTATCTTAAAGAATGACACTAAATGGATTGGTTTGGAAGAGTTTAGTTATTTACCTGCAATGCGTATCCCATGTTTGATCCTCTTATCCTTGATTCTTTCGATAGGAGCAGATAAAAACGGTGGATTGAAGGCGAAACACTCAGGCAAAACTCCGGTTCTAGCTGTTGTTTTCCCAATAAGCAATGCCATGGATGCACCAAGAGAATGACCAGCAAGCCACACATTCGAACCACCACCAACCGAAGCAATTATATTTCTCACCGCTTGGATAGCTATCTCAAACCTTGTCGTCGTGTGAAGCCCGTTTCTGATAACATGGAAATCTAACTCGATGTCACGGGAAATAGAGTCCGCTTTTGTAACCGTTCCTCTGAATGCAATCACAAAACGCGGACTCAGTTCCACGGATTTGACTGTTTGAGAGAGCTGTTGAGGCGGTTTATACTCATAGATACCTCCGAATATGGAGATATCAGCATCATCCACAAGCTTACGAATAAGGCGGAAATGGAAAAACTCAGACCATATTGGGGACAGAGCTAAATCAGGACCTTCCCTTTGTAGCTGACGGTCGCGCTCAGCTACATAGATTCCTTGAACCAAAGAAGCAGCTACAGATCTTCTATGATGTTCATTAGCCCTGCAAATTCAACAAAACAACCAAGAAACAAGTAAAGGAATCATTTTTAACATAAAGGAACAATCTTTATGGCTTTTTTAAACACAAGGGTACAGTTTTAAGCAGGCTTAGCTCCGAACCACAACATTAGCTAACTCAACAGCAATTTATGAACACAAAGATTAAGCTTTTAAGACAAAAGAAAACAAAACCACAGAAGATGAAGAGAAGAGTGAAAGATGCAAACCAATCTATAGCTGTTAAGTGCAATGGCCCAGTGAGACTAAAGTCATCTCTTTCACAAATCATCATTCCTTCTTCTTCTTTCTGTACCACTGACCATATTCAAAATGTTAAATCTTACTCTTTAATTCCCAAAAGCGTTAGAATCCTAAATCCTAATCATAACATTTTCATAATCTAATCTACTTCCAAAAAAATTTGATTTTTGTAAACAACAACACAAAACACAAGCTCAATCAAAAGTTATGATATTGTTAATCAGATCAATCACATAGACAAAAGAACAATGAAACGAACAAAACGAAGCTAGACGAACCTTGTGAGATTGATTCAGATCTGAAGTTTTGTTACTGTCTCAGTGTGATGGTGGTTTTATAAAGAAGTAGTAATGGAAGAACCGAAGAAGAAGAGTGTGTGGGCAATATCCTTAAAAGCTTCAGAAAGAGACATTTCAACTATCACCGATCCGAAAACGACATCGTATCGTCCTCAAGGTTCATTTTTGCCATATAAAGCTAAACATTTGCTTTGTATTTTTTATTTCAAATCTTTTTTGATATAAAAAGCACACAAAAATCGTAAATAATTAATTACAAATGTAATATTCAAGAGATTTTTTTTACATAAATATTAATAATACACAATGTCCCTATATGTCACTAAAATCTGAATCTTTATTGTTTTTTATTTATAATAATTATAGTAAAACCTCTATAAATTAATACTCGATAAATTAATAATTTCTATAAATTAATAAATTGCTCCATTCTATGGAGGAGTAAATAAATCATAAATTTCTCCACTAATAATATTTACTCTACCATGTATTTAATTTTTTCTTCCATTCTAAATCTTATTAACCGATTAAATAAATCAATTATATATGATCATATTTACTATTATTGATAACATTTTCACAATATCTCTTTAAAATAATTTAATTCATTTTTATTTAATTTAATTTTCTATTAATTATGAGTTACATAAATATGCAATAAATAAACATTTTAAATATTTCAATATAGTTTAATTTTAAAAAAAAATTTTGATGAGGTGGATGCTGACGTGGATAGGTTAGATGGAGAGAGAACTCTCCTATTATATATATAGATTAAGTGTGGACAAATATGTTTTAGCAAAAGAAAAACAATTAAGAAAAGTTATTAAGAGGTGTCTTCAGAAGATGATGAATCATATCCATAAGGATGATTACTAGCCCAGTTCCACAAATCTCTACACATCTCCTCAATTCCATATTTGGCCCTGCAACATTGTTTACACAACCTCAAATTAGACCATTTCATTTTAAGTATTGAGGGAGGACTAAAGAAATGAACTTACTTCCAATTCAGTTCACGTTCTGCTCTTTCCGTTGAGGCGTAAACAACTTCAGCATCTCCTTGACGACGTCCAGCGATCACAAGAGGGATGTTCTGAAATCCACAAAAGAAGGTTTTATAAAACTATGACTAAAGAAGAATCCAAGAACGTATAGAGTGGCATGTTCTTTTACCTTCCCGGACGCTTTTTCGAAAGCATCAACCATTTCAAGAACAGATGTTCCATTTCCTGTTCCAAGATTGTACACTTCACAACCTACACACATACCAAAGTTCAGAGATTTAAGGATATGACTATATATAGTAGAGAAGAGAGATCATAATATCATCATATATACCGATATTGTTATCTTCTAGCTTGCGAAGAGCAGCTATGTGTCCATCAGCTAGATCAATAACATGAATGTAATCTCGAACCTGATACCAAACAAAACAACAATGAGACCAAAATGTCGAGAACTCTACTTTTTACATAAAGACATAAAGACATACCCCTGTTCCATCTTTAGTATTGTAATCATTTCCAAAGACAGTGAGGTGAGGTCTCCTGCCAACAGCAACTTGCTGAACATAAGGCATGAGATTGTTCGGAACACCGCGAGGATCTTCACCAATTTCACCACTAGGATGTGCACCAACAGGATTGAAATACCTAAGCAGTATAATCTTCCATTCTGAGTCAGAACCGTATACATCACGGCAGATTTCCTCAATGAATAGCTACAACAACAAAGAAATCAGATTCACACATTTCATCTTCATCAACACTAAAGAGAGTAGTTGTTGGTAAAAGAGAACACCTTAGTTCGTCCATATGGGTTCAATGCAGATATAGGAGACTCCTCAGTACAAGGAACTTCTTTTGGAGAGCCATACACAGTAGCTGATGATGAAAACACAAGCTGGAAAACAAAGTAGGCTAATCATAAGTATCTTCCAAGAAAACAAAAAGGACATGTGGTGGTGGCAAGTGATAAAGAAAGAGACATATACTAACATTTTTGCAGCCATGTTGAGACATAACTTCCAAAAGAGTAATAGTCCCAATAAGGTTATTATTATAATAGAGCAAAGGCTTCTCAACACTCTCACCAACTGCTTTAAGTCCAGCAAAGTGTATCACTGCATCAAACCTGTAAGATGTAATAATAATTCCACGTTCATCACTAAACACCAAATTATATGCATCATCATTGTGCCAAAAGTGAATTAAAAAAGCTAAAAGAATGTTTTCTTTATACTATCAATCATACTTAGTTTCTGAGAATATCTTCTCAAGGGCAGGTTTGTCTCGGAGATCCACCTGCAATTAAGACAAAACATATTCAAGTTTCAACAGAACTCTTAATCAAACAGATGCTTTTGAGTTCTCATAGCAACTAAACAAAAACAATCTAAATTCAGAAGAACTATAGAATTAAATTTACCATTTTCAAACAAATACAAAAAAATATAAATTGGGATTATATATATTATAGACTTTAGCATGGTACTGATTAGGCCTTTTACTTTTATTACACTTTTCTCTGATATTAGATTATAAAAATGATGAGTGTGACTTATAACCACCATTTTTATTATATAAAAAATTCACAAAATGTGTATAAAAATATGCATTTTTAATATATTTTTATACCGTTTTTATCAATCAAATTAACGTTTTTTCAAGTATCTACGTACCGCAAACTGTTTTTTTCTATATGTTAAATTTTTTATACCGTTTTTATCAATCAAATTAACGTTTTGTAAGTATCTACATACCGCAAACTGTTTTTTCTATATGTTAGATTTTTTATTATTTGTGCTACCAGTTAGACTCTAATTATTAAGAAAAAATGATATTTTTATTCCTAAAATTTAGGCCCAGGAAAAAAAAAATCACAAAAACAAGAGCCTTCGTAGTCAAATCACAAATGATCAAACAAGTCAAATCATAAAATCCCAATTATACGTTGAAATCATCAATACAAAACACAAAAAAAAAAATCCAAAGAAAGAATAATTCACCGAACCTGGTGGAAGGAGAGACGTTGACCGTGTTCGGCGGCGAGTTTCTTCACGCGCTGAAGAGAGACGGCGGAGGAATTGTCGAGATTATCAACAACAACGGCGGAGTAACCACCGAGAAGAAGTTGAAGCACCGTGTGACTACCGATGTATCCAGCACCACCTGTCACTAAAACGTTCTTAGCCATCATGGTTTAAACGAACAGAGCAAAAAAAAAAAAGTGTTTTTGTTTGGTTTGGTTTGTTTTGTTGTGTTTTTTTGTGATCTGTTTCTCCAACGAAAGAGTGTTTTTGATTTATAGAAACGGTGATGGTTACGTGAATATTATTATTTTTCATTAAACTTTAGGGATTAGTTTTTAATTAATAAACGTAAACTATATATTATACGTTTTTCTAATTAAGGGAAATGGAATATTAATGAAAATGACACGTGGCGGAATATGGTGTGGTTGGAGATATTACGAGTTTTTGGAAACTGATTTTTCTAACACGTTTTCTTAAAATCAAGGGAATGGTAACGTTTTTGTTTAACTTTAACTAATCAGCCGAACAATATTAACAGAATCTAATACGCGATATGATACTGTGAATAATTCTTTTTTTTTTTTAGTATGTAATTCACCTACCCCAAATTTAATAAAATATAAGATTTAAATGGGTAAATTTAAAGCAATTAAGACGGATAAATTCGCTTGTGTATTAAATATTCTTTTTCTATTATTAATAAATTAAAATTTTGGTAATGTTAATTAAAAAAATATAAGAAGTCACAATTAGAGTTTAATACACATATAAACTTAGTCTAGGGTTATTGTTCATGTGTAAAAATAGAGTAAACTACACTAATGATAGATTAGTCTGGTTTACCTACAACATCAATTCAAAACTATGTATAAGAACACTTCAATTTTTTTTATTAATTGATCTTTGTTTCATAGGTAGTGTTGATTTAGCCAAATTAGATCTAACTCATTTACAAAATTTAGATTTTATTAATATCGAATCTAATTAGACCAAGAAAATCTTAATTTTTGTTTTTAGAAATTATTACTAAGATCAATGTAATTTTCATTTTTTTTGTTATATTCGTGCAATTTTGAGGATTTTTAAGAAAGGATTGTTTTGTAATATAATACCAAATTTTATGTTTGTTTTATATATAAAAATTGCAACTTTATTGATGTTACAAAACTGTGTTGACAAAAAAAAATTGATGTTTTTTTTTCCAAATTACCAAATTCCAAGTGTCCAAATGTATTGTTCTCCATTAAAATCAATATTTTTTTTACATATTAATGTATAACTGAATAGTTTATTTGTTTTATCATAACTAATTAATTTTTTCTATCTTTAAATCTTCGTCAAGGCAACCGAGAAACATGTAATGGTATTTTTGGGTTGGCATTCCAAAACTTTTTGCGCGGAATCTGTTTTTCAGCTCCTGTGATATATAATATTCATCCTCCAGTGGACCATCATATGTTAGTTAACTAAATACTCAAAATAACATTTAATATTTCGCCATCTAAATTTTAATAATTATATATTCATCCTCTTTATGTATATAATCTTCTACATATATTTTCAATATTAAATTAATATCAGTTTAACAAATGGTAAATACTTATAACATTTTCTTTGTTTTTCTGAATATTACAATTAAACATGAATTAATTTATCTTTCGTCACAGGTAAAACTAGTTTTAAAATATCTTATTGTATAACATAATACTATCATCATGATATAACTTTTATCATTTGAAAATGTATTAATATAAATAATTATTATTTTATATTATACATAGGTATAAAATTCTAGAACAAGATGGTGTTGAAAGAAAAATATTCTCAATTTGGTTGAAACTAGTAAGAGTAATTACTGTTTTGTGTATTTTTAATCCGAAAACAAGTAAGTGTAATTAATGTATGTGGTTTTTTAAAAAAAATATAAAGAATTTAAATGGTTGGACTTGGAATAGTTGGGATTGACATACATTTGTTTGTGTATTATTAATTTTTATCAACTTTTTGTAAATTATTATTTCAGTAATCTAAGGAAAAATTCATAGCGAACAATCCCGCGTGTTGCGCGGGTTTTCTCTGTAGTGTTAATAAAAACAGAAGAAATATGTGTACTTTCTTTTTATGGAAACTATCAGTTATTGTTATATCCATACAATTTTGAGATTCTTTTTTTTTTTTTTGTTTTAAGCATTGGTTATGAATACCAAACTTTTATGTTTGATTGATGTTAAAAAAACATATTATTCTCCAATAAAAAAACATATTATTCTCCAATAAAAAACAGTGTTTTAATATTAGTGATATCCAATTAGTATTTTTTTTAGTGCACAAGACATTATCCCTCAAAATTGGGAGGTCACGAGATTTGAGAATATCTCCTGCATATTTACTTTCCAAGGATTTTTGTATTTAGTATCACACATTCTTATATCCTCAAAATAATATATTTTTAATCGATAACTAATGTAATATTTAAGCATGGGTTTTTTTTTTTTTTGGAAAGAAACATTATTAGAATAGTCAAAATTTGTTAATCAATGTGAGCCTTTTATTAAATTCTAATAAAATGTTGAATAAGGAATTCTTCTTTAGAAGCAACAAGAAGAATAGAGAAGTCCAAGACTCCAATGTGTGTGTGTGATGGTGTTGTGTGCACTTTCCACTTGTCGAAGCAAGTGAGGTCTCAAATTTAAAAACACTTATATTAAATTCTGATTAGATTTATCAAAAAAAGAGTCAATGTCAATGCCGACCATGCGAGAGAACACGACTTGAATGATCCTTGGCCATTAGTTACGTAAGATTGACTTGTTGACTTATACGTGTTAAAGTAATTACCGAAAAATATGAAAACATCCTTTTAGAAAAATGAGTTTTATCCTAAAATTCACCTTAACACAATATTAATTTTTTTTGTACATTTGACTCGGTTTGTATCGTTTAGAGTTAGTTATTTAGCATCAGCACCACGAATTTTAAATATCGTCAAAGCTTTTCAACTCTAGGAACTTCGAGAAAAGCAAAAGTTGTCTCAATACCTTCAGCCTTAATGGATTGAAAATAGCTTTTACAAATACTACAACAAGTGTATCAAATCAGTTGACTTTTAATTATAATAATCTGAAATGGTTAGATTTTTCTACAAGCATTATTGGTTAGTAGTTTTAACAGAACCGGAAAAACCGGATTTTCTTACTCGAATCCTACCGTATCTTCAATATCTGGTTCAAATTCGGTTAAGCAGTTGGTTCAATTAAGAATTATCTTAAAACATGTTCGGTTTACAGTTCAGTTCACCAACCAGATAAGTGACATTTTTTTGGAAACCGAAATTTAAACCAAAATTAAACTAAACAGACCAAAATATATATAAAACCGAACCTAAGTAACCAATTTTAACCGATTAAACCGGTTTTACCAGATTTTAACGGGAGAAACAAGAAAAATATCAGCTCAATTCAGTAAAGTTTTGTTAACCAGAATAAACGAAAACTCTGTTCGGTTCATTTCCGACCAGTTTCAGTACCTGATCAAAACCGAATTACCGGCTCTGTTTGTAGTAAACCGAAGGCTATTTTTTTTTACTAAAGAGCTGAAAGGGCAAAATGGTCAATTTCTCTATCCCTCATTCACTGACTAAAGAACACCCAAAGGACAACAAGAAGATTCAAGATTTTTGTTTTTTCTGCTAGTTTCAAGAAAGAGATTCACAAATAGATATTGAATTCAAACCAAACTGCATAAGTAGCATATGTATTCACCCTACCCAAGAAACACCATTGTTGTAATGATCTTATAAATCAGTTTTGGAATCTTGCAGCTCTCCTCCCCCACGGGACCATCGAACGCTGCTGCTGCTGCTGATGCTGATACAATCCAGCGCCATTGCTTCCTACATTGCTTCTATTCTCTGCAAACCTACTCATTCTCAATCTCTCTTCCTTCATATTTGCAAAACGAGAGTCCAGTGTCTGAGGCCATTGCCTCTGTCCATTTGCTTGCTTCTGCTGCTGATGTTGCTGCATTGTATTTGCAGATTAAGATGCTTAATAAACCCATCAATCAATCACTTGCAAATTTTCTTTAGTTATTGATGTCAAAAGTGATAAATGCTTTTCATTAAAATGCTCATATAACACTCAAGATACACATATAAGATCAGTTTTCAAGCACAATTGGGTCTGTTTATTACTCATGATAGGTCTACTAGTTCTTTCTAAATTACAGTTTCTTAAAGTTCGCTCTTGGACGCTTCCAAAGCAAATTTATCTCAAAACAAACCCCTTAGATAACATGCACCCACTAAGACAGTTTATGGATGCAGCTAAAATGGCAGAAGTTGTTTCCCTAATCACTTTGGGTCACATAACCGAATAAAATGTTTAAAAAGCTGATCTAGTGCAGCCTAACAGATGGGTAGGTATACGTTACCTTTGCGACAAACCCTCTCTGTACAGATCTATTCTGAACTGGCGGAGTAATAAACCTGCACAAAAGAAAGAGGTTAAATAATCTGGCAAAACGTTTTCAAGCTGACAACTTGCACCAATAGGTCAACATACTGAAGAAAGAAAATGTTAAAGAAAGAGCCTTTTATAATAGACAAGGAAACACTTTGTGATCCTAGAGCCTTCAGCGCAAGTAAATTTCTTTTCCGGCTGATGCAAGAATGAATAAATTAATGCCTACTAAAGGTAATAACTCCCCAGTTTAGCTACGAAAAAAGGAGCAGTTCTTGAAATTTCCACGGATTTAATCTTGAATTCATCAAGAACACTTCTGGTCCCGAGAAAAGCAAATTCTTTAAGACTTTATCAGGAATCAAGTGCAGAAAGTTTGAAAGACGATCCAGTAACAAGTAACAGTGTATATGAGCATTTTGAGTGCTCTATGCTGTCCCAGTAACCGTGCATCTACCATTTCAATGTCACAACAATCGACCAACAGAACCAAGCTATGCCCTTCAGGATGCAGCAAAAAGACAGAATTCAACATCTAGTAGCTATGAATGCAACTGACTCTCATGAATTGAGTGTGATAACATCCCTGACCATGTACGGTTTCATATTGCACCAACTTGCTAAATCTGACATTCTGACAATTACACACTGACTTCAACAAATAATAGAGAAAGTCTTCAGAAACTCCAATATTGAATGAGCTCGAACTCCTTCCTTCATCTCAAGTATGATAAACCATGAGTGTTTATTCACACCTCCAACTACCCACTTAAACTCAACTACATGATTTGAATGACTACCAATATGATGACCATCCAGGAAGGGATTAAAGAAACAAAAACATTCAAACCCATGTTGCTTTCCACAGAAATACCCTATAGTAAGGTTGGCTAAGAAGCTTGTCGCATCATAAACAAAGAAAGATCATAGAAGACTTTTATCAAGCAGTCTAGACCTTGTTTGATTTGTATTTGTCGTGTTTCCAGCATTATAAGGCCTACCACGCGGAGTAGCAGAAGCAGCTTTACGAGCAACGGTTGTTGTAACAGGAAACTGATTTCCTTGGAAATTAGACCTTCTCTTAGCAAAAGCACCCTGAAAATTATGATATAACATAAATCTCAACAACAACAACCCAAGTGAACAAAGTAAAGACATCAAATTGACCAAGAACACAACAGTACTAACCTGTCTAACATCAGACCGTGAGTCCATATAACGCTGTGCTTTAACCGCACGATTCTTCGCAGCACCATTAAATTTCTCCTTTTTATTCTGCTCAAACACAACAATCACATACCAAATGTTCAATAAAGAATCAAAAGAGACATCAAATCCCTTTGACAAAAGACAGTAAACCAATGTAAGCTTACTGATGCTCTCTGTTTCTTGCCCTTATTCACATTGGTATTACTCTTCTCCATCTTGATAATTTCATCTATTCCCACAAGGCCACAATACAAATATGAATGATCATCAGCTATAAATACAAAAAGGATACATCTTTGTATGAAACTATGAGTAAACACACCTAAAGACATGTCCATCTTCTTCTCAGTGAGTGCAACAGTCTCTGTAGTAATAGGTTTCTCAGTCGCCATCTTCACAAACAGAACACAAATCAAACCAAAACCCAAATCAGGAATAAGACTAAGAAGCAAGGAGATACAAAAAGAGATAAACAAACCCTAGTTTTTCAAACATCAATCAAAACAGAACCCTAAAGTAACCTTGACTCGTTGAGTATTGAGGAAGCTAAAGAGATGAAATTGTTTACCGATTTGAGAAGTAGGTTGTCTCACTCGCAAGACCCAAGAGGAAAGGCCTTTCTTCTTTCTTTCTTTTTTTGGGATCGGACAACGAGTGAAACCAGAGCAAACTGAGTCAACTCGGAAGCAATTTTCTAGGTGAAACAGCAGATGTTATCTATCGAGTAGTTGTCGGCGGCTCCCTACTGAAAAATGTATACGTGGCGCTTTCTCATTCGAAAAGATGATTGGATGTTTGCAAGCCTTTTTCTTCTTCTTTGAACAATCTCAGTTTTAACAATCTCATATAACTAAAGTGTATATTTATTTAATTAATGTTGAAAATTTATCAAGAAATTATTTATCTAAGTTTAATTTCAGTTATAAAGTTTATATTTATAGTATAAAATAAATAAATTATATAATGTTTTAAATATTTTAAGTCATCATTTGGATTCTTATTTAAACTTAATATTCGATGAATGCATGTTAGTAAAGGAACTCATTTCTAATAAGTAGTTATATCACTTATAATGATTATAATGTAGAAAGACTTACTATAAAGATATATACATAAATATACGTTATGAAATTATGACCAACTAATTGATGTAAAAAGTTATAAACATATTATTACAATAAAGAAACAACATACATAAATGCAAATGAAACTACTTTTTCATTATAATATTTCGGTGAAATGATATCCCCTACTATATCCCAGGGTTCAATACCAAATAAATTTAATAGAAAATAAAAAATTATATCAATTTAACAAACTGGAGAATAAAAAAAACCAAACATAAAATAAAACTTTTCGAATTACACAATATATGAACAAATATAGGGATTTATGTTATGAGAAAATAGAAAAAATTTATCTCAAGATTCAAAATTTAAGTGAAACGAGAGTAACTACGATTAATCGGAAAATATTTTACAAAATGTGCTGAATATTTATAAATTATGATATAGACTTCATATTTTTTTTTTAATGAAAGATAACTATAGTTATTAAAGTGTTAAATGCACTTTATCACTTGATTATTCGATTCTATGCATATTTTAGTCATTTTGGTAGATAACAAATATTTAAATTTCAAATATAGATCGATAGTATTGACCTTTTTTTTTTTTAGTTTTGATAAATTTAACAGTTCACCTAACAACAGAATATTATAATATTTATTGTTTGTTATCGATTTGTTTTTATTTTCCTTTATAACAGTCGTTTTTTGTGTGATGTGCTAATATACATGCGGTATATATAAAAATGTTGGTACATAAAAGAAATTTGTAAAGTTAACATAAAAGATTTTCCTTTATAACGTACTCGCTTATGAGTTATGATTTAATGAATCTGAATTATAACGGTAACATATTAATTACAACGGTTATATATTAATTACAACGGTCATTGAAGCCTTTTAAAAAAAAACTAATCTGGTGATTATGTAACGTTTCAATCCAATTAGGGATCATAAAAAATATAACGGTTACACAACCTCCGCATCAGCGCTTCTTCTATTCACTATTTCCCGGCGGCGTCGGTCGGCTTTTCTCTCAATTCTATATTTGTTTTTCAGTTTTTGTATATATCCCGATCAATAAAACTTCTCTTCATGGCGAGTTTTAAAATCAATTTTCAAAGTTATGAAAACTATCTTCAATCTCGTTGGGAGAGTTACTTTCCGACGTTGTTAGTCCGACAAAATTCCCGACCGTTCCGTGTCGATTTCTTTTACGCTAGAGAAGACTCATGGCGGTTTCCAGTTTCAATCAAAATTTCGAACCCGATTTCCAAAACCGCCATGGAATTTCGAACCCGATTTCACAATTTCGAACCCGATTTCCAAAACCGCCATGGAATTTTGAACCCGATTACAAAATTTCGAACCCGATTTCCAAAACCGCCATGGAATTTCGAATCCGATTTCCAAAACTGTGCAAACGGAGTTTTAGGGTTTTATCTTGGGGGGTGAGATTCTGTGTTGTCTTGTTGCAGTTTTGTTAGATGAGAAGATTTTGATTTGGATGATAATGATTTTGCAGATTGATAAAACGTACTGATGAGATCAGACCAAGCAGAGCTTGAGGGTGCAAAGAGAAGAGCTTGAGGGTTGAGGTTTATATATCTGCTAATGACTTAATGTTGCGGTTAGGGTTTTGGTATGAGTAATCCAATATTGTTAAAGGTACGATCCTACTTCTTTCTTCAGTCTTTGTTTAAGTTTAATTACTTGTTTTTGCTTTGCTCCTTTGATTCGTTGTTTCTTTTGCTTGCTTGCTTCTTTGATTTAAGTTTTTTCTTTTGCTTGCTTCTTTGATTAAGTTGTTTCTTTTGCTTGCTTGCTTCTTTACAATCTTTGCTTTCTTGGTTATGTGCCTCTGAATTTGTTTGTAGTTTACTGTTTTTGCGTTCTTCCTTGATTCCTTGTATGATTGTTTTGATTCTTACTTGCTTCTTTGATTCGTTGTTTCTTTTGCTTGCTTGCTTCTTTACAATCTTGGTTCCTTGATTTACGTGCCTCTGAATTTGTTTGTTGTTTACTGTTTTTGCTTTCTTTCTTAATTCATTGTATGCTTGTTTTGATTCTTGATTGCTTCTTTGATTCGTTGTTTCTTTTGCTTGCTTGCTTCTTTACGTTCTTCTTTCTTTAGTTATGTGACTCTTAGTTTATGTACTCTTAGTTATGTGGTTCTATGTGTGTGTATTTTCTTCCTTGGTTCCTTGTGTACTTCCTTACTTGCTTCTATGGTTAGTTGTTTGCCTGCTTATTTTATTTAATCTCCTGATTGTTTCCTTTACTTATTTTTTTGTCACTTTCACTTTCTTGAGATTCTTTACTTACGCACTTATTCATTGCTAACTCTCTAGTTTGATTTCTCAACTGTAATCAAAAGTTGTAGGTTTCTTGTTTCCTCATAATTGATTAAGCTAACATTTTTGGTTAAAAATTAGTTGAGCAACAAATTCCAGATACAAATCTTGATGTGATGGTCTTATATAGCAAAGAAGATTGTACCGAAACAGAATAGATCTTCTATCCTAAACCAGATAAGGTTAGAGCAAAAGGTTTCTTAGTTTATTTGAGTTGAATGTGTATTTTGTAGGCTATGGTCGCTATTAGCTCATTTAACAACAGTCTTCATGATCATCAAATGATCTTGACCATAGTAGTTGAATTAGTGTTCGATAAATGATGCAATGTAATATCTTATAAATCTCATTTTTATCTTCTGTTTTAATAGTTCAGGATTGGAGAACTTTGTGCTTACTTGCAACCAGTCTGGACAAAGGACCTCATAAATTCTCTGGCACCATGAAGTAACAAATTTCTCTTTTCTATTTCCATCCCAAAAACTCTTTGTACAAATATTATTCTCAGATGTGTTAATTAGCTTATAGTTCTTTGACAAATTAGATACAGGGTTACATGATAAACATGTGTTCATTGAGGATCTGGCATGCAGAAGCTCACTCACAAGTCTCTAGCATGACTAGTTGTTGACTGACAAAGAATACAACTACATAAGGTATTACTTCATCACTGATCACTGATGAGCGTTGAGATCACTAATCTATTGATGAATCTAAAGTTTTTTTTTTTTAATGTAAAAACTAGCTGAGCAACAAATTGCAGATACCAAACTTGATGTGCTGGTCCTAGCAAAGGAAGTTGTACCACTTGTTGTCTTAAATCAGATAAGCTATTGCCATCTTAACGCATCTTGAATAAAATAGACAAAGTTTTCTTAGTTTATTTGAGTTGCGTAAATATTTGGGCATGTGCATTGGTTATGGGAGTCATCATTAGATTCTGCTAGCCAGTTCATTTCACAGCAGTCTTCATACTCACAAACTCAGATTTTACTCGAACGATTGTGACCATATAGAGGTATGCTCTTGATTTTACTTACAGTTTGTAAATTTTTTTTACTTACACTTGGAGTTTAACATATTACTTTCTCTTTGTTTCTCATATATGGTTGTTTCAAGCACTGCTCATTGCAGATAAAATCAGGGCATGCTCTTTCTCAAAAGCACTGCAGTCCTTCTGAAGACAATTAGAGCTAAAGTGCCATCCTTCTGTTTCTAGATGGTATGTGGCTTATTACAGTTTGTTGTTAAATTTTTCTCTTCCAGTTTGAATTTACATTATCATATACAGTTGTGGATTAAGAATTGTGGAAAGCTATTCTTAGGATGAGAACTGTGAAGCTTGAGCTGTGGTAGTAGCACCCATTGTAAATCATTCTTTATGCTAAGAAATCTTCTAATTTTTTTTTTTTAATATAGATAACGAATACTAATCTTCACGATTATGAGTTAAGTGGTGTAATGTTTGCATTGGTGCTCCAAGAAGATCTGTACTTATATTTTGTTGTTGAAGATGTCTAGAGAGAATTCACAAGAATTACTTAAATTTTTGGTCCACCCATTTATAGTCAACAACCTTGACTGTATTTTGTGTGTAACTGGTGAGGTAACTTAGTTATTTTTATCAGACATTTGAGCATTATTAGTTCTACGTAAGGCATAGCAATCATCCACAACTAATCATGTATGTTTTCATTGACTTTATTTCTTTAGGTGACAGCAGACACTATATCTAGTGATGTATTGATCCTGGCCAAAAAGGTTGCACTAAAACTGAGTAAAGCCTATTCGCAATGCCCGCTCATTTGCTCACAAAGTTATAGTATAAGGTAACTTTTCTTAAATCAATATTGGTTCAGGCCAACAAAGGATTACGAGTCTCCATGCTTCATTCAATTTATTTTCCTGTAAACAGTGCAAGAGAGTGTAAACAGCTAGAGGTAACAGACGCTACACGCCTCTACTAAACACTTTGTAAGTTGTTTTTACTCATCTTAAAAGGTCTCTAATATACAGACTCAAACCTATACATTTTTCATAAGCTCAATATTAGTAATCTTCTTGATGGTAAACTATGTCTGGAACTTGCAGTACTGTAAAATTACCCCATTATAGCTATGAAAACAAGACAACTATAGTTAGAGAAAAAAAAAGTTAAAACCAATTTTTGAAATAATTCAATAGATTTAGTCCAAGGCCTTAATTTTGATGATTTTGAATTGATATCGTTAATTGTAAAATTTTAATTTCTTCTCAATCTGCTAGATATATGATATGCGTTATTTGCAGATCACAATGCTTGAGAGACAACCTCAAGAGTTCCATCGGTCAGTTTCTTAAGTTCAGCTCTTCTTTCAGGTATGTTTCCAACCTCTTTCTTTTATTTAGTCTTCAGTTTTGCTCTACATTTTGAAATAATCATCTCTTTTCTTTTTGTGCAGTAGTAGATTCATAGCCAATGTGGCTATCTCACTAAACAAGAAATACGATCTTCGTAAGGTATGCAGGACCTACTTCAACAATATTTTCCTTGAGTTCCTCAATAGCGTGATCTCAGTCAACATCCTGAATCTCCGGACACATTGCATCTTTGTTTGTTATTTCTTTCTTACATGTTTGACTAGTTTTGCTTGTTTTCTTCTCTACTTTTGTTATACTATTTACTTCATTGTTTGCTTTTTCTGCGTATTTGATTCTTCTGCTTAGTGTATTTGTATGTTTCTTTGCTTCTTTGATTCCTCTGCTTATAGTATTGCTTATTTCTTTGCTTCATTTTTTCACTGCATAGTGTATTGCATGTTTCTTTGATTCTTTGACTCCTCTGCTTAGTGTATGTATTGCTTATTTCTTTGATTCTTTGACTCCTCTGCTTAGTATATGTATTGCTTGATTCTTTGACTCCTCTGCTTAGTGTATGTATTGCTTGTTGTTTTGCTTCTTTGATTCCTATGTTTAGTGCATTGCTTGATTTTGTACTTCCGTGTTTTTTTTTTTGGTGAACTTGTTTGTTTGCTTATTTGATTCTTCTGATTAGTGCATTGTTTTTTTCTTTGCTTCATTAAATCCTCTGTTTAGCGCATTGCTAGCTTTTGTGTTTCCTTGATTCTTATGTTTACTGCATTTTTTGTTTTTATTTGCTTCCTTAATTCCTCTGCTTAGTTCAGTACTTGGTTCCTTAATTCCTCTCATTACTTGTATGCTTGTTTTGCTTCTTACTTGCTTCTTTGATTCGTTGTTTCTATTTACTTGCTTGCTTCTTTACATTCTTCTTTCCTTAATTAGTTATGTGCCTCTTTAAATCACACACAAGAAATTTTGCTTTTCAGGTATACAAGAGTGTAAAAATCAGAGCCTCAAAATTTCTTGTGTTACTGTTAAAGAATTTATTAACTAGCTTCTTAAAATGTTTCAGGACTACAAAACACCTTAACACTGGAATCTTGAAATAACTTGTAGAAGAATAATGCAAGATAAGTTGGTGCCGATAAATGTCAATAGTTTTGAAATAGTAAAATATCTTTTTATGTTCATAAATCAGAAAATTTACATAATGTCGCGCCTCAGGGAGACTGTATTCTGCAAAGGGAGCTCTAAAATGGTTGAGAGATGAAGAGCTAACCCAAGAACCATAACAAGAAACATATTTGTGGCGAACATCAAATATTTTGATGGGTAAGTTGGTTTTAATTGTTTTGATACTATATAGTAATTTAACACGCTGCTTCTCCTAACTTGTTTATTTTAGCAGTTACGAATTGTTGTGAAGCCAAAACTTTCTGTGGACTTGATTGCTGAAAAGGACATTGATATTTACTACAATGACAAGGCACTTTCTGCTGGATTAGTTGGAAATGTGATTCCATAATGGCTTGAAATTGCAGGTATATGGTAATCTTGTTTCTCCAACTCATGTTCTTGAGAATGCAGAGGTCGTGGAGAGTGTCATCTACAACGTTTGCCCTTTTCTTTTTGTCCTACGTCCCAAAATTATGATTAGCTTCATCAGCTCTACCTAAGTTTCACGAGCTCTCATGTTTCTTCTTATTGTCACAGCCCCTCTTAAGCAAATATGAACAGTGGTTGCAACATGCCAAAACAAGGAGTGCGGGACACAAGATTATGAGGGTGTATTTGTTTACTTGATGTTTATTGGCTTACTTTTACTAATTCTTCATGTCTCTCCTCTTGTTCCAGTTCCTATGGGAGAAAGCTACAGTGACTTGTGGCGGACTCTGATAGTGATGCAGAAGATTCAAGACAGAGCCTAAAATGGAGGGAGAAATTCCTCGACAATGTCAAGCAGTTCCAGTCACAAGACAAAAGCAAAGATACATCACAAGGAAAAGGCAGATATACAACACCCACTTCTCAAAATGGAAGTGTTTTGGATCCAAAAGGTGAATGAAAAACACAACAAATCAATAAAAACCTCAAGTTTAGATGAGCCAAAGTTCCTCTTACCATGAGATGGAATCGCCAAGATTTTTCGTGCTAACATCCTTGCTTATTAACAAGTGTTGCCTTGGGTTAGACAGTTGGCGAGAGAGTGGAATTGCCTCATGGCATCATCTCGAAGGTCACTACATCGAATGGCTAGGTACATGTATAGTATCCTTGATATAAAAATCTATGAAATGGATCGAAAAGGTATGTTATCCTTAATTTCTTGTAGTCGTGATTGGTGATTTTAACAACTCGAAAGTAAAATCAGAATTTTTGGCAGGCATAATCGCAGCGGTTACAACAGTCCTTGCAGCGGAAGGCATTGCAGTATGTTCTTGTTTGGTATGTGCCTTGAACAACGGCTCATATCACAAGTCTTCTGGTAAATTGCAGGTCAAGATTGACAGAGGAAGAGGATTAGTGCAATAATATGTTGCTTCAAATAGAAACAAACATTGAAAGCTTGGTAATATGTCCTAATGTTCTATCTCTTTCTGTTCTTTTTTAGGTCTTCGTCCACTAAGCAGTAACCCGTGTCTCTGTGGATATGTAATTCCCAGGTTAGTGTTTTGCGCTAAGGTGGATCCAATCTTAGGATGGTCGAGTGGTTGTAGGCTTGTAGCTGGCCAAATCCAACATATAATGCTCAAGTTCTTGAGTGTTAAAGCCAAAAGACTCACGTTCTTAGCCATGAAGTTTTGTCATTTTCTTCCTTGATTTCTTGTATCCTTGTTTAGCTTCTTACTTGCTTCTTTGATTCGTTACGTTCTTGTTTTTTTTTACTTGCTTCCTTTGTTATGTGCCTCTTAATTTGTTGTTTACTTTTTTTTTTGCTTTCTTCCTCGATTCCTTGTATGCTTGTTTTGCTTCTTTCTTGCTTCTTTGATTCCTTGTTTTGTTTTATTGCTTGCTTACTTGTTTACATTCATGCTTTTTAACTTGCTTCCTTAGTTATGTGCCTCTTAATTTGTTGTTTACTTTCTTTTCTTTTTGCTTGGCCATCTTTGGTTCTATGTGTGTGTGTGTGCACTTTCTTTTCTTTTTGTGTGTGTGTGTGTGTGCTTTCTTTCTTGGTTCCTTGTGTGCTTCTTGATTCCTTGCTTAGTTCTTTACTTATTTGCTTACTTAGCTTTCCTACCTACTGAAATTGTTTAACTATCTTACACACTTATTCATGACTATCTCTATTGTAATACTTACCTATATAGATCAGCTTACCTTAAATATCGTAAATATTGAAAGTTTTGGGGCAAATTCGTAAATATCGAAAGTTTTGGGGCAAATTCGTAAATACCAAAAATCTTTGGGGTAAATTCGTAAATACCGTAAGATATGGGGCAAATTCGTAAATATCGTAAGATATGGGGCAAATTCGTAAATACCGTAAGATATGGGGCAAATTCGTAAATACCGCAAGATATGGGGCAAATTTGTAAGTATCGAAAGTTTTGGGGCAAATTCGTAAGTACTAAAAGATATGGGGCAAATTCGTAAATATAGAAAGTTTTGGGGTAAATTCGTAAATATCGAAAGTATTGGGGCAAATTCGTAAATACCGAAAGACATGGGGAATCTTCGTAAATAACGAAAGTTTTGGGGCAAATTCGTAAATACGGAAAGTTATGGGGCAAATTCGTAGATACCGAAATATATGGGGCAAATTCGTAAATACCGAAAGTTTTGGGGAAAATTCGTAAATACCGAAAGATATGTGGCAAATTCGTAAATACCGAAAAATATGGGGCAAATTATTAAATATCGAAAGTTTTGGGGCATATTCGTAAATATTGAAAGATATGGGGACCACTTTTGTTCACCCCTTCTTAATTAGCTAATCAAAATACCTTAATATGCTACGCCATTTTTTATTTACAAAATTAAAAATAAATAAAAAAACAAATCAAATTATGGAAATAAATTTTGTAGGATTTTTATTAAGGAAATATAGTTCGGTTTGGGTTTATAAAATAGTAGTTAAGGTTTAGATTTTGTAATTAAACAAAATTATATTTCGGTTTGGGTTGACAAATTAGTGGTTATGGTTTAGATTTTTAATGAAACGAAATTATTTTTCGGTTTGGATTGACAAATTAGTGGCTATGGTTTAGATTTTGAAATCAAATAAAATTGTATTTCGGTTTGGCTTGACAAAATAGTGGTTAGAGTTTAGATTTAGTAATTAAACGAAATTATATTTCGGTTTGGGTTGACAAAATAGTGGTTACGGTTTAGATTTTGTAATTAGACGAAATTATATTTTGGTTTGGGTTTATAAAGTAGTGGCTAGAATTTAGATTTTGTAACTAAACGAAATTATATTTTGGTTTGGGTTTATAAAAGAGTGATTAAGGTTTGTTCTATTTCTGATTTATTTTTTAAAATATAATATGACATGACATATTGTTTTATTTTGATTAGCTAATCAATAGGGGGTGAATAAGGTTGGTTCGCATGATTAACTCGGTTGAACCGGTCAAATATATCTAGTTTTGTAATATTCAAAAATATGTGATCATTCCATTTTTATTTTATTTATCATTTGTGTGATAATACAGTATTGCAGACCTAGAAAAATAGAAAAGATCATTTTTTTGTGAAATCCATATGTGGAATTTCAATTCTTTATATTCTTTTCATGCCGTCATTAAGAATTTTTTTTTCACAATTATGAGCTTTTTGACTTTTTTTTTTTTTTGAATAATCAAAGGTTCTGGGCCGAAACTCATACATCCCCTCAGACCCGAAACCAGAGCACGTTATATGGTTTCGTCCCAAGCGCTATTTGAACCGGCGAACCGACTTTTTATTTCGTTTGTAGTATCCATTTTACTTGTTTTTATACACTTTTGTTGGATATGGACTTGCCCCGGTCACGTTTGTTTAATTTGTCGACGTGGTTTCTAGAAGGGTCGACTGGCTAGTACAAAATTCTCGTACCATTGTTCTCGGCGAATTTAACTAGGCACTGAAAGAGAAACATTTACTAAGATGTTTGGCCCTATTCTTGGCATATTGTAATCTTGACGATCCATGATCATTCATTAAGAAAGTCTTCCTTCTCAGTCTCAATTTTATCACTACCCGATATTTGACGACCTTCACTATCAACAAAATTTTGTGGCAAGAATGTTTGGTCTTACAAGATTTGACAAAAAGACGTGATGGTTTCTACAACTCTGATGTGGAACCTAGACAATTTGATTTGAAAAAAATGGATAACTGTTGTTGGGTTTGACAAAACACAATTGTTGGGCCTTAATGGCCTGAAGAAAATAGGCATTGTGAGACAAGGGGAAGATTTTAGAGCCCAATACACATATATATTATTGTGTTGTGTCGTTGGAAAAAGAAGAGAGAAGAGAGGAAGCTGAGAAGACACACTTCAGAGAGAGTTCTAGAGAGTGTTGTTCTTTCTTGTTTAGTGTAGATCCTTGAGTGAGAGAGAACCTGTAATACAAAATAACATCACAAGTGATTAGTGTGGTGTGTGTAAGTGTAATATCTTTCATATAGTGGAGCTTGGGAGCAAGAGTTCTCCCCCGAGACGTAGCGGTTAGGCCGTGAACTCGGTTAACAATTTGAGTGTGTTCTCTTTTAGTTTGTAACCTTTGACTTCTCAAATTCCTCAACAATAACTCATTACTCATCTTGAAATGTCATTATCCATCTAGTTGTCATAGCTAGAAAGAAGTGGTCGTATGGACTTTATAGTTGACCTGAAATAAGAATAATCCAAGTCTTTTTTATATGGAAAATGAGTGGTTTCACCATCTAGTTGTCATAGCTAGAAAGAAGTGGCCGTATAGACTTTATAGTTGACCTGGGATAAGAATAATCAAAGTCTTTTTATATGAAAAATGAGTGGTCTCTGAAACTAGACTAATCAAAGTCTTTTTATATGAAAAATGAGTGGTCTCTGAAACTAGACTAATCAAAGTCTTTCTGTTTTAATTTGTAAGTAACCTATGAACGAAAAAACTATGGAGCCAGCAGAAGGGTGGATGACCAGTGAAGCTATGTCGATTGTTGTGGATGTTAGTAGAGCTTCAGGTGCAGTAGCTCAAGGTGCAAATCTGAGTGGGAGTTCGAGTATGAGCACTCAAGATGAAAATATCTATGAAAGATTGAAGAAGGTGGCACAAGTTGGAGATATAGAAAGACTCTACGAGTTGATAGCAGAAGATCCAAACATTCTAGATCACTTTGATAAAGTGTCTTTTTCCGATACGCCACTACACATTGCAGCTGCAAAAGGGCAAACTCATTTTGCCATGGAACTAATGACTCTTAGGCCGTCCCTTGCTTCAAAGCTAAACGTGTCAGGGTTCAGCCCTATGCATTTAGCCTTACAAAACAACCACGTTCGAACGGTGAGAGGGTTTGTGGCAATCTACAGCAGCTTAGTTAGCATCAAGGGAAGAGGAAGGATTACTCCTTTGCATCATGTGGCTCGAATAGGTGATGCCGAATTGTTGAGTGAGTTCTTGCTTGCTTGTCCTTCTTCTATATACGATTTGACGATTAAGTGTGAGACTGCTGTGCACATTGCTGTGAAGAACTATCAATTTATGGCGTTTAAGGTTCTATTGGGATGGATTAAGCGAGTAAACAGGAAGGAAATCTTGGACTGGAAGGATGAAGATGGTAACACAGTCTTCCATATTGCTGCATTGACAGATCAGAATGAGGTAGATATATATGCTCTCTTATCATTTAGTTTCTTGAAATGCTTGTTCAGACATTTCTGGTTGGTCCATGAATACAATCTCATGTCATTATTGTTGTGATGGAACTGGCAATTCTTTTCCTCTAGTACTTGCTTGGAGCTACTTCTTAACTAACATGTGGGACTAATTCGGTTTCTTCGTTGTGGTTCTTGTAAAAGTGTATGGGTTTCTTTGACCTTAGGATATATTTGTTTATGCATCATATATTTTTATAATGTAGGATTCTTTATCCAGTAACTATGGGTGAGATGTGCTCATTTCTTTGCAGGTTATGAAGTTGCTGCGTAAAACCGTTAAAGTAAAAGCCAAGAACCTGGCTGGCAAAACCGCGATGGACATACTTCAAACTCACCAATCTCCTTGTCTCCCCGTAGCAAAAAAACTTCTCCAAAGTGCTAAAGAAAGACTATTTTGTGGTTCCACAATGACTCTTGCGGAATATTTGAGCAAAGAACTATCGTTCATTGAGAAACGGAACACTCTCTTGGGGCTGAGCAATTTGAGCATGACTAGAGACAGGTCTCTAAACATTAGTGACCCCCGCAATGCAATACTTGTGGTGGCTATACTCATAGTAACAGCTACATACCAGGCTGGTCTCAGTCCTCCAGGCGGATTTTGGCAGGATACTGATTTGTCAAACCATAGTCACATTGCTGGGCAGATGACTATGCCGTTCATCCCTGCCTTTTACTTTATCAGCCTCAACGGATTTGCCTTCTTATCATCTCTATATGTGATCATAATCATCATAATTGGACTTCCCAACTGGAAGTTAATCTATGGTTCAACGGCGGCTTTAAGTATCGCTGTTTTAGCATCATACGACACTATATTCCCGGTTCCAAATGTCCCAGATGAGACAATCCCAGAGCTCATCTTCGTCGCTGCATACCCACTTATTATAGGAATCATGATGTTTGCTACATTCATGACGTTCATTGTTGATAAACGTCGTCGGCACCAAGTAGACTTCCCAGCCAGCTGCTTTAGCTCATCTCAGGAGCCATGAGAAGTGTATAAGTGTTTACGTAACGAGTTTTGTAGACTAAACTTCACTTATAGTTAAACAAAACATTTGTTTTGCTATCTTGTTGTTCTTTTCTTCTACAGAAATCTAAATGCCAACAGAACAAACAAGAATTTCAATAACTAATCATCCCATACTTATTTGCTTATGCTCTGATTACTGAGTTCACCGGGGAAAATCAAAACCCGGAAAGTGTTTTGTATCCGTTACAACTGTGTCTCGTTTTTATTGTATGGGTAAGAAAAGAGAGAAAAACAATGTTCTTTGTTTGAAAAGACGAGGGACAGAGAGAGAGAGGATTTAGTTGTCACCATAGAGCCACTTCTCAGAGTTGTTGGTGTAAGAAACAAGTTCTTGAGGCTTAAACCACAAATTGATCTCATCCTTTGCTGTCTCTGGTCCATCACTTCCATGGATAATGTTCCTGCAATTTCACATTTCAATTACCAATTCCGTTGAGACGTCCTAATTTGAATTGGTTTAAAGAATTAAAGAGAACAAACCTGCCAACAGTGACTGCAAGATCTCCTCGGATGGTTCCAGGCTCAGATTTCTGAGGGTCGGTGGCTCCAATCAGTTTACGTCCGTATCTGATCACTCCTTCTCCTTCCCAAACCTAAAACAAGTCATGTTAGACGATACTTGTGTAGTTGAGTTATCAAATTCAAAAAGACTAATGGCGTGTTTCTATGATGTCTTACCATGGCAATAACAGGACCAGAGCTAAGGAAGTCACACAAGCCATTGAAGAAAGGTCTTTCCTTAAGATCATGGTAATGCTTTTGCGCGAAATCTTTAGAAGGAACAATAACTTTGATACCAACAAGCTTGAATCCCTTACGTTCAAATCGAGAAACGATCTCTGATATCTGATGATTCATGAGACAGGATTTAGACACATACATAAACAAGAAACTATAACAACTAAGACCAATCAAGACTAAGCAAAAACCAAGCTTTGTTTCGTCTTACCAGTCCTCTTTGCACTCCATCAGGCTTGATAGCGATAAAGGTTCGCTCCATCTGATTTAAACAGAACAGTTCAGCGAGAAATCACATAACCGACATGAATAGAGAAACCAGTGGATACATAAGAGAGAAATACTAAACAAAGGTTTAATCTTATTACCTCAGCAGCAAGAACCTCTTGATCTTGAATCATGTAGGCTACAACAGATACAATATAAGAAAGCATTGTGTCAATACCGCATCACGAATTCAACCTAATGAATTCTAAACTTATCCTACTCTACTGTCTACACAAATCAAACATGTAACCGGTGTATTCTGAAACCTGCAGCAGGAAGAGCTAAGAGTCCAGTGATCCAACTCTTTGAGGCAACACCAGAACCTGATGATCTTACAAAGTTAGATGCATACAGAGGAATCTTTCCTGAAGCAGAAACCGCTGCTGCAGCACCAATGGTGCGTCCTTCTGAAAACCAAAATCAAGATTCAAGTTAATCCACAAATCAACAATAAAAAAGATCAGATCTTTACATCAAACTTAGGTATAAGAACCCAAATTTTTCTTTTTTCTTTCAAGAACAAGAACATAGGCACCAACCCTTAGAGAAACGAATCCATCAGATCAAAATCATCACTGTATCGATCACAAAACGATTTGATTTCATAGATCAAATCACTCAACCAATCGAGGAATCTAAGATTGTCTAACACATGATTCACGAAGGTATCTCAAAAAAAATTCAAGAAAACCAAACCAAAACAGAGAGAAGATAAGTAAGTAAACGTACCAGAGAAGAAACGAGCATTCTTAGCTGAAGAAAGAAGAGACCTTGCTGCTTTGGAAGCAGATCTGTAGATTTGGGAGCTCATGTTTTTGCAGAGAGAAGTGATGATGAGAGTGATGGTGATGAAGTGAAACTGAAGCCTTGGAAAAAATGTGAGAATATGATGAGGTTTGTTGGGTCGGGTTTTTTATAGAGCCCACGTGGTTCGGGTCGGGTTTAAAACCCTACCCAAGTATTGGTAGGCACAAGAGAATTAATTTATCACGTGTTTTGAAACGTATGTGTTTATGAGGGGACTTGGTCATAGCTAGATTCACATAACTAGAGGTGTCAAGCGGGCTACTAGTTCGCGGGCTTGGCCCAAATAATACCATAACGGGGCGAGTATGAACATATACTTTTAGATCCGTTTAAAAGCGGGTTTCATAGACAAGATTAAACGGGTTGCGGATTTTAGCGGCTTATGTCTGCGGATTGGCGAGTTGGCCCGCGGGTTTTAAAAATTGATAAAAATTATATAACATATATAAATAAATATTTTATATAATTATAAAAATATTATATGTGACATATGTGATAATTTAAAGAATTTTAATGTTTAAAAAATAAAATCTTTATAAAAATAGTGATTTAAAAGTTATTTAAAATTTTTAAATTGATAATTTAATTTACTTAAAATAAAATTATTATTTTATTTAATTTAAAATACTAAATATTGGTCCGCGGGCCGGCCCATTAACCATTTGGGCTTAGTGGGGCGGGCTTGGACACCATTTTGATACCCGCGGTCTTAGCGGGCCGGCCCGTTGCGGTCAAAAAAAAAAATATCCGTCGCAGGCTGGCCCGTCTGACACCTCTACACATAACCCTATTTTAATTTTGTTTTATTTTTCTTCTTGGTTTCTAGAAACACAAATACAAAAGAATACAACGAAACAAAAATGTGAAAGATTTTGAACTTCATCATGAATGTTAACAATGTTTGCTTTTCATCACAAAAAAAAGTTGGGATGTAGAGGAATTTATTTACTGCGTCTAGGTTAATGATCCTATTGTGACAGAGTGATTATGATGTAGTGATTATGATATTTTTCAAGACCTATTTGAAATATGAAGGATAGTGATACTTCTTCACAATAAGATCATTAATCTAGACATAATCATTATATCACTTATGTAATTCTAATAGGTACGTTTATGAAATCTCACAGTTTCAACTTCTTGCTTTCTGATGTAGTTCACCAAAAAATCTTTCCGTTTGTATGTTTACAAAAAAGAAAAAATCTTTCCGTTTGTAAATGTGGATGTTTTGTATCTTTTAGGTTCAAATGAAGAAAAAAAAAATAAGAGGAAATATAGTGATACTCTAAAATAATTTATGGAGTATTAAAGTGACACGTATTATTTTAATACTCCATAAAGTATTATTTTATCTCAAAAGATAATATTTTGTCTCAAAAAAGGATGGTGATACTCTAAAACATTTAACACTATTGTTGTCTAATTGTTTTCAATGGGAAATAATTATTGTCTCCCAAGTTTGGATAGTGAACTTATATTTGATCTAGAGAGTATCGCAGCTTAATGGGCCGATCGACCACGTTACTTATGATTTTCACTTATGTAGTTCAAATGGGTATTAGTTTATGGGCCGGCCGTATTGTAGTATATGGGTATATTAGTCTTTTGTTAATACACAAATTAGGGTATCAACTAGGGTTAATGATTTGTCTATCTATCCGCCGTTCTTGACAATGTAAAATGACACAGAGAAAATTTTTTACACAATTTTCAGAAATAACAATAACCAAAAGCTCTTTGAACTTGTTTGCCTAGCTAGTCTTGATGGGTACTTATGATCATATTTGGCCATTGGAGGACTCACTTAGCTTTTCTCGAAAAGAATCTATGTTTACTGTTTTCATTATTTCTGTAAGTTTTGGATTGCTAAGTTGATCTTCTGTTTTTTGTACTCTGTTTTAAACTCTTGATTTAACTGGTGATGAAACTACTCCTCTTCTAGACCATATACTATCTTATTGGAGATTTGGAAATCTTCATATATGGAAGAGTAGATAGTAGATTCAAAGCAAATCATAAAAAATCTTATATCATATTGTTAAACATTTTTTTTCTTATAAATTTGGAAAAGCATACATAGAAGAAAAGAGATACATAGAAAATGAAATGAAGATAGAAATGAAATTTAAGAAAGAGATAAATCAGCCTCTTTAGTTCTTGAGACCAAGAGTAAGCTCAAGGGACAAATTCTCATCATTGTAGTCCATGTCCATGTCCTCTTCTTCATCTTCGCCGGACTCATTCAGTCTGATCTGCCATACACAATCATGTATACACGTATTAGTATAATCATGTAACCATGAGTAACGTAAAAATTACAAAGGATGAGAGTATACATACTCTCGAAGACTGATAGAGAGACTTGCAAGAAACTTCATGAGCAGCGTTACTTGGTTCTCCCTCTTCGACTTCGCTTTCACCCATCTCCTCTTCTTGACTATACAAGAAATCATCAAAACTAAATTCAAAAGCATATATCTAAATTATAAAATAAAAAACTCAATGGTGATTTACTTATTATACGAACCTTGGTGGGTTTTGGATAGGGCTGAACATTTCCTGAAGACGTTCGTATAGACGAAGGTGCAACCGAGTTTGCCTCCTAATGACTCGCCTCGTTACTACACATAGATTACATATGTAAATGATTCGATAAATATAGTCAAAGCACGTAGACAATTTACAATACATGCATAACTAAAATTTTAAAGTACAAAGTATATTTTATATATACCTTTTGTCCTCTCTTCCTCTTTGGCAATTCTATACGCCTTTTTAAAGACAAAGAGGTTGAAATTGGTTCAATACACAAAGCCAAAATTATGGTACAAACATGTTTTGATAGTTATGTGTATGTTCAAACCTGGAGATGACTCTTCACATGTGACACTGTGAGTCCAATCACATTCATGTACTCTAAAATTCTCTTTGGAGTTGCAACTGCAAATTGAAGATAGATCATATTTTAATTATAAGTTTGATTGACAAAAAAAAAAAAACTAAAATACAAAGAAATACAAAAAAAAATTGTTTTCAAGATCTATTTTGAAAATTTGTAATCTGCCTACTCTTTTCTCCACCAAGTAATTCAACCACATAAACAAAATGGTTATGCTGATTATGGCTCCATCGATGCCGAGCCATTTCCGACTTGCCACAAGATCTAACAATATGTTTTTTCTAGTAGATTTGTTTCCCAGTGAATTCAGTGCTTTATGTTTTTTTTTTTTTGTAAAGACTGATTATCTTTTGCTCGATTTATAGTGGTTCGATGTTGAAAAATTAATAGAAAATTATAAAAAATTCAAAAGGAAACAACTTAAGAAATTATTTTGTGTGTGTTATCACTTTTAGCTGGATTTTTTTTCAATAATATACATTTCCATATATTCTTATAAATAAAACAAATTCCATCATATAAAACATGTAATATTAAAGAATTCCAAATCTAATTTCAAATAATATTATAATAATATTTTAAATTATTTATATACCAAATATATATATATTTTTCTTCAAAAGAAGTTATTGTAAATACTATGAGAAGGTAAAATATCTATTTCATTATCATTGGGTTTTGAGATTTAATGCTAACTTTCTCTTTTAGAGATATTGTTTATATTTTATCTTTAGGGGCTAGTGTTTTCATCTCTCCTATTTATTTTGTTACTATGGCTTAGTATTATTATATTATTATTATTTAGTTTTGAAATTTTAGTAAAAATATAATGCATTTTTTCCAAATTTTAATACCTTTCTCATTCTTGGCCTCTCTCTTTTGTGGTACAGAAACCTTGAGCTCTAAAAAAAAGATTCTCTTAATCCATCATTACTTTAGAACTCTTTTGTTTACGCTGCAACAGTTGATATCAAAAACGAAAACAAAACTTCAACAATAACTCGAAGCCCTTATTGGTGCGGTTAGAGAAATGTTAACATTGTTTCAGAAGAGAATCATGCAATTAATTTGATAAAATTAATCGTAAAGTAGTATATATTTGGGATTAATCCACAGAGGACCAACACATTTTTAAGGCTTTCTAAGAGTTGTAATAAGGTGAAGAGAAAGGTTAACAATTAACTTATAAGATTAATATATTGGACCGTAGGATATTTATGAGATCAACAAGTAATGAAAATATAAAATAGGAATTTAACAATTGAAACCGGTCTAGAACATGAACACAAGAATTGACTAACCATCTTTCAAAGAATAAATCAATAAATTTGGCTACTCAATAACTAATCTTTCATTAGTAATCTTCTAATCAAATTTGCATTACCAAATAAGTTCACTAAGCTCGCAATACCTCCTAACATCAACTTTCATTGGCTAGAGAAATATTTCTACAACTTTCTAGCAAATGCTTATGATTTAAAACACAATTCGAAAGACACAAAGACGGATAAATTCACAAAATTGACTCAACCAAACGAAATATGAAAGACACTAAAACACCATATTTCAGTATGCATTCTCAATGTTGAAAAATTAGTGAAATTATAGTTCGTGCGTCCTTTATGCAAAGATACATGACCTGGTGTTGCTTTGACATGAAGAGAAAGTCTCCAACAATGATAAAGAGGACGACATCTTAAAATATAAATTGTTTGCAAGAAGTCTTAAACAAATGCCATATTTTGAAGTAATCATGGCTCCAATGAAAATTAATTGTTGATGGTATTTGAGGTTCAAACTAGATATACCTTACTTTTGTGGTGGTCTTTAACCTGAGGAACTGTCGTACATGATCATTTATATGAAAGATAACTTTTACTCAAGTCTTAGAGTAACGCCCCGACCATCATCTCTCGTGACTCATGGGTCATCTTTTTTAGTGGGTCTCACGTTCTCTCACTAGACCCTTAACCAAACCAATAAAAATAAAAAAATCAAAATCAAATATATAAACCAAATATAACCAAATCAAATGTCTAAACCGATTTTAGTACACTACAAACCTAATTTAATTAGATTTCCTCCATTAATCTCTCTTAACCTAAAATTTTCCGCCAAAAATACGGTCACAATTTTCTCTCGTAAACCACAGTTGCACAATATTTTTTTGTGAAAATCACGGTTTTCATTAAAAAAATATAATTTTCCGCCAAAAACGTGATTCCATATTTTTCTGCCAAAAACGTGATTTGATCATTTTCCCGCAGCCATTTTGTATTTTTCCCGCCAAAAATGCTATTATGTAATTTTCCCGCCAAAAACATGACTTTGTATTTTTCCGCCAAAAACGAGATTTCATAATTTTTCCATAAAAACGTGATTTTGTACTTCTCCTGCCAAAACATGATTTTATACTTTGCCCTCAAAAAACATGGTATCATATATATTAGTTTATTATTATTATTCATACCATTTAACCATTAAAATTTAAAATCATCAAATTATTTGGTTAATGGTTTGACTCAAACCATTTAACAAATGAATTGGTTCAACTCATAAACCATTTAAGTCTAAATTAATTATGGATTGGTTTGGGTTTGTTTACCCATTTTGACACTCCTCTTAGCATATGTAGGCACACACACATATATATATATGTCATTAGTATTAATATAGGATGATATATTGATAATATATGATTTTATTATTATGAGTCAATCCATTTAACCATTAAATTTAAAACCATCAAATTATTGGGTTAATGCAAATGAATTGGATCAACTCATACACCATTTAATTCTAAACTAATTATGGATTGGTTTGGGTTTGTTTACCTATTTTGGCACCCCCATTAGCATATGTAGGCAAATATATATATTTCCCTCAATCTTTATTACTGTAAATAATATAAATATGTATATCATACTTAAGAACTGTTTTACATACTTATTTTCTGAAGTTTTTTAGGTACATAAAAAATCTGTATTTTCTTTATTAGTTGATATGCCTTTTCTGTTGATTTTATTTTATATTTTCAAATATATCTCATTAAATGTACACATTTATAGTTATACATACATTTCTGATATGTACAACTTATTTAGTGTATATATGTATATTAATATACACATTTTCAAGCATACATCTAATATATAGTACATTAAATATAAATGTCAAATAAAAATATGTATATTTTGTATACTAAATTTATTGTAAATATGCTTTTTTATGCAATTACTTTTTTGTAATTTCACACTACTACAGTTTACCCCATTTTCTATATCTCTCATGTTTCTTCTATCACAAAATTTATAAATCCCCACATATTTCTCTAGTTATGAAAAATCAAGAAAAGAAACAAAAATACCCTCTAGTCTTTTTGTTTTTTGTTTTTCTTATTTTATATCTCACAACAACCCGTTCCGTGGGACACTCCACTACATGGCACACCCCGCCACATGACTGCTACAAACGCTGAAACGCATCGATTCTAACCTCTATCAGGTGGGCCCAATCTGCGCAGCTCTCTGGCCCACCAGGTAGATTATTGGTGCGGTTGACATTATTCGAACCCAAGAAACTCACCCTTAAACAACTTTTCCACATGACAAACTATTACCAATTGATCTGCAGGTCAATTGGTAACAGCTTGTCGTGCAGGAAGAGTGTTAAAGAGTGATGTATTGGGTTCGAGGAACGCCAAACGCACCAATAACCTATCTAGTGGACCAAGAGATAGGTTAGGGTCGATGCGTTGTAGCGCCAGCTGTTGCCGGATTGTGGCGTGAGGTACATGGGGCAGGTTGTTACAATCTTTCCAAAATGTATAATAGTGCAAACTTTCCCAATTATTTGCTAGATTCATTTGGATCATTCCAAGCATTTTGATATCTTCGATCACATATACTGGTTTTATCAGAATATCTTCGATCGACCTGTCCGTAGGAGCAAATTTTCTTTATTGTCATCTAAATTAAATCATGAGGTGCAATTGCTCTTTCTCAAAACACTATCGAACTGAAACTTAAACAATATATATATGCATTTGGCTCTAAGTATGTATTTTATACATGTTGTCCAGTTAATACTTAACCCAATGTGTATCGTTATATTATTTTGGAGACAAGATTTTCCAATCAAAAACTAACCTAACCAACCTATCATGTGTTAAAAATATCCGGTCAACTGACAAATCTTTAGTTGGTCTGCCACATGCCAACTAGACACACTCTTGTCATGGAAATGACTAGAGATAAATAAAATTGGAGTTCTAGAATAACACACTAAATTATTATTGCTTTTTGAAAAATAATGTATAGTCTTTTAGTGTTTTAGCAAGAAGGCCAGTGGATTGGCTACGACGACCACGTAATCTTACATGCCAAGTAGAAGTAGTGTCAGTGGCAGCTCCAGAAACTGACGTTCCGATGAATTGGTACATGTTTCTCTTGTCCATACGATGATCTACGTACGATGATATAGATCCAGCAAGACTTTACTAGGGCAATTATAACAATTTCTATGTGTGTGTTCTTTTTACAACAAGAATATATACAATTACCAAAACTATGTTAATGTAGTGGTTAGGGAATGTGTGATATTAAAAAAAACTTTGTTTTCGTTTAACATTCTCATATAGTTCAAAAGATACACACAGAGAAAGGATATGAACGTATTAAATAATAGCTTACACACACGAGAGAAAGACAAACTTGAAAGCAAAGTGTTTTGACTCGAAACAATGAATTTTATTTGTCATGAGACATTTGAAATTATAAAAATAGATTTTTTTTTTTTTTGGATAATATTTTGGTAATACACCATTGCCCATTTCAAACACCCAAGATCTAAGACACACAAAAAAAAAAAAAAAAAAATCTTGGGAAAAAGTTCGGAAAAAAAAAACAGGCAATAATATAGTCCCAAAAATAAAATCCTTTTCTTTTATTTTTTGAAAATAAGAAATTTTTAAAACCTTGAATAATATATAAGAAAATGAGAACTATACTTCTTCAGGCCATTCAATGACACTCTTCAACGATGGTTTCCACTTCCGACATAACTTCCGGCGAGATTTCTCTTCTTCGACAGCCGCAGCCGCGGCCTCTCCGGCCAATCTTTCCGCCTCAAGTTCTCTAAGAAAATCTCCAAAAGAAGCCAAAGTACAATCTCCTCCTTTGTCTGCGTTAATTTGGAAAAATATGAGTTTCTCTAACTCATCTCTCGTTAGAACAATCTTCACTTTCCGATCTTTGCTTTTGTAATCTTTCTTCGTCACTTCTTCTTCATATTTCTCTTCTTCTTCTTGATGATCAGCAACTTTTTCATTGTTTCTTCCGACTAAACAGTTTCCCATTATGATCACTTTATAATGGAGTTTTAATACCCACGTACACACAAAAAAAATAAAGGAGAAAGATAACAAAAAAGGAAACTTGGGATAGATACACCCAAGAAAAAAAGAAACCTTTCCTCTTGTTCTTCTTCCTTTGTTTCTCTTCTGTGTAGTTTGATTTGGATCTTGAAGTATCATGGAGCCATTAAGGTATTATATATAATATGCGTTATGAACAAAGAGAGGAAGAGGGAGAGAGAGAGAGATCGTTGACTCCTATTGTAATTAAGCTGCTAGATTATATTAGTTGGTTTTTAATTTAGTTTTAGGTTTGAAATGGTGAGGGCGCCGTTTAAACTTATCAAAGTCACAACTCACAGCAGTTGATCCATGCATAATAGATTACGTACGTACATAGTAACAGTGAGTTGCGTGGTGCGATCAAAACAATATTTTTTACGTGTACATATTATAATGAGATTGAGTATAATTAGATATAGTCTACATAGATTTTTTTTTGGTAAATATAGTCTACATAGAATGAAAAACTGTTAACTACTTATAAAATGTAGCCATATCTATTAACGATTAATGGTATTACTATCACCTCACCACGCTAACAAACTATAATTTTACGTGTTCATATTACACAGAACTATGACGTAATGACTCTACATGTATGGGAAATTCGAGATCAACCAAGAGATCGACCGTCGAAATAATAACCAACAATATAAAACTATTTATAGATTTAGAAAAGGTTATTTTCCGATAATTTGCATATGTATTAAATTATATGTAAAAAAATCATAGATTTTCATACTCAATATATATAGGTTTAGTCGTAATCATAACAAAACCTGAAATTCTAAGTTCATATAATGAGATTGAGTATGAATGGTATTTGCTATCAATATCATGAATGGAATAAATTAAACTTAAATCAACAAACCAAATAACCAATCGTCCTATATTTTGCATAGGATGAGTGTGGTACCAATTCTGAATTTCTGATCATTTTTTTTTTTTGGCGTCTAGATATTTCTATTATTATTTACGTAGATTTCAAATATTTTATATTAAAATTACTAGTAAAAAAATATTATTGTAAGAAGAAGACATTGTAACGTAAGCACATGTTCTGTCTGATTAGTTGGATCTTTGAACCAAACCAAAACCGTGTTAAATAAATCCTGGCAAATTTCATTTGTAATTGTACCAACTACCAACCTACCTTATTATTTAATTTTTTGTTAATGATCATATCATTAGATTCTATAATAAACTAAATGTTCCAGTTTGAAAGAACTCAATTATTCATTTTTTCATTTATTTAATAATCTTGATCATTCTTGTTAGTTATATTACAATTGGAAGTTGTAGTTTTACGTAGTCTTCTTAGATATAATTTCAAACCTCAAAATGATTAGCCGTATAATGTCAAACATTTGTAAGTATAATATATCAACCGGAAAACAAACAAAAACTGGAACCTTATTGCAATGCGATACTCCAATCATTGAATTTGTTCTTAACATAATTCATAACATAATAATTATTTGTATTTTTGATAATTGGATTCTAATTGGGGGGAATTTCAAAAATACCCATTTTCCAATACCACTTTTTAAAAATACCTCTCTTTCTAATTTTATCAAAAAGTCACTATCAAATTTAAAATTTATCAAAACAATATGTGTAACCTTATATTTATAGACACAAATTATCTTCATATATGTGTAAATTTATATATATATATATATATATATATATATATATTTCATAAATATCGTATAAATACCTTTTAAAATCATTTAAAACCCTTATAAATACCTTTTAAAAACCTTATAAAAACCTTATAAATGCCGTTTACAACCTTTTAAACCCTTATAAATATTTGGTTTTAGTCTCCTCATAGTAATGATGATCTTGATGCACCTTATCAACCATATAAAAGTTTATAATTTTTCATATTTGAAAATGGGTATTTTTGAAAATGGATAGAAAGAGGGGTATTTTTAAAAATAATTACACCAAAAGGGATATTTCTCAAAAATTGTCTTCTAATTAAGAAAAAGAAGAAAAAAAACGTAACTGGATAATGATATAATTTAATTATTAATAAATCGGCTTGTAAATATAAGAGTAATTTCTGCTATCGAAGAGACGCTTTCATAAACCCTTACGCGTTGTATGATTGATTCAATGCACCAAAATCTTATAAGGAAAACTTCTTACAAATGGGTAAAGCTAGTGATGGGCCTGATGGCACAGTATACCATCCTAGTCCTCAGTGATTCTTCTGTTCCTATCATGCCAACTACCAAGTTTCAATCTTTGGCCCAGAAAGCTTATTGACAAAAAATTGTAGAAATTGGTCATTTACTTTTATGAAGTAAAAGGCCATATCAAAACAGAATATGAATTCGTGTTTTTGAGGGAAAACTACGGAATTATGTTTTTTTTTTGGCGAAAAAACTATGAAATTATGTTTTTGGATTATGAATCTATATATTTGGTATTAAAATTACCAAATAACATTTTTTATGGAAAAACGTATTCACATTTTTTTGACAGGAAAATGTGAAGTTGTATTCTTTCAAAAAAATTGTGAAATTATGTATATGTCATGAAAAAATTATCTAATTCCCTAAAACCATCATTGTTGAGGGTCTCTTAACAAATTTTAGAGCTAAGATTTGTTAAGAAATAACTTTTATATAAAGACCGTCAATAATGATTTGTTAAGAGACCATCAATAAGAATAAGAATGGTCGAGGATTAATAAGTTTGTCTCTTAGTTAATTCACTTAATCACTTAAGCATTGATTCAAATACATGTTTATGATATATTGTGCTGAACTGGTCTCACTATATATTTTCTATTTCTCGTTTTCTAGATCATATGGTTAGCTTAGCTTGTATTATTTCAAGAACTCTTTTTGTTTCCTCATATTAGGCAACAAACAAAATATTTTGCTCAACAAAAATGCAATCTACATAACAAATTTTACTTTTCGATGTTATGCATTTCATATGGTCAGGTCCCAACATATAATAATTCAAAGAACAAAAAAGTGGTAAACAAAAATTAAACAATGAAACACAAAACACGTTGTACAAACGTTTTGGATTTTAGTATATAGTAACTAAATCAATATCTACAAAATTACAAGAGAGTTGGCTAATAATTTAAACGAAGAAACACAAAACACGTTCGTATGTTTTGTGAGACCCAGCGTGTACAGTCTATGTAGCCATGTGATAGCCTTATACGTGGTTGCTAATTCAAGACCAACTAGTATTTAAGCGACCCTTGTCTCATCACCATTTCATCAATACAAGCTTCTTTAACTCTCTACATACATTTTGCGATCAAACAACCAATCAAAAGAAAGATGGAAGGCAAAACTTTGATTGTGAGTGTCCTTGTTATGAGTCTGTTCATGGCACAAATTCAAGTTGACGCAAAGAGTTGCTGTCCATCCATCACTAGTAGAAATTTCTATAAATCTTGTTGCATAGTAGGATTTCCCATAGGAAAGTGTGCAAAGCTTAGTGGCTGCAAAATCATTACTGGTACAACATGTCCTAACGGATATTCAAAGGACATTCTCGAAAACACAAGTAAATAAATTGATTAATATTTTGTTTTTTTTTACGTATGTTATTTGTTTCACGAAGGAACAAGATTTCAATTTTTTTTTTATGTGTTTTGAATTATTGTCTTAAGGTACTGATAATGTCGGCGAATACTGCAAAATTGGGTGTGTGTCCTCTGTGTGCGGTACTTTAACCACTCTCCAAAATTCTGGTAAAACTAGTTTACCAATCAATTTTATTACTACAATCATTTTTTTTTTTTTTTTAATAATCGAAATATAATCAGTTCAAATTTTGTTTGAATGATTAGATGCAAGTGAAACCGTGAAAGGAGCAGTTGAAAAATGTACCAACGCTTGTTCTATGGTGTGCACCAAAAGCAGCTCAGTGAGTGCAGTTGAAAATGCCTAGTGAACTATATCCATGATCAAGATACCACGTATGAAGAGACACTCATCTTTCACACTGTTGTTTTCATGTTTTCAATAATTGTCGTGTATATGACAAAAATGTTAAAACTCTCATGCTAGTTTATGTACGTGCGTTAAAGGTTATCAATCTCTAGATTGTATATGCCTTGCATGTTATCTTTTAAAAAATAAATAATATGTTTGTTTTCTCATCTTATTCTTTTTTTTTTTTTTTTAACACTGAATCATACGATTTTATTAAACCAAAAATGTTGAAACAGACTAATAAAACCAATAATAAAACAAGAGATTCCAACTACTATAAGCTTGCTCGTTTCTCTTGGATAATCTTCTCATGCAGCCACGAAGGTCCACCTAAAGCAACATAGGAAGTGAGTCGACCATCTCTGGTAACACTCTGCGCAATATCTCTCACCAAACCATTTGCCTTGACAGCAGACACTTGAAAGGAGATCTCACTCATTGAATTAAGAACCCCAAAGATCTTGTCCAAAAGAGAATGGTATTTGGGCCAGGCTTTCGGAGACGCCAGTGCTTCAAGAGCAGCTTTGCAGTCCGACCAAACCTCACATGAAAGAATACGAAGATCCTTAATGCTTTGCAAACACCAGAGAATACAACTAAGCTCTGCAGCAATTCGATTTGTACGAGGCAGGAAAGCATCCCGTGCGTGAAACAACACATCACCAAGATGGTTACGAATTATCCAAGCTCCTCCACAAAAATCATGATCAGTCTTCCAAGAACAGTGAACATTACATTTTAATCTTCCAACTGCAGGCTTAATCCATCGATGTGAAAACGAATTAGCTCGTATACCCCCAACATCTCTGTCCACATTATGGAGGTTTTGCTGCAAGAACCATTCCTCGGCCTCATTGAGAGCCTTAGCTAACAAAATGTTGTGATTCTGAGCTTGTCCTGCAAAAATAAAACTATTTCGTGCCTTCCACGTCTCCCAAAGAACCCATGGAATCGCAGCTCGTTGAGGCGCCGGTAAATCCATTCTATCCATTAAACTAAGGAGATGATCTAAGTTTTCTGGAAAACTCAATGAAAACCCATTCACCGGCAGTGGGAGAAAATTAGAAGACCAAATCTGCCTTGCGACAGTGCATCGAAACAGAACGTGCGGAACCGATTCTTCTTCTATACCACAGATTTGGCACATCGGGTTAACATGAAGACCATGAGAGCGCAAACACTCAGCAACTGCTAATGCACCCGAAAGAGCTCTCCATAAGAACATACGAATTTTCTGTTCAGTGGGAATATTCCACACCCGACTTTTGATCTTGTTTATATGGAGCTCATGATCCGTTGATTGTTCCAAGGCCTCAGCCTCGCGGTTTAAAAACCAGTACCCATTCTTTACTGAATATTGGCCATTCACTGTGAAAGCCCAAACATAACTATCCTGGAGATTAATTGCAGGCGGGAAGGAACAAATGCGAGTCACATCAATAGGCAAGAAAAGCGAGTGAAGTCGAGGGATATCCCATGAACCATCCATGTTTATAAGAGAACAAACTTTCAGGTTCAAATCCATGAAGATCTCCTTATTAACTGGACGCCGAGGAAGCTCATCAAAAATCCATTTATCAAGCCACACACTCGTAGATTTGCCATCTCCAATCGATTTCATCACTCCTTTTTCCAGCATTTCTCGACCAAAAATTATACTGCGCCACGCATACGATGGTCGATAACCCATTTTAGCCTCTAAGAAGGTTCTGTTTGGATAATAGATTGCTTTATAAACCTTGGCTAATAAAGACGATGGAGAGTTTAAAAGCCTCCATGCCTGTTTTGCAAGCAATGCTTGGTTAAACCAACCAATATCACGAAATCCCAATCCTCCTCTTTCCTTTGATCTACAAACTTTCTTCCAAGCAACCCAATGCATCTTATTTTTCTCCTCTTGGGCATTCCACCAAAATTGCATCATGGCACTTGTAATTTGCTTACATTGATGTTTAGTCAACTTAAAGCAAGACATTGCATAAACAGGAAGAGCCATGGCAATGGATTTTAACAAAACTTCCTTCCCTCCCAAGGAGAGTGTCTTTTCAAACCAGCCACTAAGTCTTGACTTCAATCTATCCGTGATAAAGCTGAGAAGGTCTCTCTTTGATCCACTAAAGCATTCGGGAAGTCCCAAGTACTTACCATCTCCACCTTCTTGTTCAATACCTAAGACAAGTCCCAGTACCCGTCTCATATAAGGGTCGAGTTTCTTCCCAAAAGTGATAGCAGATTTCTGGAAATTAATCTCCTGCCCCGATGCTTTACCATACAGTTCCAGACATTTTAAAAATTCAGTGCACTCTTTGAAGGTTGCTTGACATAAGAACAAACTATCGTCCGCAAAAAGCAAATGTTGAATCGATGGACAGGAAGGTGAAGGTTTCATTCCTGTTAAACGACCGTCAAGCTCAGCTTTATTCATGATATGCACTAACGCCTCTGCACAGAGGATAAAGAGGAACGGGGATAGCGGATCCCCCTGCCTTAGTCCCCTTTGAGGTTGAATATATCCATATGAAGCGCCATTAATAAGAACAGAGTAAGACACCGAGGTAACACAACTCATTATCCATTTCACCCACTTGATATCAAAACCTAACCGTATAAGTAATTCTTCTAAGAAGGCCCATTCAACACGGTCATAAGCTTTAGACATATCCGTCTTGATAGCCATGAAATCTTCATCACAACTACTATTAGTTTTCAAGGCATGAATCAGTTCATGTGCAAGTAAAATATTGTCAGAGATCAACCGTCCTGATACAAAAGCTCCTTGTGTGTCTGAGATAATAGAAGGTAATATGAGCTTTAACCGATTACACAAAACCTTGGAGACAACCTTGTACAGAACCGAGCAGAGACTAATAGGCCGGAGATCAGTCATCTTTGATGGATTTACCTTCTTTGGGATTAAACAAATCTGTGTAAAGTTCCACTCAGACGGTAAGGAACCTGATTCAAAAAACTGTTGCACCTAAGAGATGACTTGAGACCCAACAATATCCCAAAAAGATTGATAAAAATTCCCCGTCATGCCATCAGCTCCCGGAGTACTGTCACCTCTAATACTAAACACCGCCGCTTTAATCTCCTCACTTATCAAAGCAGAATTCATCTGAGCTGAAACCCGTGGGAGTAAACCATCCAAAGCCTCAGAAATTAGGGGTGGAGAGGAACTTGAAAACATTTTGCGAAAATAATCAACAGCCACTTCCCCTTTGGAGCCTTCAGAAAACTGTTCAACACCCATGTCATTGATTAGTGAAAGGATTCTATTCTGAACTCGACGTTGCTTTACACTCCCATGGAAAAACCTAGTGTTCCTGTCACCTTCTCGCAACCATTTTTCTTTACTCTGCTGCTTCCAAAAGAGTTCTTCCTCATGATAAGCTTCAACTAATTGCCACCGTAGATTTTTTAATAACTGAAAATCCGGTCTTAGTTTAGCTCCTTCTATTTCAAGCTCATTGAGCAGCCGTGAAATATTTTCTTGAGAGTTTTGGTTAGTCGCTTGCTTCCAAAGAGATATAGCCTTTCTGCAGTCCGCAATACGGCTCATTAAGGAGTAATTATTCAAGGTTGTCCCTTTATTCCAACCATCTCTCATTATCGCCGCAAAATCCGGTTTCGATACCCATCTTTTCTGAAACATAAACCTGCCTTGTTTTGAAATGTTTTCATTCACAAACCTTGTGATGATAGGACGATGATCAGAACCAATTCTTTCCAAATACTCAGTTTGAACCCTTGGGAAGAGATGAAACCAAGCTGTGTTTCCGAGAGCCCTATCGAGCCTACACTGCACCCAAACCTGATTACGTTCCCCAGCCCATGAGAATTTATTACCAATGCTAGGGACCTCCCGTAGACGGCAATCATGAATCATATTCCTAAAAGGAAAGAAGGATGATTCTGCCCGTGTTGGTCCTCCTAACTTCTCTGAGTTGTCCATGATTTCGTTAAGATCTCCCAAGACTAACCATGGTTCATCTCTGGACACTCCTAGGCCTATAAGCCTATCCCAAACAACTTGTCGACGATGTGTCACTGGATCACCATAAACACATGATACGAAGAAAGATACCGAGCCTAGCTTAATCTGAATGTCAATGATACGGGAATCAGCACTAAGGACCTCAACCGTATAAGACGCTTTCCAAAACAACGCTAAGCCTCCACTTAAACCCACCAGATCCACCATGTATGCATGATCGTAACCCAAGGACTGTTGTAACTTCACCACGTGATCACTGGAGTTCTTCGTCTGCAGGAGGAACAGAAAATCCGGAAAATGTTCACGACGAATTTTCCGTAGAATAGGAATTGTCAAGTTGCCCCCCAAACCTTGACAATTCCAGCTCACAAAGCTCATAATTGATTCGGCGGTTCCTCATGTGGAACCACCTTATCCTCAATGCGCTTAGCGACTTTAGATGTTATTTGATCTTCTGCAACAGCTTTCCTTTTAGAAGATGACACCTCCTCCATCTCCTTATTATCAGCAGGCTGACTTGTGACTGCACCTTCCCTTAACTTCTGAGCTTTACGCCTCCATTGATTTGGTCTTTTACGTTTCGACAACTGTTTTGGGTGCACTCCATTTGAACCAGCTGAAAAACTTGCTCTCAACTCCGCAGAACCAAAATTATTCTGAGAAGCAGTAGCATAGGTTGCAGAACGAGACTTCACTGGCTGAGAAAGCCGAGACATCGCTTTACCAGAACGAATAGCTTTGTTGACACAATCCTCACCCGAGTTTGCCGTAGAACTAGCTCCTTCAAAATTAAACACCAAACATTTCCCTTGATTAACCTCTGTGGTAAACTTTGTTGGAGCTTCAAGACGAAGAATAGTCTGTTGACCATTGGTATCACCCTCCAAATCCCAAACTGACTTCCTAACACGTTCAACATGAATCTTTCGCAACTGTGGATCTGCAACTGACAAGTATTGCCTCATCTCATCTAAAACTTCTTTGGCAATTTTTGGCTTACCAGATATCGGATCAATTCCAACATCGGCATCAGTCAAAACTCGAAACAGAGGATCATCCTTACTTATTTTCGGGACTAAACGACTTGGTATGACCAGTTTAATACCTCCCGTAGCAACAGTTTGCCGGTTTGAGGGATTAAATGGACATCACTCTCTGTCATGAGTTAATCGTTGACACTGGTAGCAACGACGGCGAATCCTCTCATACTCCACTCCAATGTTAATCACCTCTCCAGATGGAATCTGAAGTTCTCTAAAGTTCTTTAGTGGTTTGTTTACGTCGAAAAGAACTTTAACCCTGACATAACCCTTACTCAACGGTTTCAAGGGATCAAAGGCAACAAGAGAAACTTGCCCAATATGCGCAGCAATTTCCTTAATTGTATCAGCTGTGTTGAAATTCACCGGAATGTTGCGTAATCGGATCCAAATTGGAATTATTTTCAAATAATCATCCGGCGGCTTCTCCACCCAACGCTCCAATGTAATACTCCAATCATTAAAAGTCCAAGCACCGGTCTCTAGAACCGTAGTTAACTCGGACTCTGAATCAAAGAAGAACTGAAACTGATCCTTTGTTAAAGCTATTCCTCTAGCTCTGTTATACACACGTTACAAGCGAGGCATTTCATGAATCAAATCAGACATCTTCTGATTCTCAGGACATAGTAGGCGACCAATGATACTACTCTTATTTCGCAAAAAAGAGCTGAATTGCGGAAGGTTTTGCAGCACGATTGGTTTATCATCCTCGATCGACATGTCTTTCAAAGCTTTATCCAACTCATACTCCATGGGTGCACTTAACGGCTGAAAAAGTAGATAACTTGAACGAATTCACCAGTATGTTCAACGGCGGCTCTCAAGAACACAACAGATTAGGGTAAAAATTCAAAAGATCTTAAAAGATTTTGTCACAAAAGTGATAAAAACAGAAAATATTCTCACAAATCCGGCGAAAACAGAGATATTCCCGGTTTACATAAGTTCTCCCTCATTTATTAGTTATTAGTTTTAGTTTTTTTTTTTTAACACTGAATCATGAGATTTCATCTTATTCTTTTTAGTTATCGAAATGGTGTTTCAATAAGGATCGATCTCATATGATATCTTGATAGTGTATAAGCTACTTAATTCTCACTATATATGATATTGCATAGTGAACTAGCTTTGTTGCTGCGTATCTCATATCTTGATAGTATAAGCTACTTAATTTAACTTAAGACTTAACCAAATCAAAACTCCAAAATATTAGTTTCCACCCTAAACTTATAAAATTCCATTAAAATGCTTTAATTTATATTATTATTATTAGCAGTTATATTTGACAACAATTCATTTATTTTTGCTCTATTTTATTACAAATATAATTATGAATGGGATAAAATCATACAATGAAAACTAGCTATTTAGGCGGACATACGTTGACATAAAGGGGTGCATCAATATTAGTGTTAATGTTAATGATTCGTACATCAACCTATCAACTCATTAAGATCCAAATAGTATAACCATTTGTGTTAATGATTCGTACATCAATATTAACCATTACAACCCAACTCACATAACACATCAATCCAGCGACTAATAACTTATTTTAACCCATCAAATATTTTAGATCCAAATAGTAAAACCATTAGGGTTAATGAGTCACGTTACGAGGATTGGTTCATTTTTGACAGTTGTGGAAATATTTAAACACTTATTTAATTTCTTAGATAGAAACTTTATCAATTTATTTCATTTTAGAAAAATACAATAAATTTATCAATTTCTTAATATTAGGCAGCTCACAAAATATTTTCCTCAATAAAAAAAAAAATTCAATCCACATCAAAAAAAAAAAAAAAAAAAAAAAAAAAAAAAAGTTTACTTTTTAGTTATCTGCATTTATATACGGTCCCATCATATAAAATAATTCAAATAGAAATTGAGAACAGAAAAGTGGTAAAAAATTAAAATTAAAAAAATGAAACACAAAACACGTTGTAACAAACGTTTTGGATTTTAGTAAATAAATAAATATCTACAAAACTAGAAGAGAGTTGGCAAAAAATTAAACGAAGAAACACAAAACTATTATTTAAGCGACCCTTGTCTCGACAGTACCATTTCATCAATACGAGCTTAATTCTAACTCTTTATATACATTTTGGATCAAACAACTAGTGAAAAGAGAGATGGAAGGCAAAACTTTGATTGTGAGTGTGCTCGTTATGAGTTTGTCCATGGCACATATTCAAGTTGACGCAAAGAGCTGCTGTCCTGAAACCACTCCTAAAGACCTCTATATCATGCTTGTCTCGCCGTGAAAGGTTCCAGAGAAAGGTGTGCAAGCCTCAGTGGCTGCAAAATCATTACTGGTACAACATGTCCTAACGGATATATCTCTATATTAGTAAAAGAGAAATACAAAATATAATATGGGTCGGGTCAAAATTAAAACATTAACCCGATTTTAACAATTAGATACTTCAAAATTGGATATTAAAATGGGTTTGGATACATATATCGGATACTTTCCATATCTAATTTTAAAATTATATTACTTCCATTACTTCCATAACTAATTTTATGATTTCCTAATAAATCTCTAATAAATCAATTATTATTCTTCTTTAACTTTTATTTGATATTATTTTTAATTTATGATATTTTTCTATATAACAAAAATAACTAATAAATTTTTTTTTTTGCATATGTTGCAATTTGAATTTTTCAAAACGGATATAATACTCAACTACACTCAGTTAGATATTTTGGACAATGATTTTAAAATCAGTATAAGTATGACCAATATTAAAACATTTGTTACATGAGCATAATTTAAAGTTTCAAAATATTATAATTAAAAGGTTCAAATATATAAAAATTTAGAATTTAAAATACTAAAAATATTTTGTTTGGACACATAATTTTTATTGATAAAATATATTATATATAAAACTATGTAAATTTTAGATAGTTCGCTGGTAGTTTGTTAAAATCACAATTATAATGGTAAAGAGAGTTATGAATAATGTTTTTTAAAAAATGAATTCTGTTACGGTTGGTCGTTCAAAAAATATATTGTAAGTATGTAATTTTTACATATATTCATACTTCTACTATAAAAATGGTCAAATTGAATAATTTGTCGATAAAATTATTATTTCGTGCTGTGAAATTTTCACTGTTTTTTTTAATTGTATCAAAACTCATTGTATTATTATTTACTCGCTTTTTCGTTTATTATTTTATTTAAACTTATTACACAAATATATAATTCACCGTAATCAAATGCATTGCAATAAAATTAAAATGTGACATATTCTAATCTATTAAAGGTTATATATATGTAATTATTTCCCGGATCCGAACCTAGTTTAAGTGACATTCTCGAAAACACTAATTAATTGTTTGTTTTATTTACGTATATTATTTATTGTCTTTAGGTACTGTTACTGTTGTCAGCTGCAATGATGGATATGTATCGTCTGTGTGTGGTGCTTTAACCACTTTCTAAAACTCCGGTAAAACTAATTTCTCATACATATTATTACTATCATCAACTTTTTTTGTTTCTAAATTATCCACAAAAAACAATTCGTTCAAATTTTGTTTGGATGACTAGATGCAAGTGAAATCGTGAGTGAAGCAGTTGCAAATTGTGCCAACGCATGTTCTACTGTGTGCACCAAAAACTCAATGAATATAGTTGAAACTGCTTAGAGCATATCCATCAATGAAGATACCAAGTAACAACCGGAGATGAAGGGACACTCATCTTTGACACTGTTGTTTTTCATGTTTTCAATAATTGTCGTGTATGCGACAAAAATGTTAAAGTGTACATGCATTTTGTTTTAGTTATCAAAATGATCTTTCAATACGGGTCTCATATCATAATAGTATCAGCTACTTAACTAACAACAGTAGTGTTAAGGTTTTCTCACTATACATGATATATGCCTAGTGAACTAGCCTTGTTTCTACGTTGTCTATATACAATATTATATATCCTAAATCTTACTTAGCCAACCTATCAACTTAACCCAACTCACATGACCTCATCAGTCCATTTTGACTAGTAACTTATTTAACCCACCAATTCTTTAAGATCCAAATAGTAAAACCACTAGCTAGGGTAAGGATTGATAATTTTGACACTCGTGGAGATATTTTAACACTTTTTTCTTTAGATAGAACATTTATCAATTTATTTAATATTTTAAATAGTTCAATGAATTTACAAATTCATGTTATTTCCAATTTTAAAAAATACTACTGTAATATGTTTAAATTGTTTATCTAAATCAACTTCATTGACAATAGTTCAACAAAAGTATATCTGAACTCCAAAAATAACGTCTTTAGTTTATTTTTCTTCTCCATAATTAAACGCTTTTAATATATGTCTTCTTTAGTATTATAAAATTTAATAAACTAGATAACTAAAATTCTTTTAATATAAGTTTTAAGTATAAAACTAAAGCATATAAAAGTTTGAAGAATCACTTTGTAAATGAAAAAAAGTTATCATCACTCTTAAAATAGCGTAAACACTAATTACTTTACTACTCTATATTTAGAGTAGAAGTTAGAGATGATGCTCTTAACCTACCGGTTTTTAAGCCGTGACCTCACTCAAACACTTAAGCTTCCTAAAACAAATATAGCAATCTGTCTTAAAACATAAAAATTCTGCTTTCTAGGAGAGAGCTAGAGAGAAACAAAAAATGACGACACAGAAGAGATTCATCTTTGAGGTCGAGGCAGCTAAGGAAGCCACCGATGGAAACCCTTCTGTTGGTCCTGTCTATCGTAGTACTTTCGCCAATAACGGTTTCCCTAATCCGATCGACGGAATCCACAGCTGTTGGGATATTTTCCGGTCTGAATCTCGTTTCTTTTTTTATGTTTTCCCGACCAAAAATGTGTATTTGTGTGATTAGGTTTCTTGTTACATTGTTATATATTTTGAAGGGTTTTTTTTTTTTCTAATAAGTTTTGTTCGTATGAAAAAATAATATATGATCCATGATTGTTGCATTAATTATCATATTGAAACATGCATGTGATTGTTATAAACGTACGTGTATGGATTATGGATCTTGTGTTTCATCTTGTAGCACGGCTGTTGAGAAATATCCAAACAATCGAATGCTTGGTCGCCGTGAGATTGTGAATGGGAAGGTGTAGTATTATATTTAATTTATTTGGAATTTAGTGTGAGATATTGTGTTTTTGATTTGATAGTTTCATTTTTTTTCTTATTAGGCAGGGAAGTACGTGTGGAAAACATACAAAGAAGTATACGATATCGTCATAAAACTTGGAAATTCTCTACGTAGTTGTGGGATTCAGGAGGTTAAAAATTCATATTTGCGTGTTTTGTTCTTATATATATCTTTAAATGTGATTTTATTGTGCCTTAAGTTTGTCTCTTATATGTATATATCTGGGAAATGTAGGGAGAAAAATGTGGTATCTATGGTATAAATTGTTGTGAGTGGATCATAAGCATGGAGGTATGTGGAACTTTTCAACTCTGCTAATACCTTTGATATTCGTCTACTATGACTTGATTGATGGTGCACTTGTAATTAATGCAGGCATGTAATGCGAATGGCCTCTATTGTGTCCCTTTATACGATACATTAGGTATATACTTATCATGTGTTTTGATGATCATCTTTATAGAGTCTTCTATTGTATTATCAACACAATCCGGTTTTCTTAACATAGGTGCTGGTGCTGTGGAATTTATTATTTCACACGCAGAGGTATCAGTTGCATTTGTGGAGGAGAAGAAGATCCCTGAGGTATCCTTCACATATTATATATCTATAGTGTACTATAACTTTGTTTGTAAGTTTGTATATATTCTCATTCCTTTTAACTTTCAGATTTTCAAGACTTGTCCAAACTCAACAAAATATCTGAAGAGTGAGTAATACTAAGTGGATCCAATCATCGATCTTTTTCGTTTTATAATACTTGTGATACTAATGATCAGTTTGTTACAAAATGAAGCTGTTGTGAGCTTTGGCTGTGTCAAACCGGAACAAAAAGAAGAAGCTGAAAAATTAGGATTGATAATACATTCTTGGGATGAGTTCTTGAAGCTGGTAGGAGTCTTTTCCATTTGCTTTTTTTTTTTTCTTTCTTCTAATTCTAGAATATTATCATTACATATAATATGATATAACATATAAACTATATTTTTATTGTGGTTACCTATGACAGGGTGAAGGTAAGCAATATGATCTCCCCATTAAAAAGGAAAGCGACATATGCACAATTATGTATACGAGTGGAACCACTGGTGATCCAAAGGGAGTTATGATTTCGAACGAAAGCATTGTTACTATAACAACTGGAGTGATGCATTTCCTAGAGAGTGTTAACGCAACTGTGAGTTTTTTTTTTTTTACTTGGTATGATTTACACTGAAGCTAGCTACAATGTTGAAGTTTTAGTTGTGTTAAATTGTGGAAATCAAAACAGATATCTGAGAAGGATGTGTATATTTCTTATCTTCCTCTGGCGCACGTATTTGACCGGGCTGTCGAAGAATGTGTTATTCAAGTAGGTGGTTCTATTGGTTTCTGGCGAGGGGTGAGTGAGTATATAACTCAAATCTAATCTTCCAACTAAATGAATTTTCATTTTGTATAAGAGTATAATAGTTCTATATCATGTCCTCAGGATGTCAAGTTGTTGATTGAAGACCTTGGTGAGCTAAAACCAAGTATCTTTTGCGCCGTTCCTCGTGTTCTAGATCGAGTATATACAGGTATTTGTTACTGAGCTCTCGTATAACATATGTTGATCCAGTTAGAGCATATTTACTAAACTTGGTTTCGTCTTTTAAACCACTTATATGTGATTTATTATCTCCAACAGGACTCCAGCAGAAACTATCTGGTGGTGGTTTCTTCAAAAAGAAGGTGTTTGATGTTGCTTTTTCCTAGTAAGTCCTTTTTGTTTGTCACTTAAAACCTGAACTTAAAATGCATGTAGATATTTAACTAACTCACTCAATCCTCTTCAGTAAATTTGGAAATATGAAGAAGGGACAGTCTCATGTGGCAGCTGCTCCATTTTGTGACAAACTTGTATTCAACAAGGTGAGTAATCTCCAAAAATATCTGCAACTATTTTGAGACTTCAACTCTTTTATGTAATCTCTCTCAAGGTTAAACAAGGACTTGGAGGCAATGTGAGGATTATTCTATCTGGAGCAGCTCCTCTTGCTAGTCACATTGAATCATTTCTAAGAGTTGTGGCATGTTGTCATGTTCTTCAAGGATATGGTATACCTCTATACCCAAAAGAGAGTCAATTAGATAACAATCTCTTATCTTATGATTGTTTTCTTGGCTGTAGGTCTAACCGAGAGCTGTGCTGGAACTTTTGCAACGTTCCCTGATGAACTAGACATGCTTGGAACGGTTGGTCCACCCGTTCCAAACGTAGATATACGCCTTGAATCTATCCCGGAAATGAATTACGATGCTCTTGGAAGTACTCCGCGTGGCGAAATCTGCATCCGTGGAAAAACTTTGTTTTCCGGGTATTACAAACGTGAAGATCTCACAAAAGAGGTTCTCATTGATGGATGGTTGCACACAGGTTACTAATTAAACACCACATATCTTTGATCTTTTTGCTTTGCTAGCTATATCATTGTCAATGTCAGTTCTTCTTTACCTTATTAAATTTACTATGTATTCACCAGGTGATGTTGGTGAGTGGCAACCAAATGGGAGCATGAAGATAATTGATCGGAAAAAGAACATATTCAAACTCGCGCAAGGAGAGTACGTCGCAGTTGAGAATATAGAAAATATCTACAGTCAAGTAGAAGCTATTGATTCAGTAAGTTATATTGTAGCCTTTCTTTCTATCGTTGTTATATTTCACGAGTTTCTAAGTCAAAACCAATTGGCAGTAAGTATAGTCAGATCGATGTCTTGCTAATTTCAAGATATCTTGATCCCTATATATGTTTGTCTTTATAGGTATGGGTGTATGGAAACAGCTTTGAGTCCTTCCTGGTCGCGATAACTAACCCGGCCCAACAAACTCTCGAACGATGGGCCGCGGAGAATGGAGTGAATGGAGACTTCAACTCCATCTGCCAAAACGCCAAGGCAAAAGCATTCATACTTGGCGAACTCGTTAAAATAGCCAAAGAGAAAAAGGTTTTCTTCTTTTTGTTCTCTTTCTCCTCTTTAATTTTGAACTTTCTTTGGTTTTTTTTAACTCTCTGCTTTTGTAGTTAAAGGGCTTTGAGATCATTAAAGCTGTTCATCTAGAACCACTGGCTTTCGACATGGAAAGAGACCTTCTTACTCCGACCTATAAAAAGAAGAGGCCTCAATTGCTCAAATATTATCAGGTAATTGGCCGTAATTATAATATTAAAAACACATTAGGCTTTACGAAGCTCATAATGTTTTCCTCTATTGGTGTTATTCAAACAGAATGTGATAGATGAAATGTACAAGACAACAAAGGAAGGTCAAGCTTCCGGACAGTAGTTTTCTTCTACTTATCTAATTCATTCTTTCTTTTGCATAAGACATAGTTTAATAAGTTTGTGTTGATATTTTGAGATGTTACATATATAGCAACTCGACATGCTACAACATGTCTTAGTTTTTACTTCCTTGAAAAGTTCCACATATGGTTCCAAATTAACTTGGTTGGACACGTTGAAATATTTATAAACAAAGAGAACAAAAATATCTTTAATGGCTTTGATATGTATCATTGATCCATCTATAGCTATCAATTAGGCGGGCCGTCCATGCGTTTATCCGGTCCACGTTGATATATATAAACAAAGAGAACAAAAATACCTTTAATGGCTTTGATATGTATCATTAATCTATCTATAGCTATCAATTGGGCGGGCCGTTCATGAGCTTGTCCAGTCTAGACTATTATAGATGGTCCATGGACACGCCCATACAAAAGATTGTCCAATTGGACAAAAATACCATTTGTCTATGGATATGATAGACAAAACCATATGGACAATGGACAGTCCAATTTTCAAAAAATCTTAAGGTTTTTAATTTTGGAGAAAATTAAATTTTATATTTCTTATCTAGATGAGTTGATTTGATTTTAAAAATGCCTAAAATACACATGCTTTCATCTAATAGGCACTTTCAATCTTAATGTTAGTCACACTAATTTAATTATTGATCTACAATACACCTAAATCATTTACAAACTAATATTTTTGACATTTATAAATTTCCATTTTCATGAAAACGTAAAATTACGTTTTTGGCGGGAAAACATAATTTTTTCTTTTATTGACGAAAAAACTTGATTTTTCGTTTTTGGCGGGAAAACGTGATTTTGCGTTTTTTTGGCGAAACAATGTGATTTTGAGTTTTGGTGGGAAAATGTAATTTTTTGTTGTTGGTGGAAAAACATGATTTTGCATTTTTTTGGAAAAAACGTGAATTTGCGCTTTTGGCGAAACAATTTACGTTCTAATTTAAATTTTATGAAGAGAAACAGAAATAATAAAAGTAAAACTAGAATGTCCAAATAGACATGATTTTTATTGGACATAGATATATTTTAGATCTATGTTCATTATGACCGTCCAAATATATCACATAAATAAAATTGTCCATTTGAACACATCCAATAGTTGGTGGACAGACCAATTGACGGTTCTAGAACCTCGACCATCCCGTTTGTATCGAAAGCAGTTAAAGGATACTTATTACTTGAGCCAAATGGTACATTGATAAATAAGCACGTACGTATGCTTCAGGAGCGATATCTACTAAACCCTAATTCACATCATTTAACGAAAGATCCACGATTTCAAAATAGTGCATGTAACCTATTAGTAAGATATAATCTATTATGGATCGGATCACGTTTTGCTGGATTCAGTCCACAAACACATCCTGCACCAATGTAACGAAGCGGCAGATAAGTCTAAGGTAGAAGCGGTTCTCAAGATACATGTATATATATATATATATACACTATATACACTTATTCAATTCTTGTTGTTTATACATTTCCATTTGGTTAACTGAATCTATTCATCGTAACTATAATGTCTTATATCTTTCAATCAATAAATAAATAAACAAATATTTTCTTCATAATATAAGACCAAAAAGGAAAGAGTCAGGGTAAGAAAACCCTTTTGGAGAGGAAACGTGACGTGGAATGTCATAATTGAGCAATGAACAGTTTATGTGACCGTTACTACACAAACGTCATATGATATCTACATATTTGGTGTTACAGCAAACCGGACCGGACCAGATCAAACTAACGAACCAATACGATAGGTGATAGAGACATTTTGAAGTAAACCATTAGCAGATCATGAACATATAAAACTGAAAACTCTTAATATTATTAGATACTGAACACCAATCTTATTTACAACTTTTACTTAAGTTAGATAGTGCTAACGACAGGTTTTGCTCATTGGTTAGGTACCTATTGTGTTTTTTTTTCTACTCATCAATAGGTTTATATGAAAGGAAAATAAAATTATGATTTTCTATATTTAATTTCTTCCGTTCAAATTAGTTATCGTTTTAGATTGTTTTACATTAAAAAATTCAATAAATTTAACTATTATAATTTCAAGCTTATTTAATACTTATTTATTTAATGAAAAAAATATAAGATACTCTTTTATTAAAATGATACTAATAATGAAAACATAACTAAACTGAAAAAAAAAAAGAAATTAGAATAAAACTATTTTCAAACGGAGGGAATACTAACTTTTTTGTTTAAAAAGAAAAGTAGTTTGAAGATTTTTAGAAAATCAACTTTAGTGCATATATATATTATTAGCATAAAGGGTCCGAATGGTAACTGCGGTTTTCACTGCGGGAGAAGTGCGGTACGGTTCAAATAATAACGAAAATATATAGATATATATGTATATGTAGATATTTTGACACTGTTACAACACTGTTGCGGTGCGGTTTTGTAGTGCGGTATGGTTACCATTCGGAGCCAAAGTTGACCAACGAAGACAACAGAAACGCATTTTGGATTTGCTGGTGGATCATTATACTTAGCTGTATATATATATATATTCCAAGTAGCAATCCTTAAAAGAGAAAATTCCAAGAAAGGTTTTTATAAAAAATCTTGTACCTATCCGTTTCATAAAACTAAGCATTGTTGTCATTATTTCTTCCTTTTATTTGTGTGTTTCTCTTTTTAATTTGAGAGCTTTTATGAAATACATATGCAAGTTGAAGAATAAATATGCATGCAAGTTATCAAACAGACGTGTGTCGTTGTGCTCGTAATATGTGTCCGTTAGTGGACGGACCTTCACTCGCATGCATATGATGTTTCTTTTTGTTTATTTCCATGATACTTTATATTTATTATAAATGCGTTAAACTATATTATTCGACGTTTGATGGAAAAAAAAAAAAAGGGTATTTGCTCAATCAACAACGTTTGGGTATTTTGTATATTTTTAGATCGTAAGAATAGAGATTTTTGATAAAATTTATTATATATACCGTCGACGTTTTACTGGTTTATAATAAGTTAATTGATTATAAATTTTATAACTCTTTTTTAAAAAATAAAGTAGTAAGTTGAGTGAGACTTGCAGAATTTTGTAATATCCATACATACGTATTATGTAGTATATATTTGTCACTTATTTATATGTGTATATGTAACCCTTTTAAGCTTTAATTTTTTTCTTTCTCAAAGTTATATTTTTATGTCTGAAAACGCATGATCATCTCTAAAAACATTTAACAAAAAATTTCACAATATTATAAAACTTACACGTAAGTTTCCCGATACTTGTTTGATTATAATTAAATGTTGTATAGAAACGTAACGATTCTAATATCTACAATAATTTTGATTGTGTCACAAATTCCATATATATAAAAAAAATTTGGTTAGAAGAACATAGGAATCGATTTTTACCTTTTTTCTTTTTATAGGAATCGAAATTTGTAAATTTGTTAGCCTAATATAATAGTGGACGACGCATTACTGCATTAGCCTGATATGGCTAAAAGATATGCAATGTTCCCACCGACCCTTCGACGATGGATTCGATCTCCAATGTTTCGAGTTAAAGAAGTGTTTATATAGTCTCAGACTCAGACCACTTGACTAGTAGACAAACCAAAGTATAAAACAAAGATATCTAAATAGTAAATAGCCATCACATTTCACATATATATAAATCACAAACAATGCGGTCTACCAAGGTGTCTAGATTACGTTTTCTATTTAAATCCTTTTCTTACTCCACACACACAAAAAAAACGTATCAGAAGTGGCAATCTCTAGACCGTCATTTAGTTTATTTTATTTTATTTTTTCATTTGTGTCGTTATAAGATATAATAGAAAGAAAGAAAAAAAGACACGACAAGATATATATGTATATATACAGAAGCATGTGTTAGGTAATATAAATCACTTTTTTCTTTGCTCACTTCAACGGATGTGTTAATTCTTGAAAGGTTTTAGTGGAATCAAAAATATCATGAAATCGGACATTACTATACCCATAGTGGCCGAAGATGGCGACTGCAGCGAGAGTAAGCGAGTAAGAGTTACTGATGATCCGGGATTAACCGTCGGTGGCGAGGACAGACCTGTGAAGCTACCAAAGATCCAAGATAACGGTACGTAACTAGTTATGTAAGCCTCTAGTTTTGCTTCATTTCTAGTTTTTGATCAAGAGTGTTTGAAATCTAATTTAGCACAAGACTATTTTTTTTTTGTTTTATGATATATATCTTCATGTCATAAGAATTAAAATGTCATTCTAAAAACAAGAAAAAAATATATGATAAATTATTAAAGAATATTTTTATGGAACCTAAGACTAAATCTTTTCTTAGTTATTAACTTAAGACAAAAATTTAAAAATTAAACTAGTAGTTAATAACTTGTGTTCTTGGTTATTTTAAGATGAAATTTTGTTTTTGGTTTAATAACTTGAGAAAACATTTTATGCTTAAAAAAACATATTTACTTTTTAATTTATTTTTTGAATCTTAGCAAAATAAAAGTAAACATAACTTTGGTGTAAACTTTTTTTTTGTCACAATCGAATATTTTATTCAAACCTTCAAACGAAGGAAGAGAAAAAAAATATGATCTTCTACGTATTTAGGAGATGTTGGGACATCAGGAGGAGGAACACACGTTGTTGTCGATGCACTTATGGCCGACGTGGCGATCAACGATAAAGACGGGAAAACAAACGCCGGACATGGAGTAGTCTCAGTCATGGGACGGCAGAGAGCTATGACAACCGCTGTTTCCACCGTCGTCGACGAGATACCGTCTTACGACATTTTCGGAATCTTTGACGGTCTTAGGCTGGCTAAATTCTTCGAGGACAGGCTGCGTCGGCTCGTGAAGGAGGAGGTGAAAGCATGCCACGGCCGTGGAGTGGCCGCGGACTGGAACAAAGTTATGAGATCTTGTTTTTCCGAGACGGTGGGGACAGTTGGAACCACCGCGGGAGAAGCGGTGGTTACAATTGTAGGAAAAGATGAGGTGATTGTGCTCTGCCGCGGTGGCGCAAGGGTGGTTCTTTACTCTCACGGCGGAGTAGCTTTGCCTCTTTGCCATATTCATCATCACAAGGTAATTAACTTTTTGTTGCAATTTAAACTCATTAAATTGTATAATTTATAAAATGTAATATTTCTAGGGTTTTTTATTTCGTTATAAAATATTTTTTGTAATATATATATTTTTTTAGAATGGTGTGGATCAAATCTTGAAGATACATAAACGAAAAAAGATAGACGATTTCATAGTACTTGCATGTGAAGGCCTTTGGGACGTTGTCTCCGACAGTGACACATATCAGCTTGTCAAACGTTGTCTCTACGGCAAAGTACCAGACGGGTTAGTGCCTAACTTATGTAATTGTAGAATTAACATAATTACTATACCTATAAGACTAATTAATATAGAATCTGATACTTGTTTTTGTTTTGTCCTTGTTTGATATTATATGGCAGATGTGAAAGTGAATCAAGCACGACGAAGGCAGCAGTGATACTAGCAGAGCTTGCAATTGCTAGGGGAAGCAAAGAAAACATAAATGTTATCGTTATTGATCTCAGAAGCTCCAAAGTTTCCTAGTTTTTTTTTTTCTTCTTAGTTCACGATTCTAAATTATTATTATTATTACTAGTTTTGTCTTTCAATTAAATTTTTCGATTTTAACCTCTTTTCTATCATTTGTTTCTTTTTTTTTTTTGTGTTATTCGATTAGTTTTTTTTTTTTGGTTTTTTTTCTTTCTGTAGTTTTTCACTTTTTTTTTAATATGAAATTTGCTTGAGAGTTTGTTTCTCACAGTACTCCTGCTTTGTCATTCTCCTCGGTGACAAGTTTTTATTTAAATGTATTATATATATATATATAACTTTTAGAATTGAATTAGAAAGTTTGTATACAGCACTATTGTAGCTGAGAAAATGATATGTAAAAATATACAATGCAGAAAACAGTTAGCAAAAGGTTTCTTTGATATTTGAATTAATACTACAAAAAAATGAGAGTCAAGTAACATATCCAATTCGGATTTTCTGACTATTCGGTTTGAACAAGTGCTAGATTTGGATTCGTTCTAGCATCACTTTTGTTGAACCAATATATATATGCTTCATGATATAATATTGGTTCATGACTAATTGTTAGATTTTGATCAGGGCCTGCCGTAACTGAGTTCATTGGACTACTTATTAACGTACAAAACATTAACTTAGATAGAACATAGAAAAACTTAAGGACCAAACTCAAAATAAAGCAGTAAATGTAAACATGATAACATTTGGACCGATAAGGATCGACCAATGACCATTACCAAAGATAAACAGAAACAAGCTTTCTTGAATTACAAGAAATATTAGTCCTAGTTTCACAGTCTCAAATCTCTCTCTCCCTCTACTTGTTTACAAACTAGAGAATACATGTCTTTCTCATCCTCCCAAAAATCTAACCACTCGGTATAATTAACTAAACCGAATATTCCCAAAAGCATGGTGAACAAGCTTACAAGAAAGTAAACCGGTTACACACACGTTACGTAAACACTTCTACACATCACTCCAAAGAATAGCTAGAAACCAAGACATTTGCCGGAGAAGCTGAGTGTATATAGACAAACTCCATGCTTTTTCCTGCCGGTAACGATTCCATCCACGAGGGGAAACCATACGAGTTTCCTGTTTTGGTCACACCCCAAATTGGACCATAGAGTTTTGTGATTGATATCTTCAAATTTTTCAACGTTTTAGTAGATCTATTGGTTAATCTCGTTGAGTATCTATAGTAAACTTTTCCCTCGTCCTTCCATGAGCTTGTCATCTTTTGTGATATGGTAATGGGACTAGAAGAAGAAGCTGCTAAACAAAACATAGATTAAGCAAATTGGTTAAGTTTAAAGTTAATGGAATAAAATGTTTGATTCACAATTGGTTTAGGTATAAGATATCTAAAGATGACAAACCAGGAGGTGTTGTGGGTTTCTTTTTCGGTACCGGTGCTGGTTTTATGATAACCGGACTTGGACTCGGACTAACACCTGAAATCAGAAATTCGGTCAGTACTAACCCGGTTAACCAAGTTGATTAGAAATTGGAAAGTCCAGTATTTTATTGTTAGATAGTTTTGTAAAACTTTTATAAATTAGTAATATCGGGCTATGATATTTATTACTTTATCGAGTTATTAATTTATCGATATATAAAAAGAATCGAAAATTAAATTTGGAAACAAGGGATATATTGATTTATCGAGTTTTAAATTTTTTACTATGCATAAATCTTACCGGGAAGTTGCTGGTTAAAATCGGTCGGACCAGAAATTAACCGGGCTAGTACACCAAGAAAAGGTGCGTTGTTATACGTTGCTGGTTCGGTTTGCTCGTAGTTGTCCCGTTGGTCAGCGAAGTTATCGTATGCGTCAGGTCCACCCACAAGAGCACCGGTCAAAACATTAGGATCGTTTCCTTTTCGGCTATACCAAGTGGCGTAACCACCACGACAAGTCACGAACTTTTGATCGACGTTGAAGGAGACAATTGATGAACCACGGTGATGGACTTGTCGTGGATAGTTGTTTCCGTATCCGACCATGTAACTCGTCGCTCTAGGGTTGTCTCCAAGAATGTAATCAACCTGATTCATTTCGAATTAATTAATCATGTATTTAATTTACATAGATATATGTGTTAAATTATGATTTGTTATGAACTTCCAACTCAAAACCAATTGGCAATGAGTGTATTGACCCTAACTCTTTATATATTACTTAAGTCCCATCACATCTTCCAATGTGGGATATTTTCTCCACAATATGTCCCATTTTGTTATATTTTTATTTATTTAACGGATATTAGAATCCATATCCCAATTACCCAATCCAAATAAGTTAGATTTTGACAAATGGTATAGTAGTAGGAGATTGTAATTTTTAAAATCGAAATAGGATTAACTGTACTTTTGTTATTTTTGTAGTGTTTTAGTGTTATGAAATTTTATTTCTAAACTATTAACTTTTGACATTTAGTCGCGATTTTCAGTCCAATTAATTTCTGTAATCTGAGTATTTTTAGATTTAATTTTTCCGCCCTACCTATTATACCTACTCCCAAATATCATATTTGGACACTAGAATCAAAATTTAGTATTGTATTTACAGTTTCAAATTCAATTATAGACTTTATAGACTTATAGTGTTAATTTGGTTCTATATATTGGGGGTGAATCAACAAATCAAGAAAGTTTTGGGGGCAAACCTGTGATTTAGAAAAATCTAGGAGTTTGGATGGAGAAACGTTTCCTTGAGAACAACGTAGATCTCTTTTGGAAGACGAGAGATAGTCAGAGTAGACGGCGGCTAAGAAAGAAGCACTCGTGACAAACTGCATATTATTCCAGCTCTGTCGGAAAATCAAACCGCCGGGAGTTTTCTTTATGTTCTTGGTGCTTTTACCTAACAACGAACACATGTACTGTTCTGCTTTCTCTTGGTACCTCTCGAACACGGCCTTGTGTTCTTTGGCTTTACCTTGCATCAAAACCTATAAACCAAACAAAACAATCTCGGTTTAGTAAAACCAATTTACTTAAACCATAGAAAACCGAAAAGTATGGTTAAAATTGAAGTGTATTTTACCTTAGCGACAAGGGTTTGAACGCCAGCATACTTAACGTCCCAACCAAATTCTGAAATCGACCAGCTGGTACCGCCCATCGAGTCGCCGTTCTTGCCGAGGTAATCTAGATAATATTTGTCATTGGTTGCTTGGTATAACCATGCAGCAGCCCATAGTAACTCATCCTGGTTATACAAAATCGCGGTTATAATGAGAATTCATGGATTAATGTATACTTCAATTATATAAGAGTTTTTGTTTTTAGAGTATAAAACTAGTGTTTAGTACATTGTAACCGCTGACTGATCGGTAGAATTTTTGTGCCACGGTAATGCTGCTATCGTACTTGCCTCTGTATTTGTCCGCAAATTCAAATAGCTGCCAACATAAGAATTGGTTTAGGATAATATAAGAAGGTTGTTTCTACTATCTTCAAAATGTTATTTATAGTTCTTTCTATTGCAATCAAACATTAGGGAAGGAGTTTGCAAATTGTACAAATTCAATTTAAACAATGTGCTTAACCAAACTCGATTTTAGTAAACCGGAATTTAAACTCGGGTTTTTTAGTTATATTCTGTTTTGGTTAGGGATTTAAGAACCTGATGGGCGTGACGGAGTAGCTCGGCTGAGTATGATGGATCAGAGCGGCGGAAAACGATGGAAGCGGCAGCCATTGCGGCAGCGGTCTCTCCGGCAAGATCCGAACCGGGATTGTTCCGGTCAATCTTGTAAGCCCTACGGTCAGTGGTCATTTCCTCTGGCCTTTGCCAACAATAATGGTCTGACTTACCATCTCCCACCTAGACGGTTACAAAATATTTATCATAACCAAATTTGCAAATTATGTAAATAGAGTAATTAGTATAACTACTAAAGTAAGTGATTAGAGTGTTAATTATTTAATTTGTTACCTCTCCATAGAGGACGTTAGGTTCAGGGTGGGCTTTAATGAAATAATCAGTTCCCCACTTAACAGCGTCCATGGCATGGCCAAGTTCGCCGTTAGATTGTAGCTGGCCACCGTATTCAATGATGCTCCAACACATTGTGGTCACCGTGAAAGCCATCGGAAGCCCGAATTTCACATTGTCTCCGGCGTCGTAATAACCGCCAACTAGATCAACCTGCTCATTGATTTCAAAATGTGTTTTAAATTAATTAATAACCATATTGTAGTATTAAACAATGTTTTTTAAAAACAGCTTTTTGTAATGACGTTTTAGGTGGCCAAAACCATCCAAACGTTTAGATTTTGATCATATTAGTTAAATATTCGGGTCAACGGAAAGTCAAATCGTAATATGGATCTAGATTCTATAGACAGCGTTTAATATATTTATAAATTGTTATACATAAATAACTATATGTTATAAAATAATTGGGAATAAATTCTGATTAATTAACAGAGAGTTTTGAATATTAGTAGTAATTAATATCATATATGAATTTTAAAGTATTTTATTTTTTTAAAATGTAGAGCTTACGCCGCTTGATTTGCCGTCGTAAAGACCAGAATGAGATCGCCAAGAAACTCTCTGGTTGGGAGGAAGGTGTCCTGATCTTTGAGCTTCAAAGAAGAGAATGCTTTTGCTCAAAGCTTGTTTATAGTCATGCCCTGAAACTGCCAGCTGAACCAACCCAAGAAGAAGAAGAACAAGAACCAAAATGGTGGTAGTACTAGAACCCATTAGATATATACGTATCTTTATGAAATTATGCAAGAAAAAGTGAGATCCTCTTAAACCAACTAGACTCAAGAGATTAGTTTGGTCCTTCTTGGACTTTGTTAACTTTAATTTATGGGATCATTCATCAAGACTTTGATCCTTTCCTAAACAGAGTGAGGAGGGAGATAAAGAGAAGGTTTGGTGAATGAAGTTGAGAAAAAAATGAGGTTTATATTGAAGAAACAAGAAAGTGAAGGAAGGTACCAGGAGGAGAGAAAACGGCAGAGTTAATATAATAACTCTTTTATTTTTGTTTTTGAAATTTCAAAAGTATAATATAGTTTTAGTCTTTTATGAATGTGACAACAATGTGTCGGCAGGCAATGTTCATTTCTAATTTTGGGTGAAAAATAGCTGAAAAAAATAAAGATTATTATTATTATTATTCTCACAATCTAATAGTCAACTAAGAGTCGTCCATTTCTATACCAATCTTGGTGAATTAATTAACGATCAAAAAATTTGAACAAGAACTAAAACATGTTTTGTAAGTGCAAGTGATCGATCTTGTACATGTGTTAGTAACTTTGTCTTTTAGTAAGTAGAACAAAATTTGAATCATTTTTAAAATATGACCATGATATGATAGTTGTCTTTTCCACCCGTTACGGAAGCTCCGAATCTTCCATGCAATTAAACAAATGACATAAGAATAATATCATTACCTTCTTTTTTTATATTCAAAGTCAAAAACCATATAAATTATACATCTAATTAATTTTTTCTAACTCAGATCTTAAATCTAAATCCACTCTCCAGTTGTACAAGCTCATTTATCCAATGGCTGAGGGGTTAACATTTCTAAATCAAGTATTGAGTTTGATTCTTAAGGAAACAAAAACAAAAACAAAAACTATTTACAAACAGAATCATCCGTCGTAGTCTTGAATATCAAGAATAGGATTAAGATTGGCCTTGGCAAATACATGTAAGAATCATCAATATAAAATATACAAAATTACAACGAAAATTATACGTCGTTTAATTGTTAGTAGAGTCCTTCACCAAAATCGCATATGTTATATGTAGGTAGATCCGATAAATTGATCATCATATGCAATAAAAGTATTTATGATGATAATGTATAAATAGAGGATAACAAAAGTTTTTGGCTATCTATCGAAAATTCAGTTGTCTATCTTTTTAAAAAAATATATATCCACTCTAGGACATTTTTTTTTTGTAAAAATGTCCACTCTAAGACATGGTAATGAAAAAAAAAACATATCCACACTAAAACTCCAATTTCAGAAAAGATTTATAAAAATTATCACACAAAACAAAAAGAGAGATTCATATAAACTTTTTTTTGGTTATATAATATGAGTAAATTTGAGTGGAATTTAAATTACCAAAATAAATGCCGAACAGTAGTAAGACCATGGGGACAAAAAACAAACACTAGACGCTCCGAATTCAGTTCTTTATCCCAAGAAAAACAATAGTATAAAATTACAATGCAGTCAAATATATGTCATATAGATAAATTTGTGAAGAAAAAAAAAAGAGAGGATGAAGAAGTGAGATAGTAAACGGTGGTTGAGAAAAGTCATAAGTGCATAAATCTTGTTTGAGTTGGGATGTCCCAAATCACAATGAATTGTCTACCCAAAGCATAAGTTGTGTCTTTTTTTTGTTATTTGGGTTTCGTAAATATGTAAACACTAACATGAGATGTGGGTTGAGATTGGGTGTATATGCACGCATTGGGGGGAACCAACCCTGTTGGCAACTATAAGCTCGTAATTTATTGAAACAGCGGTGCCTTTTGATATATTGGTGAGAGAGTTGGATGATTTATCTCCATATTTTTTTATATAAAAAAATAGCATATAGTTTTGTTTCATTAGCTTATGATTTAAGCAAATCACACATTCATAGTTGTTTGAATAGTTTCTGTAATAGAAGTTGTCATATTGACGATGATCTCATTACCGTATATAATTGTTTTCAATTAAATTTTTTTTTTTTTGTAATTTAAGAGTGATCCCAAAAGCTTTCTAGTCACGAAGATTAATCTTTTGAAATCGGAAAAAACCATGTTAAATCTCGAATCCCGTGATCAATGTTATTCGAACCCAAATGGCAAGACTTAACTTCTTTTCTACTGAATCAAGGCGACTTGGTTTAAGTTTCTGTCCTAAAATGATAAGTTCCACAAAATATACTTACAAACTGATAAAAGTTTGAGATATGAAATAAAAATTTGAGTCCACTTGGCTCCACCTTCCCCACCGGAGTTTAACTTCACTAAGTTGCGTAGTAGTTTGACATCCAATTCAAATATTTTTGTTGCACGTGCGGTGACATCTGTTCGAGAGATTACTATGAAGCATGTGACAAATGGGATCATATTAAAAATGTTGTATTATAGTTTTACGTAGTTTGAATTCGTTTTTAAATCATAATCGATATATAGACTGATTTAACTCTTTCTTTAATTGGTTCTTGTACATTCGACATAAGAATCTTATAACAGCAATATTCACAAACAGAAGAATCCCTAGCTAGTACTTCAAATAATTTTGAAGTTGATTTCTCATTACAATTTTTATTTAATAAATATGTATGATATATATTTTGAGTTCGTAAACTAATTAAGAAAATTAATTAAACTATCATGAGTTAAGTTGAAATAATAAAAATTTAAACAACTAGCTAGAGATGAGACTATCGTATTACGATGTATATAACAAACGAACAAGATTTTTCTATTAGCCACATTTTTGTTGATCTTGATTTTGGATCTTCGGTTTAGAAAATAATTAATTATGAACGTAAAGAGTACTGAAACAAAAATATCAGAAAGTTCTAATTTGAGGCTGTCAACATACAAACAAAAATATATAATATATAGAATTGGGATTACTCATGCATGCATGGTCACATGAACGCATGTGCCTACCGACACTGTTTGAGATTGATCCCTTCGTGCGTGGACTCACGTGATGCTTTCTTCATCACTCAACCTTCATTTTTATTTTGATATTAGGATTGTGACAGCTTTCAAAACTTTTTGAATTAAGAGACAAAACAATCCAAACATATATACATCAGAATTAAGTATGGAACTTTCTTTCGTACATTTGAAAAACTATATTGGTTTAGGGGATTTTTAAAAGTATGAAATAGATACCTTATTGCTTTCTGGGTTTATTTGAATCAAAACATAAACTAGGATATGTCCATAATAAACAAATCTAACTCTATATATATAATCTATCTATTTTACTTTTTTCTAACAATTTGTTTTCATTTATCGGAAAAAAAACAAAGTTTAAAAAAACCATGGATACTAAGATAATAAGGTATAAAACACAATACAAACACCGTATATAAGCTAAAAAAACAAACACCAAACAATAAACTATGTTAAAAATTTTATATTCAAATTAAAATAAAATAAGCATAGTCTATATTGTATATAATATTGGATTTCATTTTGACATTACCAAATTCTTTAAGAAGGGAGTTTAGATGTACGCAAGTTATAATACTTTATTAAACATTTTATCATCATTCACATATTTGTTGTCATGTCCCCTCTGAACCAAAAACATGGAAGGGTGGAGTTACGAACTAAAAGTGCACTATTCATTTGCTTTCACAGTTAATTAATAATGTGTGCCAAGAAATTAAATAGACCAAAATTGAGAAAGGATCATTGCAATTGAAATGAACAAACATAGGTGAAGATGTTTGAAGGGATAAATGTCTAAGAACTTGCAAATTTGCTAACTCTTTCTTTGTGCGGGAGAACATATCACATCTCATAGCGTCGAGTCATTTGGTATTTAGTTTCCCACCAATTTTTTCTTCACATTGAGCAGGGAAGTGATTCTCCTTCTCACAAATGATGACCACAAATAGTACACCTAATATCATAGATGTTCAATCTCCTCAGAAAATATATATAAACACGTAATCAAATAAACATCAGACCCGTAAAAAGAAATCATTGAATAAGATAGAGAGAAACAAACCTTTTGGCAACTCTCTTAAGAGGAGACAACAAATTACAGAAAAAAAAAAAAAAAAAAAAAAAATCTCCAGTAATTGTTCAAGAAGGGGTTCAACGAAAACCTATTATTCGTGATAAGTGAGCTACGAATTTAGTCTAAATTAAATGTTAGTGTGGAGAAGAGTATATAGGTATGTTTAATTCAAGCTTAGGTAACGGGTATACTTGCAATCAAGCACCTAGTTTATATCAAGTGATCTTCGATGTACAACTCACTTCAAAAATCGAAACCCAACCCAAGTCCGTTAAGAACATCACTTGGTCACATTGCTTTGGGCCTTCTAGCCCAATTCGTAATGTTAACATTTTCGTTTCTCTCTTTTTTTTTTTTTTTCTTCTCTTTTTTTTTGGTTCTTCTAACTCTGTCTGCCATATAACAAAGAACCGTAGATTTGGTACATCGGAAGATTCAGTAAAACTAAACTAATGCATGGCATGGCTTACTTCATTTTGACCAGAAATTACATAAACACCCCCCAGACATCCATAAAAAGGAACTCAGTCCTCCTCACAAAGTCACAGAACAAACAAAACCAAACTGTTTTGTTGATTTTACTCAGTAAAACTTTGATTCAGTTTGCTCTCCTCTGGCCACCGGAATATTCTTGCTCCGACTCTAAATCAATCCTTCTTCTGCCAAATGTGGAACAAAAGATTAAACACATAACCAAATATCTCTTCTTTATTTGGTAATATTAGGTGAGCGAAAAATGGTATAACTTACTTAGCTCATCGAAAGAGATTTTGCTAATGCTTTCACCATATTTGATCAGCCGGATCTTCCCTGCAAAAACGCAAAAGAGTCGTAACTCAGCAACAAACTAATGGTCCGGTCCGGATCAACAATATGAACATCCATACCATCATGACGAACGCATATCTCAGGGATACTCTTCACTTCACCGCTGATGCTATCATTATACACTCTAGTCTCAATATCACCTTCCACATAAACCGATGAGCTGTGTGTAACAAAGCATCAGACAAAAGTTCAGATAAATACTTACACCTTTCACCTCCTATTTATTAACTAATACCATCATAGATCGAGACTGTCGAAGATATCATTCAACTTGAGAGTCTCTGCAAACGATATCTTAACCCACAAACTAACTAACAGACTTATCACTTAGATAATCTGAAATTAGAACACTTAGACTAATACAAGTCCTTCTTTAAGATACTTAAACATGTAATTAGGCTTACTTTTTAGCGATTTTTTGGACAGCGTAAGAACCAAGCACTTCGTTGTGCACTGCGATTCTATGCCACTGAGCTGGTTTCGGCTGATTAGTGGCTCCAACAAGCCTCTGATCAAACATGCCACCTGTTCCTACTGTGAAGATCGTTACTGTCCGCCCGTTCCTTAAGATCTTCTGTAACGGCGATTGCCCTACCTTCCCACAAATGATCGCCTGCTTGTGAACCAAACAAAATCAACAATGATATGAAACCGCAAGAACACAATCACCCAATCAAAAGAAGTCAACTAAATGAAATGATATTGCATCGAGATAACTCAAGTCAAGAACCATGATTCGAACATACGAAAAAGATAGTTCCTTTTCAACTTGGTTTATGAAACAGATTCAGCAATGGAAGACTTAGATAAGCCTAATCTGATTATAATAAACTTCAGCTACTAATGCTTAACAGTAAGTGTTCAAAGATTCAATCTTTTTACCCTATGGACACCGCGAAATCCCCAACCTTTACGGGGATCAACTCCTTGAGGTTGAAGCTCAGGTCTTTCTGAGATGGTTTCTTGAAAATCTTCTTCCACACCTTCATCAATCGGACCAGTCGAGAACCAAACCCTCGAGCCTCTCTCAATACTACTCATTGCTACATTCGCAAACCCAAATAAGAAACAGATGATTAATCAATACACGTTTCTGAGTCAAAACATTGAAGTGATTTGAAAGATGAGATTTTTACCTAGTGGAGATATTGAAGAGGATCTCAGAACCTTCGAGGCTCTGATGGCGAGTGAGTTCATCTGCGAATTGCAATGATCCTTTGAGATTAGGGTTTATACGTTACGGCGATGGAACAATTTTGAATTCAGACCAATTAAGATTAAATCAAAATTAAGCTGAGAAATGAGAAATCAGGATTTGAGGTAAGAAGGAAATGGCGTACCAGTGAATGTGAGAAGAGAAGGAGAGAACGCAACACAGAGAGGAGAAAGAGGAAGAAGAAGAAGAAGAACAAGAACAAAACGACGAAGAGATCTGATTCGTTAAACCCTGCGGTGAGCCGAGGTTAGAGTTAGAGGACGACGGGAAACTTTAGGTTGTGTTTTGATTTTACCAATTTAACCTTCGTTTTTTTTTTTTTCTGATGAATGAAAATGAGAAGAAATGGGACCACTTTACAAATTACAAGACCATAAAGATTTTAGATTGTCGACAAAAAAAAAAAAAAAAAACAAAAAAAAAAAAATTTTAGATTAGAGAGAAGAGAAGACAAATTACTGAATCTATAATTTAAAAATAAAGAAAATTAAAATAAAATAATATTTTTTTAAACGGCTTGATAATAACTTAATTAATAGAATATAGGGATATTCTGTTTATATTGTTTTATGTATCCCATATTATGTGGAAGATCCTTGTAACTAATTTGGCTATTTATGCCATGTAAATCAATGAATCCGCAAGGGAAAATATTCAGCTTTCATGGTATCAGAGCTCAAGAATCGCTCTTGATATTTTTCTTCCGCTTTCTAAACTCTTCTTCTTCTTCTTCTTCTCAACTCATTTTTTACAATTTTCTTTCATGGCTGCCCCTCCAGCTACATATGAGAGAGCATTTGGTGTCACAAACATCAAATCTCATATCTCTCTCATCCTTGATCTCAATGATCATAACTATGATGCCTGGAGAGAGTTGTTTCTGACACACTGCCTAACGTTTGATGTCCTTGGCCATCTAGATGGCTCTCTTCTCCCCACCGGTGCCAATGATGCTGCTTGGTACAAACGAGATGGATTGGTTAAACTCTGGCTCTATGGAACTCTTGCTCCTCCTCTGTTCCGATCATCCTTTCAAACAGGTGGGACATCAAGAAACATTTGGATACGAATTGAAAATCAATTTCGGAACAACAAAGAAGCCAGAGCCATACAACTCGACAACGAGCTCCGAACTCAAGAAATTGGAGATCGCACGATTCAGGAGTACTGTCAGAAAATCAAATCCCTCGCTGATTTACTCACCAACGTTGATGCTCCAGTCAATGAACGAACCTTGGTGATGTATCTGCTCAATGGTCTCAATGAAAAATTTGATTACATAATCAATGTAATCAAACACAAAGATCCATTTCCCACCTTTGAAGTCGCAAAGTCAATGCTTGAACTCGAGGAAAGTCGTCTCAAGAAGTCACGTCGCGTCACTGCAACTCACACTGATCACTCGTCCTCCACCACGGCATTAACGGCAGCTTCAACATCACCGGAACCTCGCCCTGCTCAACAAACAAATCAGCGACATCAATACAACAAGGGCAACAAACGCAGCAACAACAAATCCAGAGGAGGAGGTCGAAACAATTATCAGTCACAACCACAGTACACAAACTGGCCCTCCCCTCCATTCTGGCAAGGCCCGTTTCCTGCTTGGCCCAACTACTATGGAAATTGGCCCCAAAACTCCTACAGGCCTGCGTTTCCTACGACTCCGACCCAACAGTTCCAGCAAGCTCACCTCATGGAGCTCCAACCTGCAATTCCGATGACGCCGACTCTCACAGACCCAAACGCATATCCATGGGTCATGGATTCAGGATCAACAGCACATCTGGCATCAAATGCATGTATTCTTGACTCTAAAATTAATCATAACATCTCTCAATATGTCATAGTGGGCAATGGTTCCAAAATTCCAGTAACTTGTGTTGGATCTTCATCGGTAAAAAGCCTATCTCGTCCTCTTTCTCTCAAAAATGTCCTTGTCACACCTTAAATTGTCAAAAACTTAATCTCTGTTCGAAAATTTACAACAGACAATTGGTGTACTGTTGAATTTGATCCTTTTGGCTTTTCTGTGAAGGATCTCCAAACTCGGAATCTTCTGCTCCGATGTGATAGTCAGGGTGATTTGTACTCTCTTCCTGCCTCATTCAATAAAGCTCCTGCCACATCCACTGCTCTTTTGGCTTCAACTCCTTCTCTTTGGCATAAACGATTGGCTCATACAAATAATGCTAATCTTCGTTCTGTTTTTTCGAGTTCTTTGGGTTTATGTAATAAAGACAAGCTTCCTCTTTCTTGTGAACCTTGTTATTTGGGAAAGCAAATAAAACTTCCATTCCATTCCTCTCAATCGTTTGTCACAAAAGCTTTTGAACTTGTTCATTCGGATGTTTGGACCTCCCCGGTTCCAAGCATTAGTGGGATAAATTATTATGTGCTGTTTTTGGATGATTATTCTCATTATCTCTGGGTTTATCCACTTCGTAGGAAGAGTGATGTTTTTTCAAAATTTATTCACTTCACCTCAATGATAAAAACTCAGTTCAATAGCCATATTAAAGCTTTCCAATGTGACAATGGTGGTGAATATAAAAACAAACAATTCCATGAGTTCTTTGATACTAATGGAATAACAGTTCGATATTCTTGTCCTCACACCTCCCAACAAAATGGAAAATCAGAAAGAATGATTAGAACCATAAACAACACCATTCGTGCTCTCCTCTTTCAAGCTCGTCTTTCACCAAGTTTTTGGGTAGAAGCCTTAAATGTTGCTGTTCACATTCTAAACATTCTTCCTTCCTCTGCTATTCAAAATCAGATTCCTTCAAGCCTTCTTTTTCAGAAAAACCCAACATATGATCACCTTCGAGTTTTTGGGTGCTTATGTTTTCCAAGCTTAAATCATTCAAATCTTTCTAAACTCTCTCCAAGGACAACGCCTTGTCTGTTTCTTGGGTATCCATCTCAGCACAAAGGATATCGTTGTCTAGACCTCAAAACAAACAAAATAATTATCTCTCGACACGTCAATTTTGTCGAAGATAAATTCCCAGCAGCAGATCATAAACTTGATCAACCCACATCGTACAAATTCCTTGATGCTTATGACGATCCATCACCAGTTTTTAAAGAGATTCTCCAAACCCCAATTTCTCAAAACCAGCCAATGTTATCTCCTCATCATCCAGTCGTAAACACTATCCCAAACGTGCCTTCTATTCCACATCATCCTATGACAACAAGAACAAAATCGGGAGCCCTTAAACCAAAAAAAGTCACTTCCTTTCTCACCACAGCTAAATCTCCTCTCCCTAAAGGTCACAATCAAGCTCTATTGGATCCAAATTGGAATCCAGCTATGACTGATGAGTATGATGCTATGGTTAAAACTAAGAGTTGGAATTTGGTACCTAGACCTCCACATGTCAATATTGTTCGATCTATGTGGCTTTTCAGGCACAAATATGATGAAGAAGGTGTTCTAACACGACATAAAGCAAGACTGGTTGCTAATGGAAAATCTCAAGAACACGGCGTTGACTTTGATGAAACGTTTAGTCCGATCGTCAAAACAGCAACAATCCGAACAGTTCTAGATATTGGAGTCTCCTTGAACTGGCCAATGCATCAACTAGATGTGAAAAATGCGTTTCTACAAGGTGATTTGAATGAAACAGTGTATATGCATCAACCTCCTGGATTTGTCAACAAGGAGTATCCTAATCATGTTTGCAAGCTAAACAAAGCAATTTATGGCTTGAAACAAGCACCAAGGGCTTGGAACTCAAGATTCACAAAGTATTTGCTTCGCATTGGATTTGTGATGAGCAGAGCAGACAACTCCCTCTTTGTCTTCAAGCGTGGTTCACATATGGCATACATACTTCTCTATGTCGATGATATCTTGTTGACAGCTTCAACAACCCCTCTTTTGCAGAAAATAATAGAGCTACTCAAAGCAGAGTTTCCAATGACAGATATGGGAAAGCTTCATCATTTTCTGGGCATTAAGGTGGATTACAATAAGCAAGGCTTATTACTAAGTCAGCGTGTGTACGCCCAAGACATAATTCAAAGGGCTGGAATGGCTGAGTGTAAACCTTGTGCCACGCCGGTTGACCTGAAGTCGAAGTTGTCTCTAAAAGACGGTGAACCATTCCCGGATGCAACAGCTTATCGATCTCTTGCAGGTGCTTTGCAGTACCTCACATTCACTCGTCCGGACATTGCTTATGCGGTACACCAAATCTGCCTATATATGCATAATCCACGGGTACCACACATGAATGCTCTGAAACGAATTATCAGATACTTAAAAGGCACAGTGTCACATGGACTTCAGCTTGTAAGAGGCAACATTTCCACACTCACTGCCTATACTGACGCCGATTGGGCTGGATGTCCTGACACTCGTCGTTCGACTTCTGGATACTGCGTTTTTCTAGGCTCGAATCTAGTCTCGTGGTCTGCAAAACGCCAACCAACTGTTTCACGGTCAAGTTCTGAAGCAGAGTACAAAGGCGTTGCCAATGTAGTGGCTGAGCTCACATGGCTACGGAATCTCCTGTGTGAACTACATCTCCCATTGACGAAAGCGTCATTGGTATATTGTGACAACATCGGTTCAGTCTATTTGGCGACAAACCCGGTACAACATCAAAGAACAAAACACATTGAGCTTGACATCCATTTTGTACGGGAAAAAGTTGCTATAGGTGAAGTAAAGGTGATTCATGTTCCTTACTCGCTTCAATATGCAGACATTTTCACAAAGGGTCTACCAACAAGTCTCTTCAATGAGTTTCGAACCAGCTTAACCATCCGACCTCCAGATGCTTCAGCTGAGGGGGGGTAATAGAATATAGGGATATTCTGTTTATATTGTTTTATGTATCCCATATTATGTAGAAGATCCTTGTAACTAATTTGGCTATTTATGCCATGTAAATCAATGAATCCGCAAGGGAAAATATTCAGCTTTCATTAATAAGGTTTTAGTAAATATTTTAATTGATTTTTGTTTATTATCATGAGATAAATTTGTTATATTTTAAATTTGTTTATTATCATGATTTTTGTCTATTTAAATACATATAATTTTGTTAATTTATCCGTTTTGATATTAGCGATTCATGTAGGCAAAAAAAAATATTAGCGACTCACAAATAAAAGTTATAAAAAGGTGCAAATGATTTTTTATATGTATAAAATACGTAATTATAAAATATTAGCAACTCTAAAAAGATATTGAGAATTTTTGAGAAATGCCCCTTTTGGTGTGCCTCTTTTTAAAAATACCCCTCTTTTCTATCCATTTTCAAAAATATCCTTTTTCAAATATGAAAAATTATAAACTTCTATATGGTTGATAAGGTACATCAAGATCATTATTACTACTGTAAGACTAAATTCAAATATTTATAAGGTTTTAAAAGGTTTTAAACGGTATTTATAAAGTTTTTATAAGATTTTTAAAAGGTTTACACAGTTTTTATAAGGTTTTTAAATGATTTTTAAAAAGTTTTTAAAAGGTATTTATATGGTATTTATGAAATATATATATAAATTTACACACATATAAAGATAATTTTTGTCTATAAATATAAGGTTACACATATGTTTTTGATAAATTTCAAATTTTATAGTGACTTTTTGATAAAATTAGAAAAAGAGATATTTTTAAAAAGTGGTATTGGAAAAGAGATATTTTTAAAATTCCCCCTAAGATATTAACGACTCACAAAATAGGAGTTATAAAATATATATATATATATATATTTCTAAAAAAATAGCAAGAATCGATTTAGTGGGTTTTATTTCTACTTTTGAAAATTCGAAATAACTTTGCAAAATAAAAAGACTTCAATAAATTTAATACTTTAGAAAATGACGTCAATTTGATGACATCATAAAACAAGTGAAGCAAGTAAATAGCAACAATGAAAAAAAAAAGAAAAAAAAAGGGGCAGTTTCCACGCGTAATGAGGTTTGAAAAAGTCTTCGGTCAAATCGCTTGACTCATTCATAATATTATCGCTAATATTTGTTTTGTTTCCCTTCTAATTAAATAATGTATGTATTTAGCTTAGGTTCAAATCACTCATTGGAAAAAAAAAAAAAAATAATAGTGGTTTTAAGTTTATATATTACTCTTAATATTCGTGTTGTTGAATGACATCTGCATTTTGGTTATCCAACAAAGAAGTCACACACCCTCACCCAATAACAACAAACATTAAAAACACCTTAAGTGATTAAAAAATAAATCATGTTTTTGTTTTGTTCTGATTTTGGATTCTCTAATAACAATTTGGTACACATTTTGTATTGATTAGAACCAATGATCTTCATACTCTAACTTCATTAACGAGTTAATCAACATAGATACTATAACAACGTCAAATCAATATATTTATGTTAAGGTTAAACCTGAACTTATGAACATCGGCCATTACATAATAGATAAAAGTTAATGTAATTTTTTCTTTGTGTGTTTGCAAGTCCTTTGATGTAAGTATCCAACTATATAATATTTGTTTTGAAAAAAACTTAATATAATATTTTGATTACTAATAAGTAATAACAATGTTATCTCTATATTATTACAAAATAGTTAAACATGCATGTGTTCTAGACTTCTAGCCATATACTATAAGTTAACTCTTAAGTAAGTAGACTTTGACTCAAAATAAGTGTTCATGCAACACAAAGCAACAATAATTAATTAAACTTTACACAACACGTAAGTGGTGGACTTAGTTATTGTGGAAACGAATATTTTTCGATATGTTCTAAGTAAAATAATATTTTCAAATACATAGAAACAAAAATAAGTTAAATGGAAATAAAGTAAACATATCAATCATGAGATATGGAATCTTGAAGTTGGAAAACTTCTCTTTAATTTGAGAAGTGCTTTAACGATGGACTTGGTCAGCAGAAACCTTTTTCTACGTTCTTTTTCTTTTTTTCTACGTTCTTTCATTCTATGTATCAAAACTATACATGTTATAAGGATGAAACTTACATGTTAGTTCACAAATTTTAAAAGCACTATGAAATTTCCTCTACGTCCTTAAATGTTAGAAATTAGTATGGGTGAGACGTACGGTTTTACAGAAAATTAAGACGATTCGGTTTTTATGGTTTTTTTTGTTTACTGTTTGTTTTTTACGATTAAACTTATTATTAAATGTTTAATCAGCTTTGTTAAAAATATACGAAAAGAATAAGATAAGACTGTATGTAATGTATGACTGAAATTTGGTATAAAAAAATAAAAGTTTGTGCAATTGTGCTAATTGCTATACTTCATATTTAAATCGGTAGAACAGATAAAGAAGTTGCATACAAACAAAACAAATATAAATACAATACAAAAAAAAACTGTTGTTGTCTAAAATAAATAACCAAAATGGTTATACGTACAAGAAAATGGTTGTTCCTACAAAAATAGATATCAAATAATAATTTGTTTTTTTTTTTGTAAATAAATTATCTAAAACAAAAAAAAAAATTAATTACATCCACAAAAAGTTTGAAAAGGTCACACTGAAAAATACATTTTCTATGATTATATATGATATATATACTACTTATCAATAGTTATTAATTTAAACCACTGGATTTAAGTAATTAATAAATCTTAGTTAAACTAAAACAAATCCAATTTGAATTGGTCAGCATTTGACCTTCAGTAAACACCACCAGTTAATATATACACTCAAAAACTATATTCTTAATTAAAATTGAAGACCAAAGACTTTTCTCAACTTTGAATCTTATATCATCTTTATATATTAGTTTGGTCACTTGGTCAAATTTTCATACACATCCTTCTTCACTCAAATCATACTTTTTAAAGTCTTTTAAAAATTCCAAAACAACACGCTTTGTTTTAAAACAAAACCCCCACACAACCAAAACATTCTCTATCTTCAAACACCTTTCTCTTAAAACTCTCTCAGTCATATGTTTTTAATCTCATGTCCTACTAAACCTTACAAGCTCTTCCGATCACCGGGGAAACCGGAGTTTAAACCCGCGACCGGGACATTAAAAGTGAGGTAAACTACTACTAAGATGGCAATGATGAGTTGGGAACAGAGGGGTTTGCTAAACGAGCTTATTCATGGACTAAAAGCTGCAAAGCAACTCCAAGCTTCACCGTCGCCTTCGCCATCGCCATCGCCATCGTCATCTTCTTCTTCGTGTTTGACAAGAGAGATGAAGGATACCCTCTTGCATCAGGTGGTTTCTTCTTACGAGAACGCTATTATGATGCTAAACGGAACACACAATCCAACGACAGAGAGGGCAACGTATCCGATGGCTAACTCGGGTAAGGTTCCGGAATCTCCAGTGTCGATTACCGGAAGTCCGAAAAGCGAAGAGTTTCTTGATGATGGATCCAAAGATTACACCTTAAGTTCTAAAAAGAGGTAAACATATGTTTTAACTTTTGTTGGCAATTTTAACCTGTAAACAAGAAATATATTAAAACATTTTCTTTTAAATGAAATATATCAGATTTTTCAATTAGGGAACTGAAAAATAATGAAAATTTTGTAGGAAGATGTTGCCAAAGTGGACAGAGCAAGTGAGGATTAGTCCAGAGAGAGGCTTAGAAGGACCTCATGATGATCTCTATAGCTGGAGAAAATATGGCCAAAAAGACATTTTGGGCGCCAAATACCCAAGGTAATCATCATACATCATCATCATCATCGTCATCATCATCATATGATCATCATCAATATATCATCATCACCATCAGTTCATTTGTAACATATAATCTAAAATAGATCAAATGATATAGATATTTAGATATATCAAAGATAATTCGCGACACATGACACTATTCAAAAATACTATTCGAGTTCGTTATAAATAATGTGAAAATTATATATTTTGATATTTCGAATAACTTAGGGAATTATAAAATAATTTAAAAAATAGTTTTTCAAAATTTTACTTAATTATATGTTATGCAAAGGTCTAATTATGTTTTAATAAAATTTGGTCTATGCAGGAGTTATTACAGATGCACATTTCGTAACACACAACACTGTTGGGCAACGAAACAAGTTCAAAGATCGGACGGTGATCCAACGATCTTCGAAGTAACATACAGAGGAACACACACTTGCTCACAACAGGGGAACACACCTCAACTGAAACGAGAAACCAAACCAAATAACCCAATCATAAAAACAATAAATTACCAAACTACCCTCCTCGACAGTCTCAGGACCAATCTCACCGTACGTACCAACGGACTCGAAGGCGAAGCTTTCTCCTTCCCCGTTACTCCGCCGCCTTTTTACTCTCTCGACTCCATCCACGGTGGAGGAACGTTTCGCCACGTGGGAAACTCTTGTCCGTCGGATTTCACCGGGTTGATCTCTACTAATACCTCCACAGGAAGTTCTCCAATCTTCGACGTTGATTTTCATTTTGATCCTACGGCTGAGATAGACGCAGGCTTCCCCACGTTTTTACACGATTCTATTTAATTATTTATTCTTGAGATTAATTATATAGTCAGAGATACTCAGCATCTTAAACTAGTTTACTTTAAACAAACCTTAATTAAAAATCCTAAATGTTTTTAAACAGTCCTTTTTTGCATAGTAATGAGAGAGATGAGATGTTCAATATGAGCAAACTTGAACATTCTCAATTTTTTTATTTTCATACTGCTGAGTTAGTTTCTTCCTCTAGGACACAGTCTTGTTCTTGTTGTACTCTTCCACTTCTTTCTTGTAAGCTACCATTAACTCAGCAGCTTTTTGATTATAAACTTGTTTCTCCTCTTCACCAAGTTCCTACACAACAAGATGTTCTCAATCAGTTTCTTGACTAATGATTATAAAACAACACTCAGATTCGGATTTTGTAAATTTGTACCTTCCATTTCAATGAAATGTGGGCAGTAAGAGTTGAGTTGTTGATCCCAGGATGCTCTTCTGCTACACTCTTCCTTGCATCTTTGCTGTAGAAACAATGTTTACAAAACAGTTACAAAAGATATGAGATTGGATCTGATTCTTTTGTGGATTAAGGGATTTTGAAGTATACCAAAAGAGAAAGTATGAAGAAGCAGGCTTTTTTGGTTTGTTAGGATCGACAGTCTCGGTCTTCTTCTTGTTCTTGGTCGATTCTTTGGTCTTCTGCAAGAAGAAACATTTGTTCTGTTAGTGACCGTGTTCTAGCTCAAAAGAGCTAAATGCATTGTGTGATTAAGCTTAAGTTAACCTTTATGATATTGTCGGTTTTCTCCTTCTTCTTGAGAAGTTGGAGAGCTTCTTGTTTATGGAGTTTCATGAGTTCCTCTTCTTCTTTCTTCTGGCTCATGGCTTCTTCTTCCTTTGTTCTTTTATATCCTTCCATTTCTTGAAGATATACCTCCTTGTTTTTCTTTGCAATCTGTTACAATTGTTCCACAATATGCACACATACGTTAAAAAATTTCACTTATTAAACTTCACTTCTTAACACAGCAATGTCAATGATGAACTATACCTGATCGTAGGGAGCCTTTTGTTCTTCCGACAAGCTCTTCCACTCCTCTCCGGTCATCTTAGCGATCTATAATCACCATTCATTCACACAACTTAGCTTCAATAGTTTCAGATGACAAAATAGAGAAAAGACAAACTCCTGATTCTTTACTTACCTCCACAACGCTTTGGTTTTCTCCTTTTAAAGCAGCTCTCCTCTCGTTTGCATAGATCAGGTAAGCAGATACGGGTTGCTTTGGCTTCAGAGGATCCTTTATCTTCCTACAAAACGACAAATGTAGTCAGTTTCCTCACATATAATTCATATCAAATCAGTTCTTGATTGATACAGTGTAATCAGTATAATTACTTGGCCTTTTTCTTGTTGTCCTGTTCAGCTTCCTGAACAAAGTTGAGATATTGATCAAGCAATTCCATTGCAGTTCTCTGCTTCTGCTCATCATCAAGAAGCTTCATGGCTTCTTTTTCTCGCTTCTCCTTAGCAATAACCTGAAGGTAAGCTTCCTTATCCGCTTGGAACTTCTCCTCGTAAGGCTTCTTCTCTTCTGCACTCAGAGTCTTCCACTTAGCACCCATAACATTCGAAGTCTCCTTGAAATCAGCTTCTGGATTCTGCTTCTTGACTTCGTTCCAATTCTCCTTACACCACAAAATGTACGCTGTCAATGGTCTCTTTGTTTCAGCACAATCCTTCTTCTTCTTCTTTCCCTTCTTCTCCTCTTCAGTTTGTGCCAATGATTGACTGAATGCAAATGTCTGTCGAAGCACAACGCAAAAATCCCCAAATCAATCACCAATTAAACACAATCGTAGAACATCGAATCTCAAATCTCATACAGATTCATCAAACTGTAACACATACGATTTTACCAATCTCATACCATCAACGAGCTCTATAACACATACAATTTTACCAGATTCTCTGAATTTTTATCACAAAGATTATTGAACCAGAGCTAGATCTAGAGATCGTAACGGAGGATTCAAAGAACCAATCATATATCTAATTTTGTACTAATCTAACATCAGAGCCAGATCTAAACTGAAACTTCTATAAAGCAATTAGGACCAAGCGATTCAACCATCAACGAGCTCTATAACATATACGATTTTACCAGATTTTCTGAATTTTAATCACAAAGATTATTGAACCAGAGCTAGATCTAGAGATCGTACCATGTTAGGTTTGAATTCCTTCATCTTCTGAAGTTTCTTCAACTCCGTCTTTAGCTTCTCCTGTTCAACGTCCCTCGTCTCAAGTTCCTCTTCCTTCTTTCTCAGGATCTCGTCCTTCTCCTTCAGCAGATCCTCCGTCTTCTCCTTCTCGATCTTCATCTTCTCCAACATCGCTTGCATCTCCATCAGATCTTTCTCAAAAGATTTCGCCTCTTTCCCCTTGGCTGCTGAGACCGGTGACAACAACGGCGCCTCGACAATCTCGTTCTTCTGCTTCAACGCCTTTCTACTGTTTCTCGATTTCTTAGCCGGAGCAGGATCTGAAACTGTCGCCATAGTCACAAGAGAGATTTAAGCGAGAGCGTTGTGTAGAACGGTTAGAGAAGAAGAGAAATAGAGATTTTGGGATTTAGGGTTTCAGATTTTAGTGGAGCGTCTGGGTTTTATATAGAAAGAAGGCTGAACGGTCATAATTTTGAAATTCAAAACTGTTCCTTTTGTGGATATTAAGATACGTTCGGCGTCTTTTCGAATTTCTTAAATTTGACCGTTTCAAATTGCTCACCAAACCAACTTGTTAAACCGGTTTCTTTTAACAAAACCGGTTAAATGGTTTAGACTAAGCATTCGAGTTTTCGACTAAAGAAACCAAAATCAAGAACAGTAAACATTTGTAACGGAATCTAGAACTGCTTTACATAAATTTATATTCATAAGAATTGCTTTGATGAACCGAACCGGTTTACAATTCAGCTAAGGGGATCTATTTCCGGTTTCATCGGAATTTTTTGCTGTTAACCAAGTCTCTTCAGCTTTACCAATATACATGCCTATACCAAAACCTGTGTTTTTCAATTCAAGCCATTTGACTAAAGATACAATCATCGATCGGTTATGATCGGTTATTTACCGGTTCGACCATCCAATATGATCTCCAATATGACATCGTTCAAGTGATCAATTGGACCAGGCAAGCACCAATGCAGACAATCGTTCTGTACCTTTGCGTTCTTGTCCTTATCAAACGGCCTGAACTCTCGGTATGGACCTGGATGTCCATCGGGTCGAGTCAGCAACATTCCAGCAAAATCCAGAAGCTTGAAGTTCCCACTTTCCTGACCCATCTCTGCAACCACTCTCTCGAATTGATTGATCTCCACGTCTCTCAGTATCTTGTTCAGGACCTTCATCTCGACCTCCTCCTCGCTCACTGGTTCTGTTTTCTTACAGGTTCCTCCGTTATGCCATTCTCCATTTTCAAAGTGATCTGGTATCGAAGTGCGGAAGAAGACCATGCCTTTAGTGTTAGATTTTGCTATGAAGTCCATAACATGGCGCAACGATGTGTTGTAAGCGTAGTCAAATCCTAAATCCGTCATGTTTGAACTTTCTGGACAGCCATGACATCCAACGAGATTTGCATTCTCATGGTAGACTGCAGTTTTGAGGAACCACTCCCCGGAAGAGATGATTGCATAGTCAAGGCTTGGAAATAGATCGGTCCATGTCTTGTCGAGTTTGTCAAGGTGAAGCTGTACCGCAGCTGATGAGACACCGTTGGAGTCTTCAAAGATGGCGGCTTGTACAAGAAAAGGTGACCAGATGTTTGATACTGTGAAGTTATATGAAGGGAAATTCCAACGCTTTGATCTATAGTTCTCATCGTGATACACTTCTACCGGCTTTTCAATCTGAAACATGGAAACAAAACCAACACTTTCCAATTACAAATCTTACTTCTTCAAAAGTCTGCAAACAGATAGCAAGCAACAGTTAAAAACCTTACTGTAGATAGCATACAAAGCAAAGACTCGACATGATTACGAGCAATGGAGTCACCAATTATAGCCCAAGATTTATTCCTCATAAGTTGAAGAAATCTCTGAGCATCGAAACGAGGCAAAGAGCAGTCGTTAGGCTTCCATTTCCAGTAGAGATAACCCGAGTCAGGCCGACCATTGGTGATGCAGTTCTGGTGACTATCTACAACAATACCACATGACCCGTTTGTGTAGATTGGTCCCAAAGGATCTTTGATCCATTTCCCACTAAATAGATCACACTTCTCCACCTCAATATCTGATACATACAACAAAGCAAAAAAATATCTCTTAGCACACACCTAAAGGGTCTCACTTACAAGTAAGAACACAGCTATTCTCATCAGTAACTAAACCCATAAACACCAACACAGATAAGAGAATCATTAACTATTGATTAAACAATTTCACTAAAAAGCTCATGAATTATAAACTCAAAGCTGTAAACTTTCTTATAAATCCCTAGATCTCAGAACTTCCGGCAAATACAAAAGATTAGCAAAAAAATCACAGCGAAATCGTAATGTTCTTAAGCTAGAATATGAATCTTACCACCAGGGATTTGATCCTCGTTATCCGATAAGATAACCGACGGCGGAGGCGGAGGCGGAATCTGAGAATTTGAGTTTCCGTTCACCGACACATGAACTGGATAAAATTGGCCGAATTGGAAGACGAAGAAACGAAAAGCGAGAAAAGTGATGAGAGTAGCAGAGACGAGTTTTACGAGAAATGTGTTTTGCTTAACGTTAGAGATTGATTCCCATTTTAGCTTCATCTTCTTCTTCTTTAATCTCTCTGTGGGGGATTTGAAGAAGTAGAGAGATGGGTGATGATGTTACGGTTTATTTTTATTTTATTTTTTTTGGTCAAGAATTTGTAATGTTGACTACGTGGTTAATAAAGGAATAAAACTAATATTTTTTTAGTAAATAATAAAGTCCAAAAATGATTAAGAGAGAATTTAAGGCTTCTTTATTGCTTGCGCCTTGTGGCGTAGACGCTGCTACACATTTACTTTTTTTGCTTTGTATTTTTTTTTGGTAGGATACAAATTTGTACTACTTTGTAGTAGTGAGAGTTATTGAAATACACACTTAACCATGCGAGCTCGGTTAAATTGTAACCGAATCGAGCTTGGTTAAATTGTAACCGAATCAAGCTTGATTTGGTTTATTTTGGTTTCTTGGTTAAATTGAACTAGTTAGGCTGGAATGTATATCTTTGAAGAGAAAGAAACAGAAGACTATATGCCATCTTATTCCACTCCATGGCTCATGCCACTAGTTAAGTTAAATGGCTACGTTTTACATTTTGAAGTTTTTGGAGTTGAACAATACTTAGACCATTAATATTAAACAAATCTTAGACCATCATTATCATCTCTCAGTCATGGTCTAAGTATTGTCATGGAAACATCTTCTTCACAAAAACTAGGCTGTTACTTCGATCCGCGTAGTTTTCAAGGGAAATGTAAGAGGAAGCCTTCCAAGAGCTGGTTAGTAGCAGTTCTTCCTCGTTTGGGCCTGTGGCCTTTTAGGCCCGTTTTCAAGCCCTTGTATCTTTTTCAACTTTCTTTTCAATCTTTTTTTTTCTTTTTTTTTTCTTTTTATCGCCATGTTGACCGTTTTGGTATTGTAATCGGCATTTTCTACTTGGTATTGCTATAAAAGTTTTTTTTTTTTTTTAATGTAAGATTAACTCCAATTTTTTTCTAGTGTTATTTCCACTATGGATCTCTCTGTTTCGTTGTAACGGTGTCCAAAAACGAGCGGTTAGAATAACAGCAAAACAGAGCGTCTAGATTCTCTCTAATTGAATGAATCAATTTGGTTTTGGTAGTTTTAGAAAACGACAGATTTTTAATATACCATTTTTGGTGTATATTAGTATTGTTCAAGCTATTTTTAAAAAACATATCATATAATGATAAATTTTAGTTATAATTTACTTAAAATAGTATTTATAAAAAAAACTTTGAAGTGTATAATACGATACGCGAAAACATGTTGAACTTTTACACCAAACTTACGGACCACAAAGGGACTGGATGCTAGGTCCGGTTTATTTTCGACGTATTTAATTTAACACTTAGATACAACAAAATAATTATAAAAAAACATTTTGGTTAACTTAAAATTTAAAACTATTTACTTGAAAAATATTTGGTAAAAAGTAAAAACTTTGATATTTAGTTTTAAATCATAAAAATCAGAAGTGAAAAAAAAAATATAAAAACTTTTTTACTTTTTGTATATTTTAAAATCAAAATCATTATCCTTAATTAAAAGAAAAAAAAAAGAGGGTAAGAAAGTAACCTGCAAAGCTGTGATGTCTTGAGCATCATGAGGGAGCAAACTACCTATTTGTTACACATAATACAAAACAAACCCATGAGAGAATCAGAGATATCATCTCTATGCATAATACCACTCGAATTCAATTCTCAAAACCAAATTAAAAGATGACAACGAGTATCACAAACCTGCTTATGAGGATATGAATGTTCTTCTTTTCCGGTTCTGGCTCTCTTCCTCCTCCCAGCTTCTCGAGGACACGTTTCATGAGGAGCAACATCTACTAGCTTGTGATCCAAGCAACATATTCGTTGTAGCACTCAGGTTTGTGACTCAAGCAATTTGATGGATGCAAATGAACCCAGAATTTTCAACCATGAGATGAAACACAAGAGAATAATGTTTAAATGGAAACAACAATATAAACTGAATTTGTCTTGACATACGTGATAATAACTTGTCTTTGCGTTCTAAGTGAGCCACTTGCATGAAATATCCGGCAAGCATGGTTGATAATAGTAGTTAAAATGAGTGCTGCACATCTTCAGGTTGTTTAAGAAAGAGAAGCACCATGACGAGGACCAAGTTGTGCAAGCTAGTGAACCGGTCTTTAAAAATGGGGTTCCTCTTGTTAGGTCTCTCGTTGTTGAGCTTTGGCAGATACTTGGAGTATTCCAAATACTTTGACATTTCCTGAGAAAACAGATCACAAAGATTGAAGTATTTTATGTAATTGGAAATGATTTGAGGATTAGAAAGATAAGGGCTTGAGTTTACGGTAGGGATCTTGATATAACCACTTGGAGCAATATGATCCTGCAGAGTCATTAGAGTTGTTGTTAATGATGGGTATTTAGTAAAGCTTAAAGTTTCTGAATCTTGATCAGAGAAGAAGAGAGAGGAAGTGTACTTGAATGTAGTCAGTGTACACCTCTGCTTTCAGCAACTTGCAAAGTGAAGACTTTTAAAACAGAGAACCACATTGTTGTTGTTATCTATCTGGAAGAGCTGCTGTCTAACATTGTCTGCATATTTTTCAGAGGCACCAATTGGGATCTTCATCTGTGAGAATTTTTACATTAACCAAGTTAGTTACCGTAAATTGTAATTGACAAAAGAGGAAGAGAAAGGGATGATCACTTACTGTTTTTGCTTAAAAGCGTGGTAGACGCTTCAACAACAATGTTAGATGATCTCCATCAATGTGTCCAAATCTAAGTTTAGCTTCATCTGATGCTTTTTGAGATCCTCTATAGGCTGAATAAAGCAGAGAAAGAATTGGTATTTATAACAGAAGAGTTCCATGGAAAAGGTCACAGATGCATAAAAGGCAATGAGACTAATACCATTTGCTTCATGAGAGAGAATAACTGAGAAACTGCAACTAGTATCTGCATCATCACTTAGGATATGCAGAACCTAAACTAGAGACTGCTAATGATAACCTAACTCTAATACCTGATTCTAAATGACAATCACTACATACTTAACCAAACAAAACTAGCAAGAATCTTTTCAAGAAAACGAAAGTAAAGGGGTGGTACCTGAGAGCATGGCTGAAACCGAGAGAATCTCACTTGAGAAGTTGAATACAGGATGATCCAAGGGGAACTTACTGATCATTATCTAACCTGTCTTTGTCAAGTTACCTTCATCATCCACTGCTCCCAAGTAACACATAATTAGCCACAAAAGTACATAAGATTATAAAGAATTGAAGCTAAAGAGAGACAGAGCTTACTTTTATTTTTGGGACAAAGACAGAGATTACTTAAGCGTCCTTAAGCGTTCTAGTGTCCTTAAAACGAACGATGTAACTAAATTCAACAACACACAAGACACATACATGGCTGCATGTCCTGTGTGCATCCACCAACCAATGTATAACGAAGTATAGGATTTCTACAGATAAACAGATTTTCGAATTAGCAATTCATTCTCTAAGATACTAAATCATCATCATGATCTCTAATTAAATCATTCCTAAGTTTAGCTTCATCTGATGCTTTTTGAGATCCTCTATAGGCTGAATAAAGCAGAGAAAGAATTTGTGTTTATAACAAAAGAGTTCCATGGAAGAGGTCAGCAGATGCATAAAAGGCAATGAGACTAATACCATTTGCTTCATGAGAGAGAATAGCTAAGAAACTGCAACTAGTATTTGCATGAACACTTACTAAAGATTGCTGAGGATAACCTAACTCTAATACTTGATTCTAAATGATAATCACTACATACCTAACCAAAGCTAGCAAGAATCTTTTCAAGAAAACGAAAGTAAAGAGGTGGTACCTGAGAGCATGGCTGAAACCCGAGAGAATCTCATTTGAGAAGTTGAATACAGGATCTGTGGATCCAAGGGGAACTCAGTGATCATTATCTCACCTGTCTTTGTCAAGTTACCTTCATCATCCATTGCTCCCAAGTAATTCAAAACATGATTCTTCGTGGGTTGGCAAAACCATCTATAGTTAGGGAAGTCTCAGCAATGTTTGTCGAGAAGACCAAAGAGCACATCTGTGGCTAGTGCCTAGAGTTCTTTCATCACTTTGAGGAGCGTCCCATCAGTGAAGTAACACATAATTAGCCACAAGTACATAAGGTTATAAAGAAGAGAAGCTAAAGAGAGACATAGCTTACTTACTTAAGCACGGTTCTGGTTTCCTCAAAACGAACGATGTAACCAACTTCAGCATCACGACGAGACACATACATGGCTGCAAATTTTAGAATAAGCAATTCATTCTCTAAGATACGAAATCATCATCATGATCTCTAAATAAATCAAATAGAAATCAAGAAGACGAGGGCTTTTTACAAATACCTCGCTCGATTCCTCTCTTCACTGGTGAAAGCTTCTCCGTAGCAAGACTCAGTATCCGGTGAAAAAACATGTAAAGATAAGCTCTTTTTAAAAAAATATTTACTTAATACAATTTACCAAATAATATTTATACAATTTACTTAGTAAAAAAGAATGTAATTTTTTACTTAGTAAAAAAGATGTAATTTTTTACCAAATAAAAGCTCTTTATAAAAAACATTTATATAATGATAAGTTTTAGTTTAAAAAATCAATACAATTTACTTAAAATAATATTTATAATAAAAAAAACTTTGAAGCGTCTAAGCGTTAAATTTACAATACGCGAAATTATGTTGAACTTTTACACCAAACTTACGGAACACAAAGGGACTGGATGCTAGGTCCGGTTTTATCTCAATGTATTTAAATTTAACACTTAGATACAACAAAAAAAATTTAAAACTATTTACTTGAAAATTATTTGGTAAAAAGTAAAAACTTTGATATTTAGTTTTAAATCATAAAAATCAGAATTGAAGAAAACATAAAATCTTTTATACTTTTAAAAAAAAATATATATTTTAAAATCAAAATCATTATTCTTAATTAAAAAAAAAAGGTAAGAAAGTATACCTGCAAAGCTCTAATGTCTTGAGCATCCTGAGCTACCTGTTTGTTACACATAATACAAAATAAACCCATGAGAATCAGAGATGTCATCTTTATTCATAATACCACACACATTCTATTCTGCAAACCAAATTAAAAGATGACGACTGTTACGAACCTGCTTGATACCTTGATTCACTATATAATCCTCCTCTTATGGATTCTCTTGTCCAAGTAGAATTAAACGTTGACATATGAGGATAATGAATTTTCTTCTTTTCCAGTTATTGCTCTCTTCCTCCTTCCAGCTTCTCGAGGACACGTTTCATGAGGAGCAACATCTACTAGCTTGTGATCCAAGCAATTTGATGGATGCAAATGAACCCAGAATTTTCAACCATGAGATGAAACACAAGAGAATAATGTTTAAATGGAAACAACAATATAAACTGAATTTGTCTTGACATACGTGATAATAACTTGTCTTTGGCTGTCAGCCTGTCAAGTGCGTTCTAAGTGACATTATCTCTCCAGAGTAGCTGCTGTCTAACATTGTCTGCAGATTTTATCGCTCTATCTTCATCTGTGATCCAAGCAACATCTACAACATATTGGTTGTAAATTACCAACTCAGGTTTGTGATCCCAGCAATTTGATGGATGCAAATGAACAAACCAAGAGAATAATGTTTAAATGGAAACAACAATACAATTGAATTTGTCTTCACTTACTTGGTTGTCTTTGGCTGTCAAGTAAATGGCCAGTGCGTTCTAAGCGAGCCACTTGGATGAATAAGCGGCATGCATGGTTGAGAATAGTATTAAAATGAGTGCTGCACATCTTGGGGTTGCTGAACCATGACATTATCTATCCGGACTAGCTGCTGTCTAACATTGTCTGCATATTTTTCAGAGGCACCAATTGGGATCTTCATCTGTGAGAATTTTTATATTAACCAAGTTAGTTACCGTAAATTGTAAATGACAAAAGAGGAAGAGAAAGGGATGATCACTTACTGTTTTTGCTTAAAAGCATGGTAGACGCTTCAACAACAATGTTAGATGATCTCCATCAATGTGTCCAAATCTAGCTTTAGCTTCTTCATCTGCTGCTTTTTGATCCTTTACAGGCTGAATAAAGCAGAGAAAGAATTGGTATTTATAAAAGAAGAGGTCCATGGAAGAAGTCAACAGATGCATAAAGGCAATGAGACTAACTGAGAGAGAATAACTGAGAAACTGCAACTAGTATCTGCATCAGCACTTACTTGGGATACCCCTAACCATGGGTTTGCAGAACCTAAGACTAGAGACTGCTGATGATAACCTAACTCTAATACTTGATTATAACTGATAATCACTACATACCTAACCAAAACTAGCAAGAATCTTTTCAAGAAAACGAAAGTAAAGGGGTGGTACCTGAGAGCATGGCTGAAACCCGAGAGAATCTCATTTGAGAAGTTGAATACAGGATCTTTGGATCCAAGGGGAACTCACTGATCATTATCTTACCTGTCTTTGTCAAGTTACCTTCATCATCCAGTGTTCCCAAGTTACACGTAATTAGCCACAAAAGTACATAAGATTATAAAGAAGAGAAGCTAAAGAGAGACAGAGCTTACTTACTTAAGCACGGTTCTGGTTTCCTCAAAACGAACGATGTAATCAACTTCAGCATCACGACGAGACATATACATGGCTGCAAATTTTAGAATAAGCAATTCATTTTCTAAGATACGAAATCATCATGATCTCTAATTAAATCATTCCTAATCTCAAATATAAATCAAGCTTTTGCAAATACCTCGCTTGATTCCTCACTTCACTTTTGAGTTCCGTCGTAGTGGTGAAAGCTTCTCCGTGGCAAGATTCAGTATCCGGTGAAAATCAATACTGAAATATAGACTGAAGAAGAAGAAGAAGAAGAAGAAGAAGAACAGAGGAGATCGATCTGATCTTATCATTCAAATTCAATCAATGAAACGAAACGAAACGATGATATAAAAGTAATTTTTACAATCTTACCCTTACGGATCATCATCATCATCGCCTCGATCGGGTTCTACTTGGATGGATCATCATCGGCAAAATTTACAGAGACCTATTACGCATACCCCTCGCTTGATTCCTCTCTTCACTTTTTAATTCCGTCGTAGTCTCTGGTGAAACCGATACTGATTTAGAATTAAGAAGAAGACAGAGCGATCGATCTATCATTCAATCAATGAAACGAAACGATGATATATAAATACTTATCCAATCTTTACCCTTACGGATCTTTATCGTTTTAGGGCTTAGAAGAGGAAGAAGAAGAAGAACAAGAAGAAGAAGACGAAGAAGAAGAGAGAGTTTTGAATTGTCTCTCAAGGATGAATGATGAAGAAGAAGCGTTGAGTTGTTAGAGAGAGTATTTGGATAAACATATTAAGGATTAATAAGTTCAAAAGAAAAAGGAAATTGATATTAATAACGGTCAGATTTGATTATTTTTAGGAAATTAAGAGATTTCGTTTTTGATATTTCCTTTTTTTCTTCATCCTAACGGTAACAAAATATTATTACTAGGTAGTGTTTAAATTTTCAAATTTCAATACTAAAATATGCAATTCATATATGTATCATGACAATATATACACAACCGTTAAGACTTAAGAGTAACGTATGATAATGATTTGAACAGAAACAAACATATACAAAATTACGGGTTGGGTCGGGTTTAATACCGGTAATACAATAAAATTTAGTAAGCGAAAAAATCAAAACATAGCAAATTTTTTCCAATGGAGCAACAACCCTAAAACTTAGAGGTCACGGCGATACCGATACACATGGGAAGCTCAATCTCATTCTCCAAAATCGTCGTCTCTTTCTTTTTGATTCCACAACCAACCTTAAGAACACGCTGCAAAAGCCTCAATGTTTCAATTATCCTCGAAAAATCTCAGCTTTTCGTCACATGGATCAATGACGACGAAAACGAAGAAGAAGTCTAAGGCAAAGAAGAGATTGTTGCTCGATGGTGAATCCACTGTAAATTTTAAAGCTTTAGACGATCATATCGAGGTTAGACTTGTTCTTTTACTCCCTCTAGTCTCAGACTTCAATTTGGCGATTGATTCTAGTGAAAAGGCGGCGTCTTTGAGGATGGGTTATGATCTCAGAACTCTGTCTTCAATGGGAGGAGTTCATATTTACTTTAGAAATTGCTCAGCTAGGTTAACAAAGAAGGAACTTTTCGATTTCTCTGAAATGGTTGTCGTCTATTAGTTGGCGAGAATCTGCTGATCATTGGTTTGGTACTTGTTGTTGTTCGTTTGGTGGGATTAGTGAGAAGATGGTTATTAAGTACACGAATTCGTATACTTGCTCTAGTGGGTTATGTTTACTTAGTGCTACTAATGTTTTCGCTTAGCAAGGATGATCTTGTAGAATGTTGTATCTTTGTCTGATGGAATTGAAAACCAAATTGGATCAAATTTAGCTCTGAGTTTTTATCTTGGTGGAGGTGAACCGGGTTCTGGAAGTAGTGAAGACATTTCTGATGTGAGCCATGAGGATGGAGGTGAGAGTGTATGTGGTAAAGTCGATGACTTGAAGCAGCCTTGTTTAGGTAATGCATCAATGTCTAGGTGTTGTGTACATTACTCGCATGATTCTAATGAATATTTTCAGTTGGAGTAGCTTCTTACACTTTCAGTTCGCTTGCCCTGAGTGTTCATCTCCTCTTGGAGCCTATCCGTCTGGCGTTGGGAGCAACGACAAAGCCATAGACAGTGGAGTTAGACTCTTCAAATGTTATATTTCTTTATCATCGACGTCCGGTGGATCCTCTGATGTTTTCAGGAAATACACGTTGGAAAGTATGTTTATCAATCAACTAGTGGAATGCGCCAAAGAAGAGTTATCATTTCATGTGTTAGTCAAAGATCTGACAACCAAATCCCCTCTATTCAACATCGTTATCTTGAATCCAAATGTATTTTCCTCGACTAGTCTTTGCTCGAGCCGAGATGAACCAGGTTCCACATTAGAGCTAAACCATATTGTGAAGGTTCTGTTTTTAGATTGCAACAGCTCAGTGGTGACGATTGACAAGTTTATGTGTCTCATGTCTTTTTTGTTGAAATAAAAGTTTAAATTCAATCGCTTTGAGAGATACTCAGACTTTGCAATATGAGGTGTAGTTAACTGCAAGATGGACGTATATTGTTTTTTTTGGTTAGCTTTGTTCATCCTGTTATGGAAGTAAGTTTGACAAGTTTTTTTTTAATCTCGAACTTTCATTTAAGTCGTTGATATTGTTTTTGTCTTTTGTGGTTTGTATTTCCACGATATTAATTTTTTTTCTTTAATTTAGGGTTTCAAATATTTTTTATTGTCATAATTTAAATTTTTACTTCTCATTTTTGAGTTTTTAAGATTCTAGAGATATTGAGTGTTTCCGCCGTTGTATGTAATCTAACCATAGATTTTAATTTGTAATTTAAATAAAATATGAAAAAAAATAATTAAATTTAACAATATTAGTTAAATATAAACATTATCTAATCCCCTAACAGTGTAATCTAAACCATACATGATACCTCTTAATTTGCAATATTAAATGGAAACAAATCCTAAAAAAAAACAAAAAAATAATTAATTTGAATAATATTAGTTTAATACAAAACATTATCTAATCTCTCCAATTACAGGGGAATCAACTAACGTTATTAGGTGGAGGCTTTCTCTTCTTCTTCTTCTTCTTCTTCTTCCTGCTCTCTTCAGGTTCTTCAAGTTTCCGTAAGTATTTTCTCTTTCTATCTGTTTGATTCTGTATATACATTCTTGTAATGGTTGAAAGAATCTGCCTTTTGCTTGATAGAAGAATCTGGGTTTTAAGTTTTAACCACACTCTCTTCGTTCATCTCTGAATCTTCCGGAGACCCATTTCGGTTTGGTTTCCAAAATCTGAGCTGGTTTGAGCTTTAAGCATTGTCTTTTAAACCTCTTCGTCTTCATAATCTTTTCGTTGATCGATAAAAATCGAACCTTTCGCCACGAAGGAAGAAAAAAACCAGAGCTTTGGGGGTTTTAGGTTTTTTTTTTTTTTTTTATGTTTGTAGAGTTTTTGATTAGAGTTTATGCTTTGTTGATGTTGTTTCAGGGTTTTGGTTTTGGACAGTTTTTGAGAAAGAGAAGAAAACATGTTCGGTCAAGAGAAAACAATGTCACTGGAGCATGAGATCTTGAAGGAGAATCACGAGGCTCTGATGAAAGACTATGAGTGTCTTCAGGAAAGTTTCAAGCACACTGAGCAGACTTATGAGGCTATTAAGTTGCATCTTCAGAAACAAGCTAAGGAGTTTGAGGAGAGTAACAGACGCTTGCGTGAGGAATGTGCGAGAGAGAGAAGTGAGAAGGAGGAGATTAAGAAGATGTTTGAGGAGATTAGGAAGGTAAGGGATAGTGCCCAAGATGCTATCGTTGAGAAACTGGTGAAGCAAAAGAAGGAGCTTTTGTTGGCGAGGATGAAGGATGAAGAAGAGCTGGTGAAAATTGAGAACAAGTATGTGGACTTAGCTGAGAAGTTTGTTGTTGTTGAAGCTGAATGTGCATATTTGAACTCGCTCTATGATGCTGAAGTGGCAGCTTCCGTTAATCAAAGTGCTGTAGTGTCAGGGAATGAAGAGACTGAGACTGATAATCTCGTTGGTCAAGGCGAGAACGAGGTGAATCATAATGCTAACAATGCTGGAAAAGGTATGTATATATACTTGTGCCCAAGTGTTTTTTTGGTTTAAGCTTTGCAAAAGCTTGATGTTAATGCGAGATCTTGTTTATAATCTCTTTGTGTGCAGATGCAATAATGCTAACTGATGACAGTGATGCTGAACATGACAAGCCTCCAACTCCAAGAAAGAGTAACATAAGCTCTCCTCAGCCTGTTGATACAAGCAAAGAGGAACAAGGCAGGAACAGAGAAAACTCACCCAAAGAGAACCGAGCTTCGGGAGAAACCGTCATCCCCAGACCTATTAGTAATTCACCACCTATCACTCCTTCATCATCAGCATCGTTATCCTCTTCATCATCCTCCGACGACTATGAAGTTATTGTAAAGCTTCCGCATAACTGGCCCGAGTGGGCAACCCCTAAAGGTCCAAGTAGCGGTTCCAACAAGTCTTAGAAGAACATTTCAGATGCAGAGAACTAAGAGCCAGAAGAAATGAATCTGAAGCTGCAGTTTTAAGTTAACCTAGTTATGGCAATCTTCTTACATATGTAGACATCTTATTGCTTTTTCTTCGTCTATGAGTTTATATCGAAACTACAGTCAAATCCCTTCCAAATCAGTACTAATCTTTCATGAGTTATATAATATATAACAGCTTCTGTTCTATCTTACAATAGTTTTAACCATACCTCAAATTGCATTGACATATGAATCCTTAAGATATATACCATTAGCATTGTATGAGTATCTAGTTTAGTTTTACTACATCATTCATAAAATCCATTGTAAACTCAAGATCATACAATACTGTCTCTTCTTCGATTTATTCGGCACGCCATGGATACGTGCACCAGCTTGATCTCCTCTATGCACACCAGCTTCCAAAACCAGTCTTCTGCAGCTCATTTCTCCACGTCAAGCATGAAGCTTCGGACACCAAGAACTAGATCTGTCATGAAGCTTTTAGAGCATGCCAAAATGAAAGATAATCCTGAAATTTTTTGGATAATCATATATCCATATGTGACTCTACAACATCTATAGCCACCATTTCAGTTAAGTTTCTGAGTCAATTAATTAAACTCAACATAACAGTAAGTAAATTTCCTCATTTATATGTTCCTTGCGAGTAGGTTACTAAGGATAAAGTAGATTGTAAAATTCACATAAATGTGGCAATAAATACGAATTAGAATATAATTGATTATGAAGTTATTACACATCTTAAATACAAAAATTAAGCGTTTTAAAACAAAAATGCTCACATGTGAAATTTCTTTATTTCTTTATGCCACGTTTTTTATTTTGTAATCTCAAAAGTATTGGTACATATATGTAAACATTGATAAACTAAAGGGACTAAGTTGTAAAAACAATTAATTTAATTCTCTAGAGAGTTTATCATTCTCTGTCTATCGTGTTCGAATGCTCTGTCGCTTACTTAAAAACAGTCAATTTATTTTCTGCCTTAGAAAAGATTTTTTTTTTTTTTTTTTTATCGAAGCGACGTTTTTTTTTTTTAAACTCAATTTATCGTCGTTTTGCTTTTTTGGCCTTAAAGATTTCTTCTTCTCTCTTCTTCAACCGCACCGCCTTGTTTACTTATCTTCTTCTTCCTCCTCCTTCGAGTCGGTCGGTGGATCTTTGTTCTCTGTGTTGTTTTTCATTTGGTAGATTTCGTCAATGATTGGCTTCTCGCGATTCGTTTTTCGCGGCTGGTGTTCTTAATCATCTCTTTTGAGGTAGAGGAGACACTGTTTTAGAAGGTTTTTGTTTGCCTAATTTGGGTTGATGAATAGTCCCTTATGATTCTGGGATTTTGGATATAAATTTCAATTTCTGGGAGGTCTTTACGAATTTCGAAATTGGATTGTGTGTCTGTGTTTGAATGTTATTAGTGTTGTTTTTGTTTCCGGAATTAAGACCTAGACGATTCTTGAATTATATAGCTGGGGATCTAATTTTGTTTCTGTTGATTTGCTTTGTTGAAGGGGTTTAGTGTTATGTTCTTTGTTAAATCAATGTTTCTATTAGTGTGGTGTGTAACATCTTGGATGAGTTTTAGCTGTTGCTTGTTTGATGCTATGAATTTATTTTTGTTTTAATGTAACTTGGTGTAATATTTGATGATACAGGGAATGATGGAGGAAGGATCAGTAGGGGATGTGAGTAGGATTGATGAAGATGATGTTGCTCACCTCCAATTTAAGAATGTTGACCAATCGTTTAAACCGGAAAACTGTGAAATCAGGGAAATCAAAGAAGTGCAGGTTGAGAGAGATGCGGGATCTCCTGATTGTTCGTATGGTGTAATAGCAGATTTTTTGAATGGTAAGAATGGTGATCCTTTGGACCGAATAGAAAATACACCATGTTCTTCTAGCCGGCTGAATACAAATGATGCGGGCGACGTTGTTGAGGAGTTGACTGTTAAAACTTGTGAAGGATTGAGCATGGACATAGTTGGTATACCAAGTAGTAGGGCTAGATTAGAGATGAATCGCAGTCAGTTTATGCAACGCTTTCCTCTAGATGGTGGTTTCCCTGGTAGCAGTTCTATGAGTAAGAAGGAAATTGACAGGGGAACACCAAGCATCTGGAGAGTTGCAGGCAAAATGACTTTGCCAGAGAATTCGACTGGTCAACTGGCCATTGCTGTTAATGGTGAAGCTAATGAACATTTGACAAATGTTGAACGAAATCCTGTACCAGTAGAGGCATTGTTCCACGAAGGCATCAAGACAAAGAGTATATCGCAGTCAGGGTTTTCTCAGTTTTTTGTTAGGAAAACATTGAAAGGCAAGGGAATCACAGTCAGAGGCCCGCCACACAATAAATCAAAAGCTACCAATGTGGATCCGCAAACTCTAGCTAGTTCTGGCCCTTCAGTAATATCAAATACTTCAGCAAATGTTTCTAGCAGCATCCCTTTGGCGGCTTATGATAGTTTGCCGCGCTTGCCTTCCAATTCTAGTAAACCATCTTCTTGTGCTAACCCTTCAGATATACATAACGGTTGTGGAGGTGAAGGTTTAAGTCTGAGAGAATGGTTGAGGTTGGAGCGGCAGGAAGTTAATAAAGCAGAATGTATGTATATCTTTAGGCAGATTGTGGATCTTGTGGATTGCTTTCATTCTCAAGGAGTTGTTTTATGTGACCTACGCCCATCTTTATTCAAAATTTTCAAAGAAAATGCAGTCAAGTATGTCGGTTCAGGTTCTCAACAAGAGTCTTTTGACAGAAACATGAACAAAGAGACTGTAAGTCAACTCGAAAACCCTCTGGTTAGAAGGCGGTCAGGAGATTGTACTATTCCCTGTATCCCTGCAAAGAAGCAGAAATCAGGTGGACCAAGCTCGAGAAAGTGGCCTATGTTTCAACGAGCTGGTGGCGTAAATATCCAAACTGAAAATGGTGACGGTACAATACATGAGTTTCATTCCAAATCTAGCCAACCTCATTGTAGTACAGCTACCCGTCCTTCTACTTCTATGAGTGATCAGTTGGAAGAGAAATGGTATGCGAGTCCCGAGGAGCTCAGGGGTGAAACTCGCTCAGCCTCTTCAAACATCTATAGTTTGGGTATTCTTCTTTATGAGGTATGGAGTAACTTTTATTACTTGCACTTGTTTGTATGACATCTTTGTTGTAGCTTTTTGCCTGCATTTGTAGATATGTATATCCATGAGTTGAGATATGAAACCGCATAGCCTTTACCGCAGACATACAACTAGATGTTTTCCCATGGGATAATGTATCTAAACAATGTAGCTTTGTAAACTGGGTCATAGCATGGGTGGGTCATGTTTGGCTTCTCTGGTCTTACACTAACATATCAATCATAAAATTTTAGTATACGATTCATCGCTCTTGCATTTGACGTATGTTGATAGGCAATGTGGTCTGAATAGCAATTGCATAAACAGGCATCATCGTATAGATTTAGATATTGTGGCATGTTCGTTAATGTTATGCTAACAGTAAATTTTCGTATTGACAGTACAGTTGGCTGCATAGCTCTTACGTTAATGTAATTTGTGATTCGGCTGTTCCTTGCTTAAAACATACTATTCTCATTGATATTCTAATTTTGGGTTTCTACTTCAGTTGCTTAGTCAATTTCAATGTGAAAGAGCTCGCGAGGCTGCAATGTCTGACATCCGACAGCGAATTCTTCCTCCCAAATTTCTCTCAGAGAATCCAAAGGAAGCTGGGTTTTGTCTTTGGTTACTTCATCCAGAATCTTCATCCCGACCATCAACCAGGCAATGCAAACTCTTTAGCTACAATGATCTTCAAATGACAGAAAGCACGTTATCAAACTTTTATACACTTATTTATGTTGCCGGTTTAGGCTATAAATCTCTAATGAGGATATTGGAAGAGAATTTTGTTGTATATCACACATGAAATGTACATTTGCACCTAATGTGAGGTTGTTCTCCTAGATGTAAACTAGGAAATATTGTCTCGCAAACAGTTTTTGATAGGATAATTTGGTTCTATTCTGTAAAATATAGTCTTTGTAGTAACTGAGCGCCCCTTATGTATTGATAGTCTCCTTCCTGTCATGATTTATTTGTCGAGATTGTGAGTTGGCTTTATTTCTAAATAAATTTGATGTTGTTCTTTATCAGGGACATCTTACAATCTGAAGTGGTCAATGGAATCCCGGATTTATATGCTGAAGGCTTATCGTTATCCATTGAACAAGAGGACACAGAGTCTGAACTGCTGCAGCATTTCCTTTTTATATCCCAAGATAAGAGGCAGAAGCATGCTGGGAAGTTAATGGAAGAAATTGGGTCCTTAGAAGCAGATATTGAAGAAATTGTCAAGAGACGCTGTGCCCTACGGCCTCTGTCTCTGCAAGAAGCTTCTAGCTTATCTCCTGCTTCTAGTGTACCTGAAATGAGACTGATCAGGAACATTAATCAGCTTGAAAGCGCTTATTTCGCATCAAGGATAGATGCCCATCTCCCTGAAGCACGCTACAGGTTACGCCCGGATAGAGAACTGCTAAGAAATTGCGATAATACTGTAGCAGAAGTAGAAAACAGCGAGACTTGGAGCTCAGATGATCGTGTAGGAGCGTTCTTTGATGGATTATGCAAATATGCTCGATATAGTAAGTTTGAAACTCGCGCTGTGCTGAGGACCAGCGAGTTGAACAACACTTCAAATGTGATTTGTTCTCTGGGATTTGATCGGGACGAGGATTATTTTGCTACGGCTGGTGTGTCTAAGAAAATTAAGATATTTGAGTTCAATTCCCTATTCAACGAATCTGTCGACATTCATTATCCAGCTGTAGAAATGCCAAATAGATCAAAGCTTAGCGGCGTTTGCTGGAACAACTACATCAGGAACTACCTAGCTTCCTCTGATTATGATGGTATTGTCAAGGTATATGAACCTTTGAAGATATATATGAATTGATTATCACTTGATGGCCCCCTTTATTTCCTTGCTTCTAATGTATACAAATGTATTATGATGGATCCAGTTATGGGATGTGACAACAGGACAGGCCATTTCACATTTCATAGAGCACGAGAAGAGGGCTTGGTCTGTTGACTTCTCTGAAGCTTGTCCGACAAAATTAGCCAGTGGTAGCGATGATTGTTCTGTGAAGCTATGGAACATCAATGAGGCATGCTTTTCTATATCTTTACATGCTTAAGAACTGGATTCTGTTGTCTAATAACTAATCTGACTGAGATATATACACATGAATTCATAGCAGTTTGGATTATATTGTTATGTTGTTATGCTTGTATTTCAGCCCTGTTGCTAATATACACTCTTCTTGCATGACTGTGCAGAGGAACTGCTTAGGAACAATTAGGAACATTGCAAACGTGTGTTGTGTGCAATTTTCTCCACAGTCATCTCATTTGCTAGCCTTTGGATCATCAGATTTCAGAACGTACTGCTATGATCTACGAAATTTAAGAACTCCTTGGTGTATACTGTCAGGACACAACAAAGCAGTTAGCTACGCAAAATTTTTGGATAATGAAACCCTTGTCACTGCATCGACTGATAACACGCTAAAGCTTTGGGATCTTAAGAAAACCACTCACGGTGGCCTCTCAACAAATGCTTGCAGCTTAACTTTTGGTGGCCATACAAATGAGAAGGTAGCTAATGCTGAAACTCAAGTATACTTTATACCTGGTAATGTTTCTCTTTTTCGTCGTGGTTGATTTGTCTTTTCTTACCTTTTCCAGAACTTTGTTGGCTTGTCTACTTCGGATGGATATATAGCTTGCGGCTCTGAGACAAACGAGGTATGCTCCTACACACTTGGGAACATATTGATATTCGTTTAGTACTTTGTGCGCTCAATTCCCCTTAACAAGCATTGCCACTGATTGAAAGTTTGATCCCTAACTTGTATAGCAGCTCCAAAGTTGCTTCTTCTTGATGCACAAATTAACAGTTCCGTAATTATGACTATTTCTACGCAAAGGAGGAACTAATCCTTTGCTACCAAAAAAATTACCATATAATTAGCAAGTCATAAGGGCCGATGATAGAAAAACCTTGGTGAAAAAATAATTTCGTATTTTGTTCTGTGATCATCTCTCTGATTGTGATAAATGGTGTTCCTTTTTTTCCTTTGCTCAGGTTTATGCCTACCATCGGTCTCTTCCAATGCCCATTACCTCGTACAAATTTGGTTCTATTGATCCTATATCAGGTAAGGAGATTGAAGAGGACAACAACCTATTCGTTTCAAGTGTTTGCTGGAGAAAACGATCGAACATGGTTGTTTCAGCTAGCTCAAATGGATCTATCAAAGTTCTACAGTTAGTCTGAATCATATATACATACAGAAGAAGCTTCAGTATATCAACCCAAGTCCCTAGTACGATGTTGAGTACCCAAGAGATATGATCAAGTCTTCAATCTAACGTACAGTGTTGGGATTATTATAAGATAGTTATCTATGTTTCTGCTGGAGTTTGACCTCAAAAGAGGTAATGTGAATGAGAGAGAGGAGCTATACTTGCGATGGTTGGTCTTTTGATCAGTGGTTAGGGTTGATACCGCTGATTGGGTAATGGGTATACGTAGTAAGGTTAAAAGACCTTTCTTTTGGTGTTGTTCTAAGGTTTTTTTTGTTGGCTCCTAAAATAAGATTTCACTTTGTGATGTAAATTTGCTGCTCCTATAGTTTCTAAAGGTAAAAGACCATATCCTGATGTATATATATAGTGATATGAGCTTTAGTCCTACTCCTACAGATGAATCTCCTCCAAGAAAAAGGTTTTTCTTTTTCTCAGATATATATTTTTTGGATTTTGTAATTGTTTAACATTTTTTTGGTTCCGCAAACTTTTACACATGAGTTCAGTTCAACAAGTTTCTCGTTTACGAGCGAATTAACTCAATTTTGTGACCAAAAAAAGAAAAAAAGAAAAAAAAACTCAATTTTGTGAACTCTTTAAATCCATTATTGGGCCATTAATAGGCCGAAAATGGGCCATTAATAGGTCGACAATGAGCTACTAATGGGCCGATACTCGTTAACTTAAACCCCTTTCACAAAACCATTGCCGTCGTAATCCCACTCACCAAACAACTCTTCATCGCCGGGTAAGCGAACTTCCATTTCTAAGCTATTTCGATCTCGCTTCACGTCGATCTATATTCTATTTCTAGTCAAGTTACTCTCTTCTTTTAAGGTTTTGTGGGTCGAGAAGAATCAGTTAAGACTTGCGTTTGATTCTCTAAAGTTCACTTTTTTCTTAATGATAATCTCTAAAGGAAGGATTTTTATACTAATCAAATTGAGGGTTTTTGTTTTTTTGATGCAGACAAGTGATTGACATATTCAGAAATGGCGTTTGCTAGGGCAGTGAGAAGACCAATTGGAGTATTTTATTATAGTGCTAGTGGTAGGTTTAGTTCTGGAAATGAGTATTCTACTGTGGCAAGCAAATTGGAAAATTTGTCTCAGTGCAAGAGCTCTGTGTTGTCTGGATACACAAACCCTGTTCGTGGTTTTGGGAACTTCTTAAGGAGTTTTAGTTCGACACCTGCTGTATCTGACCAGATGAGTCTTATTAAGCAACTGAGGCAAAGAACTAGTGCTCCTATTAAAGATGTCAAGGCTTCTTTAGTTGAATGTAATTGGGACCTTGGTAAGAATTGAGTTGAGATCTTTTTTATATTTTTGCTGCAGGTTCTTTTTATTTTGTGTGTTTAAAGTGGGAGTTATTGGATTTGATACAGAGGCTGCTCAGAAGGATTTGAGAAAGAGAGGGAAAGTATTGGCTTCGAAGAAATCGTCACGGACAGCTGCTGAAGGAATGCTTGCGGTTGCCCAAAATGAGGGGAAAGTTGCTGTTATTGAGCTTAACTGTGAGACAGACTTTGTTGCTAGGAATGAGATTTTTCAGTACTTGGTTAGTGCTACAAGTGTTTTTAAAACGGGTTGCTTTAATGTTGCTGAATAATGAGTGTTTCACAGCAAGGTTCTGGTGTCTTGTAGGCTTTAGCTATGGCAAAACATGCTTTGCTGGTTGAGAGCGGTTCACAGCAAGGTTCCGGTGTCTTCCCCTTCGGGCCTGAGCTTTTCGAGGTGAGTTATATCATGTACTAACTGGTTTCCTTTTGTGTCCTTAAACATTGTGGATCTATGTTGTTTTTCGTTTGTACCATCAATATCTAGTTTTCATTTACTCTAATTGATGCTGTTCAGGAGTTTAAGCTCAATCTCGATCATCCAAAAGTGAATGGTGAAACAACTGTTTCAAACGCTGTTACTGAAGTAGCTGCGATAATGGGAGAGAACGTGAGATTTAGGAGAGGTTTCTTGCTGTCTAAATCTTCAGCAGGCGTCCTTTCTGCATATCTTCACACTAGTCCTCAACCAGGTACAAATTGTTCAATATAGCTCCCTTGTCTCTGATCTCGTTTTTGTGATAAATTTTCATGCATTTTTAACTTTTCTTGTATTATGCGAATAGGGTTGGGTCGTATAGCTGGGATTGTATCTCTCGAAGTAGAAGGTGAAAATACTCAACTAGAGGCTATTCAGCGTGTAGGCTCAGAACTGGCTATGCATGTTGTAGCAGCAAAGCCTTTATTTTTAAGCAAAGACCTAGTTTCTTCAGAAGCAATAGCAAATGAACGCGAGATTCTGAAGTCTCAGGTCAATGTCACACCTCATTGTTATGAAACTGAGCTGTAATTTGTAAACAGACATAGCTTAATTTGGAAAATTTTGCTTATCAAATGTTGTATATGACAGGCAGAAAGTACAGGCAAGTCTCAGATGGCTATAGAGAAGATTGTGGAAGGACGTCTCCGTAAATATTTTGAAGAAGTTGCTCTAATGGAGCAAAAGTTTATTGTGAACGATGCTATAAACGTTAAGGTATGTGGATTTAAGCTATAACGCCGAGTTTGGCATATGATTTTCTCTGCATTGCTTGTCCTCGCTTGTTTAATGTAACTCTTGAGATTCCTATTCAACAGACACTGGTGGATAATTTGTCCAAGGAGGTGGGTTCACCTGTTAAGGTTTCCAATTTTCTGAGAGTCGAGGTTGGGGAAGGAATCGAAAGGTAAATATAACAGTGACCCATATATGTCCAGTACGATTAATCGTTGTTGTAAGATAAGTAGCTTATGAACGTGTATATTTATGTTGTGTTTTTGAAGGCTTGAAGCATCTGATGAACCTGTTGCTCAAACTGCTTGAAGATGATATAGATCAAAGACATGGTGTTAGATTTACAGACCACTCTTTCTCCTTGGGTCCTTTAGAATTTATTGCTTCAATTCCATCTTGAGATTACAAAAATCTCTCCCATAATTTTGTTGTTATAACTGTTTTGCCACACAATATGGCAATAAGATCAATCTTGTGATTGTACCTTAGGAAACTATGACAGTAATCTTGTTTTGTGTTCTCCTACTAAGATCATTACACCTTGTGGATTGTATCTGTTTCGAAGGATAAAGATTAAAAGTAGTGAATCTAGTTCGGTCTTGAACCATTCTTGTTGCTTAAGTCTTCAACTGTATAAACAAGTTTATAGCTTACCATACATATCAATCATGCAAGTATTTGTAGTCTTATTAGATGGCTCTTCAATCGTTTCACAAAAAAAAGATGCTTCTTCGATAAATCCCCAAAGAGAGAGATTTCTCCGGTTACCAACGGTCGAAATTAACGGTTTACTAAATTTAAGACAAAACCGGTTAGCTTTACCGACTATCCATAATCAACGATCATGATCAACGAGAGATAATCGTATGGTTCATATCATAAGTATGTACTTAGTTACAGTACACCAAAAATCACTTCATAGAAACCCAATTCTCTTCTTCAACCTTTTGATTTTCGAAAAAAGCAAAACTTTCGAAAAAGCAAAACTTTCTGATTCTCTCGAGATCATCATCACTCTTCACTCTCTCTCGCTCTGCACTCGTTCTCTTGGGTTCAGTCATGGTGACAGAGACGACGACGACCCGACCAACGGTTAAAGTCTCTAATCTTCCTCAAACCATAGTCGCCGACGAACTCCTCCGCTTCCTTGAGCTCCACCTCGGCGAAGACACAGTATTCGCTATCGAAATCCCAACAACTCGCGAAAATTGGAAACCACGAGACTTCGCTCGAGTACAATTCACTACCCTCGAAGTAAAATCTCGAGCCCAGCTTCTCTCTTCACAAAGCAAGCTCCTTTTCAAAACCCATAACCTAAGACTCTCTGAAGCTTACGACGATATCATCCCTCGCCCTGTAGATCCAAGGAAAAGGCTAGACGACGTCGTTTTGACTGTTGGGTTTCCTGAGTCAAGTGAAGAGAGGTTTTGTGCCCTAGAAAAGTGGGAAGGTGTGAGGTGTTGGATTTTGGAAGAGAAGAGGAGAGTTGAGTTTTGGGTTTGGGAAAGTGGTGATTGTTATAGGATTGAAGTTAGGTTTGAGGATATTGTTGAAACTCTTGGCTGTTGTGTTAATGGTGATGCTTTTGAGATTAATGCATTTCTTCTCAAGGTAAAAATACCTTTTTTTGTAATGTGTTTTTGTAACTATGTGAGTCTGTGTTGAGTTTATTTAGGAGTTCAGGATCTGTGATGATGATTGAAGATTGAATTTTTGGTGACATTTTTAGAAAATTTGGTTACTCATATGTGTTATGGAGGTTGTTGTTTGAAGTTTTAGCTTAAATTTCACTCATAGATGTATGATTGGTTCTTTGAATCTTTCTTTGACAGCTTTATGGTCTCTTCTGATTTGTTTTGTTTACCTGTTGTCTTGTTTCCAGCTGAAATATGGACCGAAGGTATTTAAAAGAGTAACAGGACCACACATAGCAACAAAGTTTAAACCTAATCGGTATTGTTTCTGCAAGGAGGATTTTGATTTCATGTGGATTCGCACGACTGATTTCTCTGGTTCAAAGTCAATCGGTATATCAACTTGCTTTTGTTTGGAGGTCGACAATGGCTCAGAGATGTTAGACATTTTCTCGTGCTTCCCTTACTACAGAAAAGACACTTTGAGTCTAACCATTGTGGATGGGAATGCGTTTGCCTCTGCTTGTCAAATTGTACCCCTCTTGAATGCTGGCAGTCTGGGGTTAGAGTTCCCATATGAGATCCTTTTCCAACTCAATTCGCTGGTTCACGCGCAGAAAATCAGTCTTTTTGCTGCGTCAAATAAGGAACTGATCAATATGTTTCGTGGTTTGAGCTTGGACACCGCATTGGTGATCCTCAAGAAACTTCATCAGCAATGCTCTATATGTTATGATCCTGTCTCCTTTGTCAAGAGTCAGATGCAATCCCCGATTAAGAAGATGAAGCATTCTCCTGCATCAGCCCATAAAAGATTGACCGAGCAGAACATCATGAGTTGTCAGAGAGCCTACGTTACACCCTCAAAGATTTATCTGTTGGGTCCAGAGCTTGAGAAAGCTAATTATGTTGTGAAGAACTTTGCAGAGCATGTCACGGATTTCATGAGAATTACTTTTGTGGAAGAGGATTGGAGCAAGCTTTCAGCAAATGCTCTTTCTGTGAACTCCAAGGATGGCTATTTTGTGAAGCCCTTTAGGACCAACATTTATAACAGGGTGTTGTCGATTCTTGGAGAAGGGATCACTGTTGGGCCTAAGAGGTTTGAGTTCTTGGCTTTTTCAGCCAGCCAACTGCGAGGAAATTCAGTCTGGATGTTTGCGTCTAACAAGAAAGTTAAAGCAGAAGATATAAGAGAATGGATGGGTTGTTTCCGTAAAATCCGAAGCATTTCCAAATGTGCTGCTAGGATGGGTCAGTTGTTCAGTGCTTCGCGGCAGACACTTAATGTCCGTGCACAAGATGTGGAGCAGATTCCTGACATTGAAGTGACTACTGATGGTGCTGACTACTGCTTCTCAGATGGCATCGGGAAAATTTCATTGGCATTTGCTAAGCAAGTTGCTCAAAAGTGTGGACTGGATTATGTCCCTTCTGCATTTCAAATTCGATACGGTGGGTACAAAGGTGTGATCGCCGTAGACCGCAGTTCCTTCAGAAAGATGTCTCTGCGTGATAGTATGCTAAAGTTTGATTCGAACAACAGAATGCTTAATGTAACCAGGTGGACAGAGTCGATGCCTTGCTTCTTAAACCGGGAGATCATTTGCCTTTTGTCGACTCTTGGAATAGAAGATGCAGTGTTTGAGGCGATGCAAGCGATGCATTTATCTATGCTGGGGAATATGCTTGAAGACCGCAATGCAGCTCTTAATGTGCTGCAGAAATTGAGTGGAGAAAATTCCAAGAATCTGCTAGTTGACATGCTGCTACATGGATATGCACCGAGTTCAGAACCATACCTCTCAATGATGCTTCGTGTACACCATGAGAGCCAACTTTCTGAACTAAAGAGTAGGTGTAGGATACTTGTACCAAAAGGGCGGATCTTGATCGGTTGCATGGATGAAATGGGTATTCTGGAGTATGGCCAAGTGTATGTTCGGGTAACCCTGACTAAAGCTGAACTGAAATCTCGTGAACAGAGCTACTTCAAGAAGATTGATGAGGAAACATCTGTGGTGATTGGGAAAGTGGTTGTGACGAAAAACCCATGTCTTCACCCGGGAGATATCAGAGTACTTGACGCTATATATGAGGTCAATTTCGAAGAAAAGGGATTTCTCGACTGCATCATCTTTCCTCAGAAGGGAGAAAGGTATGATTAAAATCCTTTAAAGCTATGCACCAAACCAGAAAACATATGCTTTTGGTTCTTAGTCTCAGCTTAGTTGATAATATATTTCTCCTTGGTTTTTGTGGACTCTACAGGCCACATCCAAATGAATGTTCTGGTGGAGATCTCGACGGAGACCAGTTTTTTGTCAGTTGGGATGAGAAGCTTATACCAAGCCAAATGGACCCTCCGATGGACTACGCCGCAAGCAGACCTCGTATAATGGATCATGATGTCACCTTAGAGGTTAGTTTCTTGAAAAGACTATGATGATGTTTCCTAAATTCCTAATCTTTGGAACAATTAGCTGATCTCGTTCTATTCACTCTGCTTTGTAGGAAATCCACAAATTTTTTGTGGATTATATGATAAGCGACACGCTTGGGATGATCTCAACTGCACATTTGATTCATGCAGACCGTGACCCAGAAAAAGCCCGGAGCCAGAAGTGTCTAGAGTTGGCGAATCTTCACTCTAGGGCTGTTGATTTTGCGAAAACTGGAGCTCCAGCTGAAATGCCTTATGCCTTAAAGCCGAGAGAGTTCCCTGATTTCCTGGAACGTTTCGAGAAACCAACATACATCTCTGAGTCTGTGTTCGGGAAACTATACCGTGCTGTGAAAAGCTCGTTAGCACAGAAAAAGCCAGAAGCTGAGACCGAGGACACGACGGCTTATGATTCGACACTTGAAGAAGCTGGCTTTGAGAGCTTTATAGAGACAGCTAAAATCCACAGAGACATGTATGCCGAGAAACTAACCTCGTTGATGACATATTACGGAGCTGTTAACGAAGAAGAGATCCTCACAGGCATTTTGAAAACCAAGGAGATGTATCTGGCGAGAGATAACCGGAGATATGGTGATATGAAGGATAGAATCACGTTGTCTGTGAAGGAACTGCAGAAAGAAGCCATGGAATGGTTCAGTAAAAGCTGCAATGAGGAACAACAGAAGAAGAAGCTAGCTTCGGCTTGGTACTACGTAACATACAACCCGAGCCAGGTCGATGAGAAGTTGAACTTCTTGAGTTTCCCGTGGATCGTCGGTGACATTTTGCTGAAGATTAAGGCTGAAAATGCACAGAGACAGAGCGTTGAAGAGCAAACAAGTGGACTTGTATCCATGTGATTCACCCCAACCCTATCTATCACTCGTTGGTGTAGTAGTATAATAATTGCTAGATAAAGGCAATTGAGACCAGCAGCATAACATCGCTTGTACATGCGTCACTCAAAAGACTAATGACTACTAATTATATTATGTGTCATTTTGTTATTTCGAATGTGAAGTTGCCCAAATGAGAGATGCAATTTGATACATTACCATGATTTATTGACATGAGCCTTTAAGACTATAGTAAACTAATAACACTTGCAATTTTAGGCTAAGCTAATAACATTCATTAACCATGTACGTGGTCTTTAACCTTTTTAAAGCCAGACAATCCAATCCAACCAAAGTTAAAATGTCATAGAGACTCATAGTGTTAATATGAGAGAATGTGTTATTGAAGGATCATCTTAAGAAATTAAAGAAGTGAGCTACTACATCTTACTTGCTAGTTTCCAATTTCTTATTTGCGGCTATCTTTTTCTTTGATCACTTTTTTTACAAGAGGTCAAATCATCAGGCAAATCGAGTGATGGTTGGTGGCACCAAATTTATTGAGTCACGGAGTCGATAAGAAGCTGACTGTTCTTTACACTTTACACACTTTACAAAATCTTAAAAATTGTGTATGCATGTTTGTTTAAAATTTCTCTAAAATTAAAGATCAGTCAGTATAGCAGCAAACATATAGTGATTAGCAATATTAAATGTCATTTTAACCTAAAGATGATATATATACACCCCTATTTAGATCTTCCACAAAACTTATATCTAGTATATATAAACATATTAAAGAGATTAAATACATATATAGATCATGTGGTGTGTGACATATGTTTCTTGTAAGGCCATGCATAATGATTTAGGACAGCCTAAGGATCGAAATATGGTTGTAACATCGTTTTACCTTTTTTTACATAACATGGAGATAATAAGAAGTCAACACATACCAAAAACTAGACTAAACTTTTATATTTGGTATTTTCTCAACTATAAACCTAGACTAAACGGTCCTAGCTAGTCCACATCACTACCACCAACATGGCAACACAATCCCATAAAAACGAATGTCGTGCTTTCTTATGGACCTTACCATTTTGTGTGGGTTTCGCAGCTCTCAAAATCACACTTGAAAGAGACACTCAACTTCAAATATTTTCCCTTTTTTGAAATTAACACTGACAATGATCGAAATCCCAATAACTTATCCAATATCTAAATGCATATATCACAATGATACGATGAGATTTTTTGGTTGCGGCTTTTAGGAAAACATACAATAGTGTGATTAATGTTGCAAGGTTACTAAAACCCCAAAACTATGTAAGGTTAAAATTTAAAGACAAGGACTTAACATTCATACCAAAAAGTTCAAATATAAATGGAGACAAAGAAAACTATTGAAGTGCATGGGAATGACACGAGAAGTGTACGTGAAGAGTGAAAACGTTCAATAAATTTGTAAGTGTGATAGGATGATATATATAAGATTCTTCTATCTATCTAGGAGTTTATTTATTAAGAACTGCAACATTTCATGAGACCTTTATTATCCTAGTCATCACATTTCACAGTATACATCTCTTGTTTACCATTTCAAACATTTATGAATATTTGATATTTCTAGTTCTATACCTTATCATTAGTAATAAATCAGACTATTGCGGTGGTCAAAATAGGTCCACGGACTTGAACGCTTCGATCTTGATTTGGCCTACTTTGTTTATATCATTTCACTCGACTCTATTGACTTGTGCATTAGTTATGCATAGCTCTACGAGTTCGACTAACTGATACCAAAACAAATCGGTTTTTTACGATTTTTCAAAATTTTTGGTTTCAAAGAAATTTACCAAAATTACTCGAATAAATAACAAATTTGAATTTCTTATTTATTTTTTATAACCAAACCGTAAACCAAATATGTTTCAAAATCTTGTCGAAATGAACCGATTTTTAATTAAAAACCAAGAAAAGTGATTTCTAATCGATTACAATAAACCGCAGGCCTAATTGGTTTTTAAAGTTATAGTTATTCTATTCATAAATTTTACTTTTCAATTCTTTATGATAAAATCAAAAGCTGTCAATGCAAAAAAAAAAGTTACTCTTAAACTCTATACGACATTTTCACATGTATATAGACTAAAACGGAAACAAATCAAAAGCGACGTAGAGCTAAAGAAGAAGCAAGTGTAGTGTTATTTTATTTTTAGAAGGTTTTTTTCCCACACATGTAGAACTTAGTATATAGTATAAGACTTTCGTAAAAAAGTTCAAGAACACATGGTATGAATCAAATTCACTTCTTTCTTTTATATAGACACTTGCCCAAAGATTCGATTCTTCCTCACGTGTAATTCTATATCCCCAAATGTAGAACAATATTATGAATTTTCTATTTGCCATATTAACAACACATTGTATAATCATAATATAATTTAACGTTAATATAAGTAACAAAAAAATTAACCGAAGCTTTTCATTGATTCCTCGTCACGTGAGACAACACGTGATTCATCAAAAAAAGACCAAAAGAAGAAAAGTAAAAGCGTGAGATTTGCTCAGAGACAAAAAAAAAATAATAATAACTCAAGCGTGCGTGCGTTAACTAACAGACGTTTATTAGTGCACACCAAAATTCACCATTAATTAAGTTAAAATTTTGAATATATAATTATATATAACAAATTATTCATAATAATTATTTAAAAAATCGCCGATAATTTTAATATCTCCGCCGGTAACAAAACTTCACCTAACGCCGTTGAATAACGACCGGTGTTTTTTTTCTTCTTTTAACGTCGCCTTTTAGTTTTAAACAGCTAAGAGAGGATCCGACCCGAATAAATCCCCAAGATCTTGAAAATGGTCCTCCACGTGCCAGCTAGAGAATCCAGACCCAGACCCAAACCCAAACCCGGATCCGAAACTCATATCCGTGAAAAGATCCTCTCCGAACAAATCTCCGCCGAAACAATCAGTCATCGACGTCGGAAAACCAAAAAACTCGTCGACTGAGAACAAAGACTCCGAAAAATCCGTATACGTACCCGAAACAGTACTCAAAGGCTCTTCCTTCACTTCAACCATTGCCGATACACCGGGAAACTCAAACTCCTCCTTAACCGCCGTAGACTCGCCGGAGAACGGAGACTGTAAAACTGAAACCGGAGAAGCAAGACATCCTCCGCCGCCGCTACTGATAAAATCTGACGTTTCTTCAGCTTCTTCTTCAACCGGAGGAGGAGGAGGAGGAGGGAAGTTGAGAAGCGCGTTAGGACCACGTAGCTGAATAGCGGCGTTATCATAAACAACGGCGGCTTCCTCCGCCGTGTCATAAGTACCTAACCAAACACGAACACGTCTTGTCGGATCTCTAATCTCCGCCGCCCATTTCCCCCACGGTCTTTGTCTCACACCACGAAACTTCCTCGACGTCGCCGATGTAACAACCACCGGAGGAGTAGCAACACTCTGCCTTCTCCTCTTCTTCGTCATCTTCATCGCCTTGTCATCTTTATCATCACACACCGATTCAAGAACCACTTCGTTCACGTACCTCTTGACACGGCGTCGTTTTCTAGATATCGCTTCAAAACCTTGTTCTTCGTCGCTTGATGAATCTGTAGCGTAAGGATCAGTCATAGAGATTCGTAAGATTCTTGGTTGTGTTGTGACTATGTTCTTGATTCTTTGCTCTCTCTGTCTCTGTAATGAAACTTTCTTCTCTGTCTCCATTTTCAAAACTCTCTCTGTTGTAATATTAACTTATGTGTTTCTTTCTTTCTTCGTTCGTGTGTTTTGTTTATATATATAAACAAAAAGTTAGGAAAAGTAAAAGAGAAACAAAAAAAGATTGATGCTTTTTTAAACAAGAGAGAAGATTTTCCCGGGAAAGTTGAAAGAAAAAAAGAAGAGAGCTTTGATATATGCTTAAGGAATCAGAGTTTGGTGAGTTAAGCAAAGGAAAGGGGAAAAAAAGAGAGAGATGCTTTTATCTTGTTTAGGAATGAATGGATTTTTTAAAAGAAATATTCCTGGGAAAAAATTTTATGCAGAGAAAAGAAAAAGTTAATGTTGTGAGAGAGTGAGTGAGAGTGACAAAAAAGATGAAGAAGAAGAAGGCAGAGAGCAGAGAACAGAGCAGAGCACATGGAAGTGAAAATATAAAAGAGAGAGACTCTGAAGAGAACAGAGTCTTTTATAGGATCTTGAAACGGCGGTTGCGGCGTTTTTACACATTTTTGTATTTTTTTTGTCATTAGGAAGGAAAAAATAAAAGTTATTAGTATTTTTATGTAAAAGTTAGGAAAATAAATTTAATAACGTGAAAGACGGTTTTGGTCTTATCTTTGACCATTAGGAATTTAATATCTTGTAATCAAGGGTGGTTTAATTGCTGTAATTAAAATTCTTGTACATAAGGGTATTTTGGTCATTTTATAACAAAGTGAAGTAAAACAAAATTAGACCGTTGCGGTGAAGTTTTTTAATTTTTAGCAGTCTCGAGTCTTTTTCTACTGCAGGTTTTCTGACGTGGCAGAGAGACAGAGACGACAACATAGGACGTTACGTCAAAAAAACAAATCTCCTTTTTATATTTCACTTTTTTTTTGTTTTTTTTTTTGTATTTTATTAATTGAATTTCTCTTGTTTTCTTTGACATGGATATTAATTAAAAAAATTTGGTTTTTTTAAAGTTTATATTTGTCCTTTTTTAAAAACACTTTTTTGTAGTAGGAAAAAAAAAGAACTCCTTTTTTCACTGCATATTTTCACATGAGTTGTTAAAAACCAGAGAAAACAAAGTGCCTTTAATATTGTTTGGTTCTTTTAACGTGGACCGTGTTTGGCTTTTTCAAGTAAATATGTAGTTAAAAAAAAAGAATTATACAAGTAAAATAAATTTCTGAAATAGAGAACTTTAGGAAGATATATTTTAAGAATTACTATAGTTATAAAAATAAAATAAAAATTGTGAAAACTTCAAGCCACCATTATAGTTTAGTATCAAAACTACTATACAACAAAAAAGAATATGAAAAATTAAATTCCTACAAAATTAATTTGCAAACATTTGGTGGTTATAAAATCTGTATACAAATCAAAAAACCCAAAATTAAATAAAATTATTGAACTACAAAGCTTTATTTTTTTGGTTATATACTAATTTGTTTAGTTATTAGTATTAGAGAAGTGCTTGTTTTATGAGAATGGAGAATATTATGTAAAATGTGTTAATTATTGATTTAACTAAAAATGTTACTACTAATTAGATTTTTTTTAAATTTATTGTGTTTTGTTAAGTTATGATTGGTTTACAAATATGAATCATCCCCTTTTATAGAAATTGTTTAAAATCAATGAAAAATTATCTTACTATATACAACCTATAAAGTATTACAACTATGTTGAGTCGGCAAAAGCTAAAATCTCCACCTTCGCGAAATCTTATAATTCACGTAAGAACTTAAACACCGATATCCACATGTGTCATTTATGCTTTGATTTAAACATGTGTGTTTTGCTTTCTTTTTTCTAAATATGGGTTTAGTATTTCTCGACTAGATGAAGTTTTTTCCTGTTCGAGCTTTTGAATTTGGTTGGTGAGTAGTGTCACACAAATAAAACATTAGTTACATATATGATACATGTTTAGCATACGAGTTTTTAATCAGGTTGAACAAACAAAAACACAACAATTAGAATTTACATTTGATCATTTTTTTGGTCCCTTGCACCCTATGAAAAAAAAAGAATAGCATCTAAAAATATTGCTTTGTTGTTATTGATATGATTTGATATGATCTTACAAAATTAGTGTTTTAGGGTTTTTTCATACAAATTAAAAAGAACAAGCTATAATTTTATAATATTTTATTAGTTTAGTAATCCACTTTATTCTATTTTTTATTTGTTACAAACAAAAGTTATAATAGTGCTAATATACAAAACATCAATCTTTGTGAAAAAGGTAAAAACAAAACCGTCAAAAACCTTCTTTTACTAACAGAGTGAGTTGTTAACTAGTTAAGGTTATTAAATGGTTACAAAATGCTAATTCTCTAAAAGATTTTAGAACATTCGACAAAATAATCATAAGATAAGTAGGAGACCCAAAAATGGATAGGTACACATGTTGATATATATATATATATATATATATAGCTCTCCAATAATTCAACCTAGTAAATAATTTGTCCCGAAGGTAAAAAGATCAGGCCATGACACCACACCATTGTGTCGATGTGACCAGTATATATATTACTAGAGTTAGAATCACCTTCACGAAACCAACATATTCGTGAATCGTGATTTCTTAGTTTAGGAATGGTTCTTCTGTTTACGTAAAAAGAAGTCGAAATAAATATTTTTTTCTGAAAAACACATTTTATTAGTCAACCATACACAATAGGAAATCGAAACACTTGCTTTGAATTTGTTAAGATTTTTGTAAATATAATAAGTATGATTACAAGACTGTTAAAAACTATGTAAGACAGGTCAAATAAACATCAAACCCAATACACCCCGTAAAAAAAAAAAAAAACAAGTTGAGCCACACAATTTTTTATGAATCCAATAAAAATAGGTTTCTTTCAAACAAATCAAACTTCGTTAGAAAGAGAATATTTAGTAGTATATGAAACATAGAGTGTAATGATTAGCCATTGGTTCATGTAATATCATCATCACACAATCATAAGAGTAAGTTTTTTCTAGTAACGGTACATTTCACATACATTTCACATACGTAATACTTTCACATAATTAATTAAAAACTCCCAAGCACATTGGTAACACATTGGGACTTGGGAGACTATATAATTTGATGTAACATTAGTTAGTGTTCAGCGAAAAGTGTAAATTATTAAATGCTAATAGGATAAAGATTTTTAGCAAAAACTTAGAAGACACTATTCAAATAGTGTTTAGGACAAAACTATATAACATGTTCTGGTCTCAGGGTGAAAATAATATATAGGTTTCGGCTCATAACCTCTTTGATTATTCAAAAGAAAAAAGTTTAAACCAAAAATTCCCAATCAAATAGTAAATATATTGGGACATGGGAGACTATATAATTTGATGTAACATTAGTTGGTGTTTAGTGAAAAGTTTAAATTAAGAAGAGACCGTACGGATCAATGTTGAAGAACATAAGGACAAGACTTGGACGTAGGAGGGAGTCCCACTTGACCGCTCTCACCGTTGTAGTTCCGCAAACGGCGCCGTTCTCTCATTTCGAGTACACATCACTTGGTTAGTTTTTTGTATTCATGTGACTTCGTCGTCTCGAGGCAAAGAAAAAGAAAAAGAACTCTTGACTCTTCTCTTTCGCTTGTTACCCATTTGTCTGCCAACATCTCTTTTAATTTGGCAATATATATGTTCATGTTACTTCAAATTTATGTTTCTTTTTCCTTGCATATATAGTTCATGAACTTGAGAAGAGAAAAGAGTCTTTCGCGTTTGGCTTATATGTCACTTTGTGGTATAAATCATTTGTACGTAACGTAACGTAACGTAAGCTATGTGAAATAATATTGACATAAAACACTTATACTAGTATTATATAAACAACGGTTCATAGTTAATGAAAATATGATATGAAAATTCAGACATATTAATAAGAGTTTGGTGACTTTGGTCCTTGCAAAGTGACCTCTTCATTAATTATTACATTGGTTCAGGTGCTTAGGAAAATGTACAACAAAAAAAAAGATAAACTAGTGAAGTAAAATAAAGGAGAGTGTTGATTTGTTTTAGGCGGTCGATGAGTATATGAATATGACATTGATGATAAAGGTTTTTTATATAACAAAAATATAAGAAAATTTATCATTCATCGATTTGGAGTTATCTTAATTTATAAAGCTAATTACAATTTATATAATTTTTTTTCTTAATTCATCGTGAAAAGGAAACGCAGTAACTTGTTTTCTTACATGTGCACTTAGTGAAATCGAAACTCAATTTTATCGTCTTTATTATTAGAATTAAGAACATAATGAGACTCTTGTTTAATATCGTTTCGACAAAGTGAACAAAAGTATATAAAAAAATGTATATTGGTAGAACAAAGCGAACCATTAAAAGTTTTCCAATAATGAACCAATTAGGCCAAATTATAATCTATAATGGTGTGTACTTGAAAAGTGCTTCAAACCATGCTGAAATTATGGGCATGGTTAAGAAACTTATGTTATGGATTTTTTTTTTCTTGGTCTGCCAAAATGGTTTTCCTTTTAAATTCATGAAATTAAAAATGTTAAAATGTTCACAATATATAGTTTAAGAAAGCAATATCCAATATTAGACTCCTATATTATACTACTATTAGTCATGTATTCATCAAGTAACACACTATTTCTAAGTTACAACTTATTGAGCTAATCAAAGCTTTACCATTTTAAATTTGGGAACATGCATGCAACCCACATAATATAATGTCTATTGAAAGTGAGTTTATATATGTTGTCCATGGTTTAGATAGAGGAATGATCGCACTTAAGAATGTTAATCAATTAAAACCTGATGATTATCAAAATCATTGATTTCAAGTTCGTATATTAGACCCCTAAATTAATTTGAACTTTAAACTCAAAAAAGTTTGTAATTATATATATGTGGCGACCCGACAAGGTCCACACCAATGAACGAAACCCACACATGACATATATGGTGCTCGTACACTCACGAATCATATACTAAACAGTACTTTAAGACATGACCATTAAAATATGACACTAGCTATATATGTTATGTGTAAACAAAACAAAACCATATATCACAATAGGGATAGAAATATCTAACATATCTGATTTAGATGACACATTCCACATTTTACCAACATTTTTTCTTAAGCTAAAATGTATACTTCTTTCTTCTTCTTTTTTGTTTTAAGCTAAAATGTATATTTTGCGATGGAAAATACAAAGAGTTTTCTATAAAGTAATTTTCTGATAAATTATTTTGACGATTTAGTTTTGTCCGAATAATTTGTTTCCTACAAAATTTGGACTAATATGATAGTTAAATCTGCTATGATTTATTTGTAGAGTATATAATAAACATTTGATAACATGAGTTGTGATATATTCCATTTGGTTTAAGTAATTTTTAAAGTGGGGTGGACGTGTGGGATGGTGAGCCAGCAGGAGATTGTCACTCGTTGTCATGTAGTGAGACAAATCTCATTAAGTATCCATTTTTTAGATTAATCAAATATAATTAGGGGATGCTTAATTTTAGGGTCCTTTCCAACACTTTCTCACGACCTTATTGCCTGTTGATCTTTAATTTGATTGAATAATACACATCACTTTTGATTTACACGTGCATTAAACTGTATAAAGTTGTACTTAAGATACTAATTTAAACTTTAGTTTAACTTAAACAATGTTTGAAAAATGTACTTGTGGTAATAGTTTATTTTAAAACTGAGATGTCTTTGTTTTGATATGCTTTCTAAAAGGTAAGTACTAACAAACTTACAACTATGTCATAAAAGAAGATGGAGATATGGGCTCGTATAATACATATTATTTTCTTGCATCTAAAATCCAACTTTTCTAATTGACAATTTAAATTATATGTTGATTCTGATTTCATTTTTCGGCAAATTTTGATTACCAATAAAACAAAAAAATTTACAGTAATTATTTACTTGAAAATATATAAATTAATTTGTACAAAAATATTGAATCGCTAGGTTTTAACTCGCGGGATGATTTTATTTTTTATAAAAAAATTATATTTTAATTTAATTCATCAAAAATTTTAAATATAGACAACAAGTAAGAAAAATATAAACATATTTACGTAAACTCAAACCCGTTCAATCATATTTATGTACAATATTAATATATTTTAATTTTTTACAGTTAAAGTATTAATAGTACTTTAATTTTTTTGTAGAGTTTAAATATTCAATAAAGCTTAAATTAAATAGTATAATATTTCAAGCTTTTAAAAGTATTAACATTTTAGAGAATTTGTTAAGAATAACCTTCTCTGGATAACCCTTTAAAAAAATGAAATTCGTTGTTGTAATTATACTTGATTAATAAATGAAATTTTTTGATTCATGAATATAATCTAATATTTTTATATTTCTTTTGTATTCAATTTTCATGGTTCGCGTTTTGGTACTATGGATAACGGGTGTCTTATTTGGATTTGGGCGTTTTGGTTGGGCCGTAAGAACATGCCTTTGTGAATTTAAAAAATCGAAGCATATTATACCAAGGGATGTGTAAAAAATCGCTTACCCAGCTTTTGATTGGTTATTGGTTATTGTATGTGGAACTTTCAGATGTGTGTTTTTCATATGATTCACTACTTGAGAATGTCTTATAGGTGTATGTAAACACTTCCCCTGATATACAATTGGAAGTTTTATGGGTTAGTTGATCGTTGATTAGACTCCAGTTTGAAGTTTTTGATATAAAATGTAATTAACATAACGTCCTCGTTCCCGTTTAAACAATTTATCTTGTTACAACGCATACTCTAGCATATTATGTTTGTTCTGTCAACCAAACCAAGAAAACAAAACGCTGTAACATCCGTGTTCGGAAATGGGTGGTGTTAATCGACACCAGTACTTTTTGGGTAAGTCCGGTTCGATTTTTCAATTTTTGATCTATACACAAAATATTTTATTATGAAATAAAACAAGTTAAACGGAAAATGTTTTCCAATATCATTTCATTATTTTACATATTATACATATCTAATTAAGTTAATTAAATAATAATTATTAAAAATAAAAATAAATTGGCATACGGTATTCTGCGGGTTAAATCCTAAACTTAACAATCAAAATACAGTTTTATACAATCTTAAACATTAAACAAAACAAACAAATAAATTTAAATTTAAATATAAAAATTCTAGTCAAAGAATCGTCCCACGGTAGACCGCACGTTAAAATCTAGTTGCAATCACTTATTCGTCTCCTTCTCTTTGGGTAGGCCTGACCGAGGTTACGATTATCACTGTTACGTTTATTAACCACCTGTTATGATTATAAATTTTCTTTAACCATAACCTTAATCTTTATATATACGGTTACAACGGTTACGGTTATATACGGTTATGGTTAATTTTGGTTACGGTTAAATACGGTTACGGTTAGTTAATAATTATGATATAAATAATATTATACACAAAATTTTAAATTTTCTTACCATATCAATAATGTTTATTTACAGTATGAAATATATGTAATTATATGATTCAAATATTTATAGTATATTAGTTAAAGAAATGATTTTTGTTTAATCAAACACAAATACAAATATATAAATTAATGGTTATGAACCTACAAATATTTAATTTAATTATTTTTGATTTGATTAATAGAAATGAGTAGTTGAGTGTATTAGAGTTACTAGTTTACATATTTAATCATTTAAAATATTGTTTTAGTGAAATAATTTTTATTAAAGGTTTAACCTTACGGTTAATTATATAGTTAACCAACGGTTTTATACGATTACGGTTAAAAAAAATTTATAACCAAACTGAATTATTTTTACGGTTATTTTAACCGTTTTATAGGGTTACCGTTGAAAAAACGGTCCTTGTTAAGGTTAAAAATACGGTTAAAGTAAGAATTTGGTTGGGAAGTTATTCTCACACGCTCAATCACTTCTTCTTCAAGTAATCTCCGGAAAAGTTCACTCCCGAGTCTTCACTTCATCCTCTCTGTTACCCTAATTGACAGAATCAGAAACGTCAAAAGCAAAGTTTCGACTCTACGAAGTAATCATCAATACGTATGTTCATTCTCAATCCCTAGACTCATCGATCTCTTAACTTTCGTTGTTGGGTCGTCGTCGTCGTCTTCTTTCAATCAATGGTGGTGTTTCTTCAACGAGAGCAAAAGAAAAGTTGATTTGGATGTGTACAGTTTTGAGATTGTGATCAAAAGGTTGTTGTTAAGCAGGTGAGATTGAGAAAAGCTTTGATCAAAAAAAAAAAAAAAAAAACTTATTAGTCAACTATCGAGCCAGCTTCCAGGGCGTTTGATGGTTTTGTGGTTTGTGAGCTCTGAGTTTGACCGACGATTCTAAAATATCCTGAGTGCACATTCAAGATTCTTCTGACCATAGCAACGCGATGAACATCCTTACCAACTCGAGCCTTGCAAATGTCCTTGTATCTAATGTAGAAAATTGCATCATAGGCATCAAGTCCCATATTATAGGGCTCCAGGTTTCGTGTAATCTCCATAGCCACTTTCAGAATCGTCAAATCGGTCATACCATGTGTGATATCGTTCCTGAAAGATGTGGCAACTGCAAGTTCCAAATACAGACGAATCCAGTCATTCTCTTGAACCTCTGATTCCTTCAGCTGCCAACAAATAAAAAACATTGTTGATCATAAGAAGCAAAAAAGATCTAAAAAAACAGACTGGATTTTAAAAATCAAGATTACCACGTAAAATCGGCCTGTGTCGTCGTTGAAAGGATCCTCTGACGGTAACTCAGGCATGAATTGTCTGAGAACCTTGTTATTCAACACGTTTGTTGTTTTGTATCCACCATCGTTAACTCTGGTTTCCCCTACACAAAATATTAGTTATAAATTCGGCAAATTTAAAGAGAGACAGTGATGATGACATATATATTACCAAAACCAATAATTTATTTTTACCTAGAGGCATAGCAACACTGCATAACAAAATGAATTGGCCATAATCCAATTCACAAACTCGAGCCCGAAAAGTTATAAATTGAAGCAAACCAGAACTGGAACTGGCCTTTAGGTCCAAGGCCTGAAAGGTTATGCAGTAAGTGGAAGCAGCAGAACCAGTGGACTTGGTGTATTTCTCTACGCTACTGATCTTCAAGTCTTTGCCTTTGAGTAAATTGTAACGATGAAGTCCCAACTTAGCATAAAGGGGAACTAAGGCAAGACGAGGAGCGTACGTATCAGTGGACATCGAATAATTCAAACCACGGTGGACTTTGAAGAGATCCTTAAGACATGCACGTTTGTAAATTTGTTATTAGCAAAAAAGATGAGTATAGTCAAAACTAAGAAACTGCGATACAGAATCAAATTAAACAAACAACAAAGTTATATCAAACAAGTATCATTATTACATCGTCTATCGTTTGCTTCACGACCTTGGCACTGTCACGCTCATCCTTCTCACGATCCTCTTCTGATCTCGACAACGGCGGCGTTTTCATCTGACTTTCCTCTTCTGATCTCGATAACGACGGCAACTTCATACCAATTTCGCCTACTGAGCTCGATAACGACGGCGCCTCCATCTTCTCTTCGGCGGCTGATGGATGTGTGGATGCTTTTTTGTTTTTTTTTTCTTTCTTGGTCGATTTAGGTTTTCTTCACTCCGCGACATTTAGGCATGTCAATTAGGGCTAAAGCCCGCGGGCTAGTTTGGCCCGGCCCTGAAAAACATCGGGGTCGGGCTTAAATATATATATCCAGAAAAAACCGGGCCTTTTGGGCTAATGCCATTCGGGCTAAAGGGTTTTTTGGGCTTAGCCCGGTCGGGCTCGGGCCGGCCCGAAAAGCCATTATACAAATATATTTTGAATTTTTTGAATATTTTAGTTTGATTAAAAGATTTGATTAATGTTATAGTTTTCATATTTACTTACTAGTCTTACTTATTACTTTTAAAATCTTTATACAAAGCTAAAACTAAATATATATAAGTATCATGATTTTGAAATCATCAAAATATCTATTAAATTTTGACTCTATCTTATACTTTAAAGTATTTTAGTTCTATGTTTTATTGGGTTAAAGTGTAAATAATTTATTTGGCTTTTATTTTTTTCTCATAAATTAAGTTAGTTTTATTGAATATTGATAAGTTATTTAAAATTTGATGCATTATTTTTATAGTAGACCTTTAAATATAGTTTTTAAAGAACTATTATGAACTTAGAAATTGATTTTTTTATCGGTAAATAAAGCCCAAAAAAGCCCGAAAAGCCCTGTAGCCCTGTTAGGGCCGGGGCGGGCTTTGAAATATAGGCTCGGAAACTTTTCGGGCCGGGCCGGGCCGGGCTCACATATATGAGGGTTTTACGGGTTTTGTGCCGGGCCGGGCCGGGCTAGCCCGATTGACATGCATAGCGACATTTATTTACCTCACTTCTGGGCCTTAATTGGGCTTCCCCAACACATTTAATATCAACTCTTCCCAGCCTGTCAGCTTTTGGGAAGATTCTAACCTCTATCTGTATGGATTCATTTATTTTATTTTATTTTTCTGTCGTCAACTTTTCATTAAGTCTGAATAAGAAGATTACATAAGGAAACAGAAAACACAGTAGGTCTAGAGGGGAGTACGTGTAAGAACACGTGTATGCATGATGGAAGTGGAAAGGCACAATCATCGAACATGGCATCTCCACCGAACTAACCACCGATCATTTTTCCGATCACCACGGATGAAATTTCGTTTTCCACCCCGAACAAACACTTTTTCTGCTCAAGGATTTTACGGGGTTTTCAGCAACAAACTCCAATCACCTTAAAAAACTACCTTTTGCTAAATATTTTCGAGCAAAGAAACAGAGATTCGTAAGTCATCAGATTCATAAAGTACAAAAGACGTGATAAGTGAGAGGGCAGATCAGTCGCAAAACACGCTCTTCTAAACTGTTCTACACTAGTCAAAGAGATCCACTCAACACGATTTGCAGTCTTAAGGTGATACCTTCATCCAACGCCGATTTATGGCTCTAGTTGGGTATGAAGGATTTATTCTTCTTGCGAATGAAATCGAGCAGCCAATGATCCTCGAAACTCTGAAATAGTTAGCCGGCTTTTAAATCTTCTATGTAAGAAGATATTTAGACCTCTGCAAAAGGAAGCAAAACAAAAAAAAAAACTAAAACTAAAACTAAAACTAAAAGAAGATAGCCACAATGGCTAAGATAAAACTCGCACTTAGACGAGAGGATATACAAATCCAGCCATAGCTGGAACAAAAAAAAACTGACGTCGTCGATAAAACAACTACGATGAGCTTTTCTCTCTAAAAGATGTATGGATTCATTGTATACGTCAAATTTCAACCTGAATAATTTCAAAAGTGTATTTTCATACTTTAACTTTGTTATCGTGTGAATTTCAACCTAAACTAAATATTTTTTCGAATTAACAACATGCAAAAATCAACATTGACCAGATTATGTTGGTTAACTACGATGAGTCAGATGCCATGTAGACAGATTTTGCTGAGTCATATGTCACATGTACAAATTTTGCTTAGTCACTTGCCATGTGTCAAATAATGTGGTTTAACTAAAATCGATTAAGTGACAGTAATTAATGCCAATGACATTCTTTGTAAATACTATTGAATTCCAGAAATTATTTTAAAAACTGGTGCAAAAATGTTAATATAGGTTAATCGTCTACGTTTAATAAAATTAGTAAAACCATACTTAATTTCAATCTTGTTACAAGCCAAAGACCAATACGAACAAACCTTTTATGTGCTTCGGTGTCGCTCGCTCAGCATAAGGCAACAACGATAAGCAATCTTTCAACCCGGAAAGAGCCACCTTCAGATTGGTTTTATCTTGCACATATAAATGGTTAAGTATCTGAATAATGATAGCACCAAGTAGTAGCATTCTTGCAAGTATAAAAGGCTTTTTGTTACAACACGAAAAAAGTTGGAACTAACCTTTTGAGGATACATGGAAAATGAAGGTGGGTAGTAGTCCACAACAAGGTGTCAAAACTCCAAAGCCATCAAACGGTATTAAAATGGGTCTTAGGCCCATGAAGAGGCCCAGAAATAAACTCGTTTTTTATTATTTAGACGCCTTGTCGTTTTGTATTATCCTCTAAGAAACTGTGTCCCGTTTTTGTTTTTGTCATAGTCTAGAAACAGACAACTTCAAATTACTCATCACCACGTTGCGAACATCCGATCTACGTCCTTTCTCTCTCTCTCTCCCAATCTCTCTACGCCACAGAATCCTCGATTTTACGAAATATCTCCGATCGTTAACGGCGACCGCCAATTTTTCCGGTAAAAGATGAATGACGGAGATGTATCGAGGCAGATCCAGCAGATGGTGAGATTCATCCGCCAAGAAGCGGAGGAGAAGGCAAACGAGATCTCTGTTTCTGCTGAAGAAGTATGTGTCTTCTTCACTTGTTTCTCTTTCCAATTCTCAGATCTTCTGATTTCGAATTGTAATACTCGTTTCTCGATTTCAATCTCGGAAGTGGTTTTTTCTGATCTGGTGTGTTTGGATGATTTTTTTTTGTAGGAGTTCAACATTGAGAAACTGCAGCTAGTTGAGGCGGAGAAGAAGAAGATCAGGCAAGATTATGAGAAGAAGGAGAAGCAAGCTGACGTGCGTAAGAAGATGTGAGTTCAATTTTGGATTTATTAACCGATCGTTTTTTAGTTTTACTGATTTGATCTAAGTTGGATTCGCCTTTTGAACTGGATTACAATGTCTTTGAGGTTTAGTTTACTGATTTGATCTTAAGTTTGATTCGCCTTGTGTTCTGGATTAACAATGTCTTTGACCTTTGAACTTTAGAAATGTATGATTCATGGTTTACTACTAGGTTGAGATCTCTAATTATCTGTGAAACTGGTCTTGCTCATTACTGTGTTAGTGTGTATTACTTTGGCAGGAAATAGCTTTGTCATAGATGTTTTTGTTTTGTTTTTCAGTGATTACTCTATGCAGCTAAATGCCTCGAGGATCAAAGTTCTTCAAGCGCAGGACGATATTGTCAACGCCATGAAAGACCAAGCAGCTAAGGATCTACTCAACGTGAGTCGCGATGAGAATGCCTATAAAAAGCTTCTCAAGGATCTGATTGTTCAGGTTGGTACTTTAAAAGTGATACATTCAATTAATTTTTGGTATTGGAACTTTTATTTTGTGTATCCTTGTGGTTTATTTTAAGCATCTGATTATGTAATTGCTTTCTTTTGTTGGATGGCAATTAATTCTTTTGTGGTCTGACCTCTTCTTCTTATCTACGCTGATAACATTTTTCATTTCTTATACTTTTTGGTCTGTTAAAGATTCTCTCCTGTATTGTTGCAGTGTTTGCTTCGATTGAAAGAACCTGGTGTGTTGTTGCGTTGTCGTGAAGAGGACTTGAGTTTAGTTGAAGCTGTGCTTGATGATGCAAAGGAGGAATATGCTGGTAAAGCAAAGGTTCATGCCCCAGAGGTTGCTGTGGACACAAAAATATTCCTTCCACCTCCTCCTAAATCAAGTGACCCTCATGGTCTCCACTGGTAAAATTCATGTTTCTCATCATTACTTTATATTGCAGTCATGTAGTAATTATTTTTAGATTTGTAGAAAAAAGACATTATCGGTATTTAGATCCGGCTTTGATATGCATTTTGGAACTTGTTATAGCTCTGGAGGTGTTGTGCTAGCATCTCGTGATGGGAAAATCGTGTGCGAGAACACTCTCGATGCACGTCTGGATGTGGCATTCCGCATGAAACTCCCAGTGGTATGGAAACAAATTCTTAGATTGTTTTCTGTGATCCATCAGTAACTGTCTAGTCTGACTTTGGTTCTCTGATCTTTTTCGCAGATCCGTAAGTCGTTGTTCGGCGAAGTAACGGCCTAATGAAAGAAAGAGAGATTGAGAGAGATGATACAAACCGGTTTGTGTTTGGTTACTACCCATCTTGGGAGAGATTCCTCTTTGTTGTGATTCTTTGTATTTTACAAACTTTTTTACGTTGATGCCAAACTCATCGAACTCTTCGTTTTTTGCATTTCTTTTATTTTTCCTCATTTCTCGAGTGTGTGTTATCATGGCTATAAAGATAAATAAAATGAAAGACATTTTTTTCGTTCGTAACATGATCTTCTTCTACAACATTCCTCAAACTATGTTCAGCCTCTTAGTGAAAGTTATTCAAACAACTGAGCCAGGTGCGATTATGTCAGAACCAAAATCAACTGGAGCTGAACCAGTTTCGGTCAGCCTCGAGAACAATGTGTCCGCCAATATAGCGAGCACGAACGATTTCAAACCAGCCGCAATTGCTGGTTCTGATTTATGGGTGAACCTTATCAAAGGATCAGGCAAGCCGCTTAAGAAGTCAGGAGAGGCTTTTACGCTTGAGTCTGGAGAAGCATGTGTGCGAATTCCAAACTCTATCATTGAGAGAAACAAGAAATCTTGGGACTTCTTTGTCTTGGGTCAGTTCTATTTCGATCCCCCTGCTCAAGGAACCATTCACAACATTGTTAATGGAATTTGGAGCAAATATTATCGTGAGATTGCTGTATCAAAAATGGAAGGAAATGCTTTCCTATTTCGGATCCCCAATGCCGCTACGCGTTCTCGTGTCCTTAACCAATGTCTTTGGCAAATAGATGGAAAAACAATGTTTGTTGCAAAATGGGAGCCCGGAGTCACCCCTGCAAAACCTGAGCTCACGTCAGCTCCTATATGGCTTGAACTAAGGAACGTCCCACTCCAATTCTTTCATGAAGAAGGGCTTCAGCGTATTGCAAGTCTTGTTGGTGACCCAAAGGCCTTGCATCCCTCAACACATAATAAAACAAACTTGGAAGTGGCAAAAGTCTTCACCCTCATCGATCCTAGGAAGCCTCTTCCTGAAGCGGTAAATGTCCAATTTGACTCAGGACAAATTCAAAGGGTTCTAGTGTCCAGTCCATGGATGCCGCCGGTATGCGTTTACTGTAAAGGTATAGGCCATAGTTTGAGGCATTGCAATATTGCCCCAGTTTCTTGTGTGGCTTGCAATTCCTCCTCTCACTTACCAGAGAAGTGTCCAAAGCTTAAGCATGCGGGTCCGAAGAAGCCTAGAAGCAATCAGAAGGAAAAGGAAAGCTCTCATGGGTCTGGTTCTCAAGCAAAGAGGGATTCAGGGACGGTATGGGCAGTGAAGCCCACTACTGCTGGTCCCGCACCTCCCAAACCCAAATCTGCCCCTCTCTCATCTCTTTCCCAATCTGCTGAGCCGGTTTTGAGCGCTTCAAAGCCACAGTTGGGAGAATCCAGCAAAGCAACCCTCACAACCACTAGTACTGTCGTAGCTTGTTCGAGCAGCAATGAGGAGACTGAGAAGGAGACTGATTCAGACTCTGATGTTGATGAAGATTCCTCTGATGTTATGTCATCTTACTCGGAAGAGGAGGCTTTTACCAAGGTTTTGTCTAAGAGACAACAAAGGATTCTTCGAGGCAAGAGCCTCAAAATCAATGGTTAAGTATGTGTACAAAAAATTTTTGTTGGAACGTCCGCGGTTTTAATAATTCCAGTCACCGGCGCGGTTTTAAAAAATGGTTATCAGTAAATAAACCACTTTTTGGCGGTATTATCGAAACTCATGTGAAGCAGCCAAAGGAGTTAAAGTTCATTAGCGAACTGCTTCCTGGCTGGTCTTTTGCTGAGAATTATGCTTTTTCTGTTCTTGGGAAAATTTGGGTCGTTTGGGATTCTAGTGTGCAGGTCGTTGTTGTTTCCAAATCACTTCAAATGATCACTTGTGAGGTTCTTCTACCAGATTCTCTTGCTTGGATAGTGGTCTCTATTGTCTACGCATCAAATGAGGAAGGCCCTAGAAAAGACTTGTGGAAGGAAATTGTGGACCTTTCTCTCTCCCCTATAGTTGATGGTAAGCCTTGGATGGTCCTTGGGGACTTTAATCAGACCTTGAATCCCCATGAGCACTCTTGCAAGAAGAGCTTGAATATTGGCCGCAAAATGAGAGATTTTAGAAGTTGCCTCATGGATTCTGACTTGTTCGATTTGGTATTCAAAGGCAGTACATATACTTGGTGGAACAAATGTGATTCCAGGCCTGTGGCAAAGAAGATTGATAGAGTTTTGGTGAATGAAAAATGGACCTCTCTTTATCCCTCAGCTTATGCAAATTTTGGAGAACCAAATTTCTCTGATCATGCATCCTGTGAAGTTCTGCTGGACCCGACTGCCCAGAAAATCAAGAGACCTTTCAGGTTTTTTAATTATCTACTACAGAACTCGGATTTTATCCACTTGGTAAGAGAGCAATGGTACTCTTGCAGTTTCTCCGGCTCAGCAATGTACAGGGTCTCAAAGAAACTGAAGTACCTAAAGCATTTTATTAGAAATTTCAGCAGGGAAAACTACTCGGACTTGGAGAAAAGGGTAGCTGAAGCTCATACTCTTATGCTTCACTGTCAGAGGTCAACTTTAAGTAACCCCTCTCCCCTCAATGCTTCTCTTGAGCTTGAAGCTGTCAGAAAATGGAGTATTCTAAGTAAAGCAGAAGAGAGCTATTTTTATCAGAAGTCAAGTGTCACCTGGCTTGCAGAGGGTGATAGTAACACTGCTTATTTCCACAAGATGGCAGCCATGAGAAAATCGCTAAATTCCATTCGATTTATTTTTGATGAGCAAGGAGAAAGGATCGACTCCCATCAAGCAATAAAAGACCATTGCAGTGACTATTTTGAATCTTTATTAGGTGGTGAAACTACTGATCCGAAGCTGGAACAAGGAGACATGGATCTCCTCCTCTCCTATCGTTGCTCTCAAGAGCAGATTAGTGAGCTAGAAAGGCCTTTCTCAAATCAGGACATCCAAGAGGCTTTTTTCGCTCTCCCGAAGAACAAAGCTAGCGGGCCGGATGGTTTTTCTGCTGAATTTTTCATAGGTTCTTGGTCTGTTGTAGGTCCAGAAGTTGTTGATGCTGTGCAGGAATTTTTCAGATCAAGCCAGCTACTAAAATAATGGAATGCTACAACCTTAGTTCTCATTCCAAAAATTCCTAACGCCTCAACAATGACTGAGTTTAGGCCCATATCTTGCCTCAATACTCTCTACAAAGTGATAGCAAGGTTATTATCCTTAAGACTTCAAAAGCTCTTAACTCTGGTTATCTCTCCAGCCCAGTCTGCCTTCCTCCCTGGTAGGCTGCTTGCTGAAAATGTGCTTCTAGCTACCGAGACCGTGCATGGTTATAACCGAAGGAATATTGAACCTAGAGGAATGCTAAAAGTGGATTTGCGGAAAGCTTTTGACAGCGTCAGATGGGACTTTATCATCTCAGCCCTCAGAGCCATTTCTGTGCCTAGTAAGTTCATCAACTGGATTTATCAATGTATCTCCACCCCTTCATTCTCTGTATCTGTTAATGGATCTATTGGAGGTTTCTTCAAAAGCACAAAAGGTCTTAGACAAGGTGATCTTTTGTCCCCGTACTTATTTGTCCTGGCAATGGAGGTTTTCTCTAACCTTTTGAGATCTAGATATGAGGCTGGTTATATCCGTTATCATCCTAAAACTGCAGAACTCTCTCTATCTCACCTCATGTTTGCTGATGATGTGATGGTGTTTTTTGATGGGGGAAGCTCTTCTTTGCATGGCATTAGTGAAACTCTCGATGATTTTGCATCATGGTCTGGGCTTCATGTAAACAAAAATAAGACAAATCTCTACCTCGCTGGGACAGACCAAACTGAAGCTCTTGCCATTGCAAATTATGGTTTTCAAATTAGTGCTCTCCCTGTGCGCTACCTAGGGCTGCCCCTAATGAATAGAAAATTGAAGATCTCAGAATATGATCCTCTATTGGCAAAGCTTAGCGGCAGGTTCAGGTCGTGGGCTGTTAAAAGTCTCTCTTTTGCTGGTCGTGTTCAACTAATTGCTTCTGTAATCACAGGGACAGTTAACTTCTGGATGTCAACGTTTGTTCTCCCTCTTGGTTGTGTGAAAAAAATTGAAGCTATGTGCTCGAGATTCTTATGGTCTGGCAATATTGATGTGGCAAAAGGTGCTAAAGTTTCTTGGGCAGGAGTTTGTCTACCAAAGGATGAAGGAGGTGTTGGGCTGCGCAGATTCTCTATCTGGAACAAGACCCTTTTCCTCAGATTCATCTGGTTGTTATTTGCTGATAATGGAAGTCTTTGGGCTGATTGGCATAAGATTCATCATATCAGAAACAAGTCTTTTTGGGCAATTGAGGAGAGACCTTCCGATCAATGGACCTGGAAAATGCTTCTTCACCTAAGACCTCTAGGGGAACAGTTTATTAAGTCTCGCATTGGCAATGGTCAGCACACTTTTTTCTGGTTTGACAATTGGACGCCTCTAGGTCCTTTAATCAAACACTTAGGTCCGGAGGGGCCTCGATCTCTGCGTATCCCTGTTGATGCGAAAGTAAGTCAAGGTTGTTCTGAAACTGGATGGCTAATACCATCCCCAAGGTCCGACAAAGCATTGGAGCTGCACTACCACCTCACCACGATCTCTCTTCCATCGCCATCGCATGAGCCAGATTGCCATACATGGTCTGTTGTAGGTCGAGAATGCAATGGTTTCTCTTCCTCTCTTACTTGGGAAGCTTTGAGGCCAAGAGATAATAAGAAAGGATGGTTCAGTTCTGTTTGGTTTAAAGGTGCAGTCCCCAAACAAGCTTTTAATATGTGGGTTACATGTTTGAACAGATTACCAACTCGGCAGCGATTAGCCTCTTGGGGAGTTATTTCCTCGGCAATATGTTGTGTTTGCTCTAAAGAGATCGAGTCGAGAGACCACTTGCTCCTCTCTTGTGACTTTGCTTCTGTAATATGGTCACAAGTCCTTAGCAGGTTGTCCCCCTCTCACCGCCCTTTCTTGACCTGGAGTGAGCTCTTGTCTTGGACTAGAAGAACCTCAGTAATAGCTCCCTCGCTCCTCCGCAAGGTAGCTACGCACTCAACCATCTACAACATCTGGCGTAATCGAAACAACGTCTTGCACAACGAACAAAGGCTTCCCACTTCAGTCATCTTCAAGATCATTGATAAAGAGGTTCGCAACACCATCTACGGAAGACGACGAAGAAAGCGCTGGAGAACTCTTATGGGTCTATGGCTTAGATAAGACTTGTCCTCCTTTTTCCTAAATTATTGTAACCTTGTTTTTTATTCTTTTTTGCCAAGGTTACTTTTGTTTTCATAGGTTTTTGCTTTGCTGTGAAACCTAAACCTTCATTTTTAAATAATATTTACAAGTTTAGCAAAAAAAAATAAAAAAAAAAATAAAACCAAACTCTGAATACTCTCTCTATATACGCATACAGGAAACTACATAACACGAATAAGATTGTTTTGTTGTTGGGCTTAAAAATTCTATGGGCTTGGGTTTTAGCCCAAATACATTTTAGGTATCAAATAAAAAAAACATGGAAGTAAGAAAATGAGGTTTTTGCGCTTTTGATCTTCTTCATCCCTTCCGGTGTAGAAGTCTTTTTTTTTTCTTTCTTCAGACTAATCTCCCACGATTGTCTGAAGAAGACAAGACAAGAATTCATAAGACCGGAGATTTACCGTTCGGTAATACTTCTCATACCATTTCAAGGTTAGATGTACTTGCGGTTAATCTGATTTGTGTTCTGTTCTGAATTTTGTTTGTGCGCACAAGGTGTTTGTTCATTTGCCTAGACCAAGTTGCTGCATAATTTCGTAAATTTGATTTGGTTATGCTTCTCATTCGTCTACTCTAGCTTTTTTACTTCATCCATCTCTGGTGCAATCCGACTCGGACCTATGGGATCTGTTTTATTTCGTTTTTTCAAAGATTGTGTGAATGTGTGGAGAAGTCGCAGAATCCAATGTGCAGTGACTAGAAGCTTCTCTTTAGGGTTTTGGGTTGATAAGAATCATTTAGGACATGCGTTTGATTCTCTCAAGTTTTGAATTTGTTATTTGTTTCTTAATGAACTCAACGGTAGTTTGATTTGATGCTTATCAAATTGAGGGTTTTTGGATTTTATGCAGAGACTGACTTGACATATGAATGGCGTCGAGGCACTTAGGCAAGAAGGTACTTTTTCGTACTCCTTACATTCATTTTTAGTGAATTTCATTGAAGTTTCGTATTGTTCCTTAGGAATTCGAGTTAAAGCTTTTAGCTTTAGCTTCTGTTTCATACTATTTCATAGTATTTTCCTAATATTTGCATACCTATAGTGAAAGCTCTTGTTTTATCCTTGTTGAGTAGTTACACAATGTTTGAATTGCTTTGCGTAAATATCAGCATTTCGGCCCTCTTTCGAATTCTTGATTGAAAATGTCGTGAATTACTATGAATTGTTTGTTTTATATAGCATAATTAAGTCTTCATCTTTGTTGAGTTTGTTTGGTTTGGTGAAAAGGTACGCAATGTTCAAATTGGTTTGCGTATATATCAGCATTTCAGTCTCATTTTTATTAGCATTTGACATATGTTTATGGATGTCTCATATCTGAAGTAACTTTACATATGTTCAGGGCATTCAAGCCTCTTTTAGAGTAGGTTTGGTTCTTCCACGAGTAGTAGCATCTACAGAGAGGCAGATTTCCTCGACGATTTTTAAAAGAGCTTCTGAAAGTGTCTGTTTTTCATTCGCTCGGTATGTAAATGGTAAGTATTAAAAGAGTGTTCACTCACAGGCGATTACAGTTTTTCTTCTACGTTGTTAGAAAGTGAATTTGAATAACGAGTATCTCACTCTTTTATTCATGTTTAGGGTTTGGTTTTAGTTCGCTATCAAATTGGTCTCGTAGTCATGAATCTTTCCCTACAGATACATCCATAAGGTAAACCATTTCACCTGGATTTTTTTTTTTGTCAAATCTCTCTAAAAGATTCTTCTCAAAGTAGATAATCTATCTGAAATTCTGAATGTTCGCTGGCTTGGATTGGGTTGTTTTTCGAACAGGTATTTTCATGCAAGCCGAGAAACATTGGCAAGAAGAAAAGAGGATGCTGATCGCCTGGTGAGTCATCGTGAACGCAAGAAACAGACTGTGAAAACAAAAGGAAAATTTTCAAAACGGGAGAAAAAGCCGGATATGCCACCTGTTGAAGCTCCTTATGTGCCTCCTAGGCTGAAAAGATTGGCAAAGGGATTACCTGAGAAGACTGTCGATATATTTGAAGGGATGACACTACTTGAGCTCTCAAGGCGTACTGGTGAGTCAGTGGCGGTTTTGCAGAGCATTCTTATCAATGTTGGGGAAACTGTTAGTTCAGAATTCGACACAATCAGTGTTGATGTCGCCGAGCTTCTTGCTATGGTAAGGTGATTTTACTTCTTGTTCCAGGATAATGGATTTCACTGGTCAATCAACTTGGTTTTTAATTGAATATATCTTTAATTTCACATGTGTTTAAGGTTTCGTTCAGTTTATCATCTAACGATATTGAAAGAACATAACCATTTTAACTAAATTGAGATTTGTTGGTTTCTTTTAGTTCAAGATCAGTTTATCCGGATCGAATACCCAGAAAAGTTTTCATTAGTTTTAACCATAGTAGGATTTTGTTTCGCATTAAAATTTGTTATCCCGGTTTTGAGTCGCATCATATTGGTCCTCCGAATATTAGTATAATTCTGTTTGTGTTTTCTCATTTCTCGCAGGAAATCGGGATCAACGTAAGGAGGCAACATTCAACAGAAGGATCTGAAATTCTTCCACGCCCTCCAGTTGTAACCGTAATGGGCCATGTCGATCATGGAAAAACCTCGTTGTTAGATGCTTTAAGAAACACCTCTGTTGCGGCTAGAGAAGCTGGTGGGATCACTCAGCACGTGGGTGCTTTTGTGGTGGGCATGCCGGATTCTGGCACTTCAATCACATTCCTCGACACACCTGGCCATGCCGCTTTTAGCGAGATGCGAGCTCGGGGCGCCGCTGTGACTGATATAGTCGTCTTGGTGGTTGCTGCTGATGATGGGGTAATGCCGCAGACACTTGAGGCCATTAAGCACGCTAGATCAGCAAATGTTCCGATTGTGGTTGCAATCAATAAATGCGATAAACCGGGAGCTGATCCGGAAAAAGTTAAGTACCAGCTCACGTCTGAGGGGATAGAGCTTGAGGATATTGGAGGAAATGTTCAGGTGAGACTTGAGCGAGAGTTTTACTCTGGAATTTGTAATCTCTGAGCCTTTTAACTTTATCGCCATTCTTCAGAAATTGATATGGCTGGGTTTAATGTTTAGTATGGTTTTTGATTCAGTTTGGACTTGGTTTGTTAAATTTCTTTTCATTGGTTTGGTATTTTAGACAGGGACGCAACCTGGTTTCAACTTTTTTTTGTTTTGGTTTGAGTTTTGACTTTTATCCACTATGGTTAGTTTAACCATGGCGATTTGACTTGTTGTTTCAGGCTGTTGAGGTATCTGCAATGAAGAGTACAGGGCTAGATAAATTAGAAGAAGCTCTGCTTCTCCAAGCCGTGGATATGGACCTTAAAGCACGTGTGGATGGACCAGCTCAAGCATATGTGGTGGAAGCTCGGCTCGACAAAGGCCGTGGACCATTAGCCACCATTATTGTAAAAGCCGGAACCTTGGTGAGAGGTCAGCACGTAGTCATTGGGTCTCAGTGGGGAAGACTCAGGGCTATTCGGGACATGATTGGTAAGACAACGGACCGAGCAACACCAGCGATGCCCGTTGAGATTGAAGGGCTTAAAGGTCTTCCAATGGCTGGAGACGATGTCATTGTGGTGGAATCAGAGGAACGCGCAAGGATGTTGAGCGAAGGGAGAAAAAGGAAATATGAAAAAGATCGGTTGTTGAAAGCAGAGGAAGCGAGAACAGAGGAAGCAGCTAGAACAGAAACAGAGTCTGAGGAAGGGTTTGTTCGGGTTGAGTTACCGATAGTAGTGAAATCAGATGTGCAAGGAACCGCACAGGCTGTTGCTGATGCGTTAAAAACATTAAATAGCCCACAGGTGCGTAAAACCGAAATGTTGATGTAAGGTGGTTGTGCCTTATTGGCTTTCTTCTTTGTTAATGTGCCTATTGTTTATATTGGCTAGGTATTTGTGAACATTGTTCATAGTGGAGTGGGAGCAATTTCTCACTCTGATTTGGACTTGGCACAAGCTTGCGGTGCGTGTATCGTTGGGTTCAACGTTAAGGGTGGAAGTTGTGCTAATCTTTCTGCAGCTCAAGCCAGCGTCAAGGTACCCTGCTCTGTTCCAAAAGTCGTTTCAATAATTCCCAACTTCTATTATTGCTTTCACATTCATATCTTGGAGGTAGCTTTTAGCATTGTAACCAATGGTAATCTCTTAGGTATTCCATCACCGTGTGATATACCATTTGCTGGAGGACATCGGGAACTTGATCGTAGAAAAAGCCCCAGGAGTATCAGAGATGGAGGTGGCTGGTGAAGCCGAGGTACTCAGCATTTTCAAGATCTTAGGAAAGAGGAGAACCGAAGATGATGGAGTGAGCATCGCGGGTTGCAAAGTGATGGACGGTCGGGTATGTAGAAGCGGACTGATGAGGCTGTTGCGGAGCGGAGAAGTAGTGTTTGAAGGCCCGTGCGCATCGCTGAAACGGGAGAAACAAGACGTGGACCAGGTCGGGAAAGGGAACGAGTGTGGGCTAGTGATGGGAGAATGGAATGATTTTAGAGTCGGAGATGTGATTCAGTGCATGGAGCCAGTCATTAGGAAACCAAAATTCATTTCCTCTGAGAGTGGAGCTGTGAGAATTGAATGCTGAGAGATCTCTATCTACTAAAAACCCAAAACTCCTAAAATCAATTAAATCTGATTGTGTAGGATATTGATTTTTGGTATTTACCCTGATGATTATTTTATTGTCACAGAAAGGTTCTTACTTTAAACAAAACATAAAAATGTCATGAACAATAAAGTTTTGTATAACATTGTTTACACATTTAAATAACATCAGGGACACTTAAATACATATATTTGTCAAAATGTACGACAATTCTTTTATAGTAATTTTCTTACTAGATCAAAAGAATTTTTGATAGAGAATTAAAGCTTTAAGATAATGTATTCATTTCTGATTTTTTTTTTTGAAAGTCTACAAAGACTTTAGAAGTCTATGAAACTTTTGAACTTAAAAATGTTAGGTTTGAATTTGTGTTATCAACTTGATATATAAAATTTGTATGTTGACCTGTTACAAAGGTCCAGTTGCAATATAATAAATACAAAAGAAATTACTAAGTAAATTCATAGAAAAACACTTATTTATAAATTGCTCTTCTAGCTAAAGAAAACTACAAACAAAGGGAAGATACCAAATTTTGTTTATCTTCGATCCTCTCTCTCTATCTCTATCCTCATGGCATCTTCTTCTACAAACTCTTGGAGATACGACGTCTTCCCTAGTTTCAGAGGAGAAGACATCCGTAATCACTTTCTCAGCCACTTGCTTAAAGAGTTTGAAAGCAAAGGGATAGTGACATTCAGAGACGACCATATCGAAAGAAGCAACACGATCGGTCCAGAGCTGAGAGAAGCCATTAGAGAATCTAAGATCTCTGTAGTCTTGTTCTCGGAGAACTATGCTTCTTCAAGCTGGTGTTTGGACGAGCTTGTTGAGATCTTGAAATGTAAAGAAGAACTAGGACAGAAAGTGATGCCTGTTTTCTATAAAGTGGATCCATCTGATGTAAGAAAACAGACAGGGAAGTTCGGAATGAGTTTCTTGGAAACTTGTCGTGGTAAGACGGAGGAGCAACAACTTAATTGGAGGCAGGCGTTGACTCATGCTGCTAATATTGTTGGAGATCATCGTCAAGATTGGTGAGTTTTTTTATATATTTTTTACTTTTCGTTTGATTAATTTCTTTGTGATTAACTAGTGAATTAAAGCTGATCTTTAATGTGGTCGTTTGAAATGTTTTGTGTTAAAATTGTCTCGCGATGGACATTATACTAAGATAGAAATTAAAAGTAGTCTATAAGGTTCATAGGTCAATTAACTTAGAGAAATTGTATCTCATAAACCCAGTTGACCATTTAATTAGAAATCTAACATCCATAAATCATTATTTTGCTCTCTTTTTATTTAGACAATTTTAACACTATCTTCCTCCTAAAAATCTGAACCAAATTTAAATACTATGTTTGGTTTATCCAGGACATGCAATCTTGCCACCATAACGTCCACGTTATCCGATAACATTCACATACGAGACTTTACGAATTTAACTACGATAGGGTTACCGGCGTAACATAGGACTTATCGCTTTATATATTGTTAATGACCATATATATATTTGATAACAACCTAGTTATCCGATAACAATTTATATATGCAATCTATCTAACCATCTATATTTGATAACATTCTAGTTATCCGATAACAATCTATATGTGTAACTTAGTTATCCGATAACAATCTATATATCATCATCATTTTGTTGATATTAATCAACTCTTCCCCAAATTGGCGTCTCTTGTCAGAGATTTGCCCAAAGAATAAGATGCTCTCATAGCCTGAATTTACAAAAAGTTAATTTTTTTTGTTTTTGTTAAATTGGTATAGGGACAGTCAAGTAATTTTTCCTTACTCTCATTGAAAAAACTAATTTTTAACTTATCAACACCTTATTTTTTGTTTTTGGTTTATTTGTGTATATACTTTTAACTAACCCATTAACTTATTGCCAATTTGTTTTTAATTAAGTATTCGAGTCCAACGTTAAATGATAAATGGTTTTCCATGTGTGATAAGTGGTCTATTAGATTGTAGTAGAATTTTGGAGACAATGGGTTAGCTCCAAGCCTCTAATCTATTAGAAATAGTTCACATTGAACATGTTTTGATATAAAATGACATAGAACATTTATAGATCTTTCGAGTTATAAATGTTTTTGGAGCATTACAGTCTTAGGCCATATGAATGTTTCAAATATTTTGAGTGATTTTTGGATTATAGTTTTTGGTTTTTGGATCTTAGATTTTGGTTTATGATTTACAGATTTTGTATTTAAAAAAAATGAAAAATGGAAAAAATGTCAATTCACGTTTAAAAAAATAAAAAAATTTGGATTTTAAGAAGAAATTAGCAAAATCTTATAAAATCTGGATTTCCTAATTTTCAGAAAATCTATATTTATAAGAATCATGAATGGCTAATAAAATGGATTTTTGCATAATCAAGAGCCAAAAACTGATTTAAAATCATATGTCATTCAAGGCCTTAATTAGACTAAGGAAATATGTTTATACTAATTGCTAAAGACATTGAATGATATTGTTTTTAATCATCAGGGACAATGAAGCATATATGATCACAACAATTTCCAAGGATGTATTAAACAAATTATTAAGTGCAACGCCATCAACATATTACAATGACTTGGTTGGAATTGAAGCTCACATTGCAAAGATGGACTCTTTGTTATGCCTTGAGTCTCAAGAAGTGAGGATAGTAGGGATATGGGGTCCTGCGGGCGTTGGTAAGACTACTATAGCTAGAGCTTTATATCACGAGATTCATGAAAACTTCAAATTTTCTATATTTATGGAGAATGTTAGAGAAAGTTATAATGGTGAAGCTGACCTTGATGACTATGGTTTGAAGCTGCGTTTACAACAAAGATTTTTGTCCAAACTTCTTGATCAAAAGGATTTGAGGATACGCCATTTAGGCGCCATCGAAGAAAGGCTAAAGAACCATAAAGTTCTGATTATTCTTGATGATGTGGACAACATTGAGCAACTCAAAGCCTTGGCTAAGGAAACTCGATGGTTTGGTAACAAGAGCAGAATCATTGTGACAACCCAAAACAAACAAGTTTTGGTTTCACACAATATAACCCACATGTACAAGGTGGCTTATCCTTCAAAACAAGAAGCTCTTACTATATTTTGTCAGCATGCTTTTAATCAAAGCTCCCCATCAGATGATTTCAAGGCTCTTGCAACTGAATTTTCAGCTCTTGCTGGTCATCTTCCACTTGGTCTACGAGTTCTTGGTTCTTTTATGCGTGGAAAGAGCAAAGAGGAGTGGGAATTTTCCTTGCCTACGCTAAAACATCGACTTGATGGAGAGATAGAGAAAGTACTAAAAGTCGGGTATAATGGCTTACATAAGGATGACAAAGCTTTATTTCTTCATATTGCATGTCTTTTTAGCGGTCATCACGAAAACTATGTGAAAGAGATGGTCATACCACCTAACAATGACTCGGATGTTGGTTTTGGACTTGAAGTCTTGGCTAATAAGTCTCTCATACAAAAATACGAGAATGGTATAGTCGAGATGCACTCCTTACTTCGACAATTGGGGAGAGAAGTTGTTCGAGAGCAATCTATTTACGAGCCAGGAAAACGTCAGTTCTTGATGAATACTAGAGAGACTTGTGGTGTCCTTTTCTTTTTTTTTCACATAAGTATGAAAAAATTGCTTTCTTAGGGAACCAAAGCAATAATTAAAGCAATTTTTGTTTTGTAGGGTACGGGAACTGTATTAGGTATATCATTAGATATGAGTGAGATCAAAGAGGAGTTATATATAAGTGAGAAAACTTTTGAAGAGATGCGGAACCTATTGTATCTAAAATTCTATATGAGTAGTCATGTAGATGATGAAATGAAGCTCAAGTTGCTTTTACCAGAAGAAGGGCTAAGCTATCTACCTCAGTTGAGGTTATTACAGTGGGACGCGTATCCTCTCGAGTTTTTGCCTTCTCACTTTCGACCCGAATGTCTTGTCGAACTCAACATGTCGAATAGCAAGCTTAAAAAGCTATGGAGTGGAGTTCAGGTTAGATATAATGTTTGCCATTTTTTTTATTTTCTTCTAAGTTCAAAAAATATTTTATAACGAAGGTTTCTGATTCATATCAAGTTGCAATGAGTAGAGTGGTCTATCTTTAATCCCATCTCAGTTTAATGTAGAATTATGATATTGTATAGTTTTGTATAGAGATGATATAATAGGTTTTTTTATGTTTTTTGTGGTTGTTTTGTATGCATAGTTTGAGCTTTTTGTGAGTTTTGTGTTCTGTCTTGATGTCTTTTTTGCAGCCACTTAGAAATCTCAGGACAATGAATCTGTATAACTCAAGGAATCTAGAAGTCCTTCCAAATCTTTTGGAAGCAACAAAGCTGAACACATTGAATTTGGGTTGGTGTGAGTCTTTGGTGGAGCTTCCTTCATCTATAAAGAACCTTCAAAATCTGTTTTTGTTAGAGATGTCTTGTTGCGGAAAACTAGAGATCATCCCAACCAACATCAACTTAGCATCTCTAGAGTTCCTCCACCTAAGATATTGCACTCGTTTGAAGACCTTCCCCGAGATTTCGACGAATATTCGTCTTCTCAAAATAAAAGGCACTTCCATCACTGAGGTGCCTCCATCAGTCCAATATTGGCGAAAAATCGAAGAAATTTGCATGGAGAGGACTAAGGTAAAAAGATTGGTACATGTTCCTTATGCTTTAGAAAGACTATGTTTGAGGGGTAATAGAGAATTGGAGACTCTTCCAAGATACCTCAAATATCTCCCTCGGCTGCACATGATTGACATCTCCTATTGCATCAATATTATATCGCTACCAGAGCTTCCAGGATCAGTATCCGCCTTAACAGCTGTAAACTGCGAGTCACTTCAGCGTCTACACAGCCACTTTCGAAACAGAAGCATTACCTTGAATTTCACTAACTGTTTAAAGCTAGATCAGAGAGCTCAAGAAAAGATCCACGAGTCAGTTTACATCAACCAGTCTGCATACCAAGTTGCTCTCTTACCTGGTGCACAAGTACCTACATACTTCACATACCGAAGTACGGGAAACGCGATAATGATCCATTGGGATAAGTTAGATCTTTCAAAGTACAACAGATTCAAAGTATGCCTCGTTCTTGGAGCGGGAAAACGTTTTCAAGGTTGTGATATAAAATTTTACAAACAAATGTTGTGTAAACCGAGGGAGTATCACGTGGCCAAGCGTCTTGATACACCAATTCTTGTAAGTGATCATCTTTGCATGTGCGAGTTTGGATTATTGCCACCACATCCTCCAACGCAAAGGGAGCTTCTACGGCCAATCAAAATGATGATGGTGTCCTTTGAGAGTCGGGGATTTGATAAGTGCCAAGTTAAAGAATGCGGTTTACAGTTCTTGGAGCCTCATGAGACATCCCAGTTCCGGTCTCTATCGCTTCATCAGTACTTTGGTAGTAGTAGTAGTAGTGGTAATGAAGACCATGAGGAAACCAGTAGTGATATTGAAGAAATTATCCATGGAGATAAAGAAGGAAGTAGCAGGAACAAATCTGTTAGGAGTTGGATTAAGGTTGGAGCAAAAAAATTGAGACTTAGTTTGGATTGTCTAAAGCATTAATATTATTTTTATATATTTTGGTCTAATATATATATATATACTAGCAGTTGACCCGCGCTCCGCGCGGGAGGTTTATAATTTTGTTTCGTTGATTTTTTATTCATATTGTGATATTTTATTATTATTTTTAATTGATTTTCAAAAATATTATAATTATTTTCTCTTTAATTATTATCTTTCAATACTCAAATTTTGATTAAAAGCATTTGATTCAATTTATGAAATATCATTTTTTTTCTTTTTGATCATGTTATAAACTAATATTTCACTTTCATTTTATTTTTCCTCTTTATAATTTTATATATACAATTACATAAATGTTGTTTTAGTCTACCATAAATTTAAATTTTACTTCCATTCTAAAACTCAGTACATATTTAAAATATTAAATTATGATCAATTTAAAATGAAAGTTGAATTATATTATTACCACTAATAAAAAATTAAAGTATTGTTTTTCTTATTTTAACATTTTATTTTTTTTACATAATTTATTTTTATTTATATAAACTTTCTATTAATTAAATAAGTAACATAAATATGCACTAAATGAATGTTTTAAATTTATTTTAATGTTTAAACAAAAATGTGGCTTAGGTGGATGCTTAGGTGGCATCATGAGAAGAGAGAAAAAGCTAATTTTATATATATACTAGTCGGTTGCCCGCGCGTAGCGCGGGAGTTTATTATGTTGTTTATGAGAAATTGGTTTGTATTTTATTTTCTACTTATTTTTTTCACTATACTATACTTTACTTTTTTAAAACTTAGATTGTTGTTTAGATTTTGTATAGAAAAACTATTGAGTTTTAACTTCATTAGTTGTTGAGAAATTAAGTATGTATAGTATAAGTCGAAATGTGGGCGTAAACGGAAGTGCGGTGAAGAATCATTGAGAAACGTGTGTTATTAGGATTTTTACCAAATATAGATATAGATATTAATATTTTGAGCCCTTTTATATGTTGGCATGAAATTTGAACATAATTTGTGGGTTTCGGGCGGATTGTTGTATTTTTAATTGTTTACATTATCTCATTATATATTGTCATATTTTTTTATTTTTTTTACGTTTTTCTTTTTTGGATTTGTCGTAATTTATATCTCGTAATGATCATTTTTATACTATTATATATTTGTTTCTGATTTTATGTTTTATATATATATTTTTGTTTTTCATATGGAACAATTTTCAAATTTAACATATTAGTAAGATTTACTTTATATTTTTAGTTTATTTCATTTAATAATATTTTTTATTTTAATTTACAATTTTTATGAAATATAGTTAACTTTTTATTTTGTTTATTAGTTTAACATATGTGTTCTATTGGAAAAAATTAGTTAAATTCATATTGGAAACCTTTAAAGAAATATTATTTTTATTTTTACGTTTTTATACGTTTTTACAAAATGAGAATTCATGTTTCGGTCCGACGTATCTCATTTATGTTAGAAAATTTTGTGAGACATAAATTAGATAGATTTATATTCTCAAAATTTCTTACTTTCTTTTCTACTCCCGTTAATCCCATTATATTTAGGTTTACATTGTGTAAATATAATCATATATATATATTTTAAATATTCACTACAAACTATAATCTATTATTTATATATTTGTTTGTATAATCGATAATTAGTAAGTTTTCTTAACTTTTAAACAAATCATCTTTTTTAGTTTTATAATGTATAATATAAAATAGACCTTTCATATTCTTTTTTGAAAAAATTATTTATATAGGTTTAAATCTTAAAATTAAATGATAAAATGGTATAATTAATTTTAAAAATTAAATAATAAAATGAAGTGGATGATGATGTGGCTTAAAGAGAAGAGAGAAAAAGCTAACTTTATATATATAGATATATATTCCTTTAGGTATAAATAGAGCATTATTTTTATTTTTCCATGATATAACTCAAATCAATTCGATTATTTTGTTTTTTTGTTATAATTGATTTATTAAATTATATACTAATGGTCATAAACTAAAAACTTTTAAAATTAATCAAATTGATTTGAGTTATACCATGGAAAAATGAAAAATCACAAAAACTAGATGACATTCCCTGTCTCAACCAAACGCAGCGTATCATATCCCAGTAGTAACGCCAATTTTGGACCAAAGGCTTTATTCAACAAAGCTTGTGGTCGTTTTAAAAAGAGAGGATAGATAAAATTAAAAAAGTAAAGCTTTTAGGGATTTGAAGGAAGATAAGAAGCGAATACACACACAATGCTTCAACTCTGCTCCACGTTTCGTCCTCAACTTCTTCTTCCTCCTCGTCAATTCCGATTCACTGATGGGGTTTTGATTCGGTAGCTTCTCTTTTTTCACGATTCTTCCCATTTCATTACCTTTATCCGAAAACTTCATCTTTTCGAATTGGTTTTGTGATGAACACAACTGTTTGTTTGTTTATACGATACGAGGTTAGGTCCTTTAGTTACTTTTGTGCTTTAGGTTTCAAAACCCCCACCAAAAGTGTTTTGCTGGTTTGGGTTATATATAAAAATCGATTCTTTTGGTTCTTTTGATTCGTTTGATGAATAAAAATCGATTCTTTTGGTTCTTTTGATACGTTTGATGAATAAAAATCGATTCTTTTGGTTGGGTTGATGGATAAAAATCGATTCTTTTGGTTCTTTTGGTTTGTTTGATGAATAAAAATCGATTCTTTTGATTGGTTTGATGGATAAAAATCGATTCTTTTGGTTGGTTTGATGGATAATCTTTTGATTGGTTTGATGATTGCTTAGGATCTTTATGTCTAGATATCAGAGCTAACTGTGTTGTTTGAACTTTTGTTTTTGTAACAGCCAAATAAACTTTGGTGGAAGCAACTCAGTGAGTATCAGACCAGTGATACGTTGTCAGAGAGCTAGTGGAGGGAGAGGTGGAGCTAATAGAAGCAAACCTGCAAAGCCGCCTGTTAAAGAAGGGAGCAACAAAACAGTCATCGAAGGTTTAGTAACTGAATCACTACCTAATGGTATGTTTCGAGTGGATTTGGAGAATGGGGATAACATTCTTGGTTATATCTGTGGTAAGATTAGGAAGAACTTCATTCGGATACTCCCGGGGGATAAAGTGAAAGTCGAAATGAGTGTTTATGATTCAACTAAAGGTCGTATCATTTTCAGAATGAGTAGTAGGGACTAAGTTAAAAGAAACCACTCTTGTAAGTGTGTTTGTCTGTGATCCTGTTAATTCTTTTTTTATAAGTTTAGGCAAGTTTGATGGGAAAGAATCGTGTAATCGTACAGGTTTCTACATCGTAATTCAGGTTTTTTGCCGCGTTATGTTCCTCGTTCTCCTATATATTTTCATAAAGCTTGAACATCTTCTTGATCTGTCTGTCTAAATGGGACTACTATGCAACTGTGATTAGTTCTTTACTTGGTGTTATGTTGTTTCCGTAACTATAGAAGCCATTGTAAAAGCCATTTTGCGAACAACCTGTATGTAAGAAAAGCTTGTATTGGGTTTAAAGTTTTGAATGTTAGTTTGATATTTTTGAAAGGTTTAGATGACTATTGCGTGATTAGTAGTCTTTGTTGGTTTTTCTTGTTCACAAATTGTGATTAATTTTCATAAACCGTTTAAATTAACTTTAAGTTATATCTATTAACAAACCGACCTTAGCTCAGTTGGTAGAGCGGAAGACTGTAGTAGTTGCTGTAATCTTTAGGTCGCTGGTTCGATTCCGGCAGGTCGGATTGTTTTAAAATTTTTGTTTTTCTTTTTCTTTTGGGCTTCACACTTTCAGACTTCAGTTGTAATTTGTCACTAATTGGGCCAAAATATAAGAATTTACGATACAATCCTTTAAAGTATACACACAAGTTCAAAATTTGTCCTTCTATAATTCTGATTTTATAACATTTTGAGATCAGTCCAAAATTTTTTAACAGACACATTTCTCTTAAAACGCCATCATCAAACATTAGCTGCACCAAAATCGACAGTAGTCCTTTCTAGACAATATTACAACACTATGTAAAATGATATATAAAAGTTTTCATTATATTCTCTTATTGAGTACCTTGAAAAGATATGTTATAGCAAGAAGAAAATGTGTATGCATGCTTAAGATTTTTAAAATAGACCATATAATCAGAAAACACCATAAAAATTTATATGATTTAGCTTTGATGCTTGCCTTGTAGAATTGGGTTTTGAGTTTGATTGGTTCTCCTAAAAATGTAACGTTTACGGGAAGTTGCAGTTGTTAGCGTTTAAGACTAATCAAACAAGTAACATTTAGTTTTTATTTCTCATTATTTTTGAAAACAACATTTTTATTCTATTATCGCTCATTTGATGAGGTGTGAATGTATTACTCTTGAATTGTAAAAGATTTAAAGAATAAAAAAGAACAACACATCCTCCTCAATTTTCTTATAATATGGTTTTCAATACAAACTTAAGAAACTGAGAGCTAGGTACTTTATATGTAGTAGATAGTAAATAATCTAATATGCCTTGCTCGAGATCTAACAATGGAGATATTTAAAATGTTGCAAAAGTACATTTATCATAGTAAGAAAACAAAATCTTAAAAAAACTTTATTGAAAATATGATTAGGTATGTAAATCTTTGATGCTATAACAATTTTTCTTTTTAAATGCCATAATTGAACTCCTAGTCAAAACTAGAAGCATCTAAATCTTGCGTAGATTTGCATAACTAATTTATATTCTCAATTAGTAGATGTTCTAATACAAGTTTGAAAACATCATTCTCCGACGATTTTCAGTTTCCAGATGTATAAGGGAAGTAAAGACTCTTATGGACCAACACCTCGATATATAAGAGAAACCTTCAAATCAAATTTCATACACATGAAAATATAATTCAGTACGTCTTAGGTTCTCCTCCACAACTCTGCAAATACGAGTTGGAACTTAAAATAAAAAATAAAATAAAAAATCAAAGATTGAAAACAACGATGAAATATGAAAATTGAATAGTTTTAAAGACTTATGATTATGCATCAGATTGGTATATGTCAACGATGAAAGATGTGGTCTTAAATCTTTTAAAGTTGGTATATATATATATGTATGTCATATTTTCTACCAATTACTGTGTACGTGTTGGCTGTGTACTTGTGGTATCGTTCTCGAACCCGTAAAAGAAAGAGAGGAGGCAAAAATGCATCAGCTTGTGTTAGGGCTTGATGATAATTGATACACGTTTTGGGAAATCTACTTTTTCGTTTTGATAGAAATACAAAGACTTACATCGGTTCATGTCGTAAATAACAATAAGAATTTTGAGTTTCAAGAAAAATGTATAGAGGAGATCGAGTGAAGACGGTATAAATTAAGGTAAGACGAACATAAAAATTCAAAACTTCTCTTACACTAATCACAAAATTTAACTTAAAAGTTTCTTTTTAACTATAAAACTGAAATTTATTTGAAACATTACAAAAAGTAGTAGTATTGCAATGTGGAAGCTAATGTGATTCAGTTAAACAACAACTTTGTCCAAGATTGGTAAAGACTTGCATTTGGCAACTAAAGGTACAGCTTTAGGCATGGTAAGACCTTTTCCTTCCGACATGTCAACCACCACATCATCATCTCTCTCCCAATCAAAACATTGGATCAACGATCCTAAAGCCGAACCCAATACAAGTTGGGCAAGGCCCATACCTGGACAAGCCCTCCTACCAATTCCAAAAGGCAAAAACTTACCACGATGGGTCTCTGATTCAAACCTCTCCGGCTTAAAAGACTCAGGCTCATCCCATACCTTAGGATCTCTCTGAATAGCCCACGCATTTACTAGTAACCAAGTGTCACGTGGAATTTCATATCCAGCAACTTTAAAGTCAACGGATGATACGTGTGGAACAAGTAACGGTGCCGCCGGATACAAACGAAGAGTCTCTGAGACCACATTATTGAGATAAGTACACTTGGCTGCATCTGATTCCTCTAACACACACCTTTCTAACAAAACGTCGTTTAGTTCCATTTTCAATCTCTTTAACACTTCTGGATGGTTTAAGAGATTAGCCATTGCCCATTCTAACGTCACCGACGTTGTGTCTGTACCAGCTAGCAAAAGCACCTGCAACAAAATTCAAGAACTCTCTTACTTAATGATGACTACTCCAAAGCAACTAAAATTAAACATGTTCACGAACCTCTACGAGTCCTTTGATGATATCGTCTGTGTAATACTCAGGTTCTGAATCTTGAAGAGTAAGCAAATGAGCGATCATTGTATTCTCATACTCTGTTTTTCCTCTGTTTCTCCTCTGCTCATCGACCAAATCTTGAAAAAACTTATCGAGTTTCGCAAAGAGCTGCTTCATTCTCTTTATGTATCCACCGGAATCAAACATCTTGAGAACCGGGAGAAAATCTCCGACGTAAGTAACACCGGCGAGCTCGAACACATCTCTAATAAGCTCACGAACGTTCTTAGCTTCCTCGTTTTGCTCTCTTTTTCCGGCGATCATAGTCATCAAGATGTTAAACGTAAGCGTAGAAAGCAATGGTCTAAGACTCACTCTCACGTAACCATTTCTTGATCTTGATGTTGTTGTTGTCGCTACGTGAATGGTCCGAAGCAGAGCTCTCACTTCATCTCTACGAACCTCAGACGAGTCTCTGAGACGAGCAGGGGAGAAGATATCAACGGTGCAGAAACGTCGGAGTCTCCGCCAGTGTTCGCCGTACGGAGCTGAGCTAAACACCGTGTAGTTGTAAGAAATGATCTCGGTTAAAGTAGCCGGAGGCCTGTTGGCGAAAACGACATCGTTCTGGTGAGATAAAAACTCCTCCGCCGCGGAAGCTGACGTCACAACCACGACACGACGAGAGCCTAAGCGGAGAGAAAACACGTCGCTGCGGAGGTTTTGGGAGAGGTCACGGAGGCAACGGTGAATAGGTTCTTTGAGAAGGTGGATGTGTCCGATCACCGGGAAACCAACCGGACTTGGCGGTAAATTCTTGTTCTTTGATCGGAAAACATAAGCCACTGTGATGATAGATCCAACGGTGATGAGAGCGAGTAAAAACAAATCAATCGTCTCACTGATTTGTATACACATGATTTCTGGAGACAAGTCATAAAGGATAGGAGTCGAGTGGTTATTAAAGAGTGGTCTCACTCTTGTATGTATAATGACATGTTAAGTAGGCTGGGCCTAAAAATTAATCTACTTAACGCTAGGCCCATTAGTACTATTTTGTGTTTGTCTACCAATTAAGGTTTGGAATTGCTTCTAGAGAATATTAGTCATGATTTAATTTTTTTTTTTTTGGTAAAATAACAAAATATTAAGTTATATTACTGTATTTGGGACATCCTTTTTATTTTCGTAACTAGTACCTGAAAATAACTATGCATCACCAAGTTTAAGTAACTACCAAATGAGGATGGCTTCCTTGTATGTTTAGCAAATTTCCATGGCATGATTAATCCATTGAGTGTTGTTTATATATTTGTTCACAATTTTGTAGAGCTCTTGTGATTTGTAGCTGGATCTATATGTTTAAGTAGATTTGTCGGTATTTGTTGCTAGAAAGAGTGAGACATCCATCTATAAGATAAATTATATGCGGTTCTATATACAATATAGTAGTGATTAAAGTTAAAACATCTGAGATTTTGGACTGATGATCAAAGTTATAAACGAAAATAAGAATGTTCTCTTGTTTCTGTTAAAAGTAAAATTTAAACATAAAATTTTGGGTCACATACAAATATTGGAGTCAATTTACCTAATTAGTATATAACAAAACTGAAGTTATTTAATTGTTGACAAAAAAGTGAAGTTAATTATTAGACCAAACAAGACAGTAATTCATAAATCAAATATATAAAAATTGATAAATTAGTATTGCATGAAAATATAGTAATGGTAAGAAACTTATTAACTTTCTTCCTCTCAATACACATCTCCTAACCAGAGGTGGTAGGCTAGTAGTTCTAGTCTGGTGGAAGAGTCGCCCTGTTGGTCTAGGCCAGGGATCGATTCTCCCCAGACGCAGAATTACTAGCTTTATCCCTTTGGTCACATGGGTATGGCCCTCTTGTTTAAGGCCCATTTGAAAAACTGGGGGGACCCTACCCGTGGGATACCTTCTCTCCAGAGATTAGTCTCGGATCCTTCCATAGCTCCGGGGATTTACCCTGAGTAATCAAAAAAAAAAAAATACACATCTCCTAATTTTTAGCTTAAGAGGTGACCATACCATACCATTTCTTTCCTACTCCTTTTTCAAAACGTCTCTCTTCTTCTTCTCCTTTTGGTGGCTTTGAATACCGTGTATGCTAGGAATGTTAATAGTGACTTGAGATATAATGGATATGCCTCAGGAGACACACGGGAAAACGGCCAATTCCCCCACAAACTATGTTACTTTATCGCATTCACACACATAACTTTGTCGCGTGCCTATAACTATATAAATTTGTATTAAATTTGAATTTTCTACATGGACAAAACAAATCTGGTCTAAACCCACAAATCTCTAAACGACGTTACTATTCCGTTAAGAGAAAGATGACTAGGATGCCACGTGGATTGAAAAGAAAAAATAAGGAAAAAATTAATTAACCCAGGTTCGAACCAACTACCTTTCACACAACTTAGCAGATGTAATACCACTACACCTCCTTCTAATAATGATAGTTATCTAAATGGATATATACATATACAATAAATACAAAATGACAAAACTAAAAAAGAAACTCATCTCTCTTTGCTGTCTCGATTTCTTCATCTCCTCTCCACCATCATCACTCGTTCAACTCCAGCGAGAAACTGAAAAGTTTTTCTCTTAATCAAACTTGAATATCAATTTTTATTTTTATTTTCCTTTTGCGAAATCCAGTTGAATCAAATCTGATATGATCAACCAAAGAAAACCCAGTTTTTAGTCCAATAAATTATATGTGATTAGGAGATCGGAGAAGAGAAAACAATTAAAGGTTTTACCCCATTGTTTTTAATTTTCATTCTAGATCTACGACACAGAGATCACATAAAGACCAAAATTCAGAGAAATAAACCAAAAAATAAGTTCATTAACAGATTTGAGAAACAAAAAAAATTAACTAGATGATGAGAATAAGAAAGCGAAGTCATTGGAAACATAAAAAAGTGAACGGAAGGTGACAGATTGATCGGAGAAGAAGAGTCGGCGATGCACCTATCTACTCGACCTAATCTATGAGAAACAGATAATCGTTATATATAAATGTATATTTGATTGTCAATGTACATATAATGGTGTTGGCACAGTTGGTACTACGTAAGCGATATTGAGTAGTAAGTCAAGGGTTCGATTCTTAGATATGTATTATTTTGTTTTTTAATAATACGACGTCGTTTTGGTGTTATCAAATCCACGTGGCATCCTAGTCATCTTTCTCTTAACGGAATAGTAACGTCGTTTAGAGATTTGTGGGTTTAGACCAGATTTGTTTTGTCCATGTAGAAAATTCAAATTTAATACAAATTTATGTAGTTTTAGGCACGCGACAAAGTTATGTGTATGAATGCGATAAAGTAACATAGTTTGTGGGGGAATCGGCCGTTTTCCCGGAGACACACCATCGAAGAATGCATAATCGCAGATATCGAGGAGAATGATGCGAAAGACTTGAGGCGGTGGTGTAGGATCTCAAAAATCTTAGAGCAGGGCCATTGGTATATCTAACTAGAGTCCCCTACAATTTTTTTTTTTTTAATAAAAAATTTGGGAAGTTATTTGCTAGTCCCACTAATACGAGATGGTCCGCGAATAGTTGACTTCTTTTTTTTTAAATCTAAAAATAATAATAATAAAAATTTCTGGGACAAAAAGAAGTTTCAACCAATACATATAGTATTAGGCACAAATGGCTTTAAGAAAATCCATTCCCTTTAAGTTGTAAGGCTTCTCTTATGGAGCTGCGATGGTGAAACATGTACCAAAGTAACATAATTGTCAGGATTTATGTCTTTTAGAGTTGTTGGCCAAAAATTAGAGAAAATAATTGATTCGAATTAGGTCCTTATGCGGTTTTGATTAGTCTTTGGTGCAGTAAAAATCATAACTACGGTAAATATCTCATTGCATTGATAAATCTTACCTTCATACGTGAAAACATAAATTTTAACCCTTATTTTTACGCGGAACTTTATCTATATATGGTTGTTATTGGAACTATAGAAGAGTAAACTAACCGACCAGCAGCAACTAGCAAGCAAGTGCAATTAGCATAATCATATATTAATGGACGCATGTTCTCCACTAACCAAATTCTCTCATCTTTATGACTCCATCTGTACGTAATCAATCTTATCTTCATACTCCCTAGTATTGTATAAACTGCAGTATGTATTATTAACGTGATAAAATATAATTATTAAGAATATAAAACTAGTTATACAAAATTAATTGTAATGAAACAATACTAGCTTAACAATACTAGTTTTTCAAACATAATGCAAAACTAAAATTGTAAATTTCACAATCTATTTGTAACATAAATAATATTAAAATAATAATAAGATATTAAGAATGACTTTTAAAGTACTTAAGAAAGACTTTAAAGTTTATACACATCAAAATTTATAAAAGATTTATTGAATATTTTTGGAAAAAAAAAAAATTTAATTTAAAGTTATTAGAAAGTGATAAAGGATAACAAGTTGATATAAAAGAAAAGTTGATTTTTTAAAAAGAAGAATAGACCCATATGAGTGATAGCCCTCAGTCATATTTTCTACCCAAACAAGGAAAGTTGGTGAACTATGTCTATATATGATTCCACTCCAAGTCCTCTTTCATACTCACAAAATCAATATTACTTACTCATTTTTCTACTAAAACACTCTTAACTATGACAAAACAAATGTACAAACAAGTACTCTTCTCCTTCATCGTCTTGACTGTTTTACTTTACCAATCCAACACCGTCTCATCTTTCCGAAAATTCCACCTAGCTAAACCATGCAAGCGTTTCGTCTTGCACCTCCATGATGTTACCTTCGATGGCGATAACGCGGATAACGCCACTTCAGCAGCAATTGTGAACCCTATAGGACTAGGAGGCTTCAATTTTGGGAAGTTTTTGATCACGGACAGTCCTTTGACAATGGACGAGAACTTTCTCTCGGAACCGGTGGCTCGTGTTCAAGGCTTTTGGTTCGTCCACGGTAAGACGAAATTCGACACTTGGCTCGCTTGGTCGGTGGTGTTCAATTCAACAAAACACAAAGGGTCGATTAACATGATGGGTGAAAATCCGATTATGGAGCCTAGTAGAGATGTATCGGTCGTTGGTGGCACTGGTGACTTCATCATGACTCGTGGGATTGCTACGATCACGAGCGATGCCGTTGAAGGTAATAAGTATTACCGTATCAAAATGGACATTAAACTCTATGAATGTTACTATTAGAGCTACTAATACATTTATGTCTCGGCTGTGGTGTTTCGGAATTGATATATCTTTTGGGTTTGATGTTTGTCTCTTTTGGCATTTATTTGCATTTTTCTTTTCTTTATTGGTGTTGTTCCAAGTTCCAACAAATGTCTTAAGTAAAACTGTGGTAACAAAAGAGTCCTTGTATTTCTTATACCAAGTTTTAAACATACAAATGGGCTAAAACTATTTAATGTATATCGTATATATACAAATACTATATAAAATGAAGTAGGATGACAAATTCGGACTTTTAACGTGAGCTTTTAACACAAAACCAATTGGCAATTAGTAGATTGACCATAACCCTATATATATTAGTTGATGTATTCTCCAATTACCGATGTGGGACTTTATTTTATATCACCCCTTCACGCTCAGAATAAATGTAACGTGGACATATGTGGGATTTGACAACCATGGGGTGGAACAACAATCAGGTGGCTCTGGTACCATGACAAATTCGGGATTTAACATGGGCTTCTAACACAAAACCAATTGGCGATGAATAGATTGACCATAACCATATATATATATATATATATATATTACTTGATATATTCTCCAATTACCGATGTGTGACTTTACTTCATATCATAGGATAATAAGAAAAATGGAAAAAGAATAGTATTGAAGCTAAGTAATCTAAAATGAACCAGTCCGATCCAAACCAACGAAAGTAAAAGTTGAACGAGATAGGATGCATTTCACCATAAACCAAAAGTTATAAGGAAATAGAAAACAACACTCAAATAATATAACCAAAGATACAACAACAGGCGACAAAGAAGGTTACATTGTATTGGTTAAAAAGACAGCCAATTAAGAAAACAAGCTCTCTATGTATTAGGCAATGTAAACGTAAATTTAGTCAATGTAAATGTTCATATATTACGATTGTAATTCTATATATTTATGAGTCCCTAATAAGAGAGCACTCCAAAGGAGTTTTATCGATTCTAACATGGTATCAGAGCTCACTAAAGATTTTTTGTCTTGGTTGGTAGAACAGAATAACAATATAAAAAAAAAGCTTTGATTATCTCTTTGTCTTGGTTGGTACTTTAATGGAGATAAACCATAGTCGTGCTTCCATAGTCTCACTATCAACTCTTATGATAATATATATGTTACCAATTTGAAGTTTAATATCTAACATTATTTTTGTGACCAAAATAAGTTGAAAGCATGGACAAAAAAGCATAGCTAGTAAGTGATGTACTGGTTGGAACAGCACTGTGGCACTAATTATAAAGTCCTTTTAATTTATGTGCACCAATAAGATTTATACAAATATTTTTTTGAAATGGAATTCCAACATATAGAAAGGTTTACTATAATCTGTATGTTCTTTAGATATATGCACATGAAAAGATAATACATGGGTTGTTGGCCTCTGCATGCATTATCTTATTGCATCAAAATAAACTATTTCACTTTATGTTCTCAAAAAGTGGACTCAATGAGTAATGTTCCTTGCAACTTTGATGAACTTAGCGTTAGAATCTCCGTGATCGATGGATACGTTAGTCCAAAAAAAAGATTTTTTTTATTGAGATGATTGACAGTGTATTATGTGAGGATTCACTTATTAATTTGTGATATATATGAAGATTTTCATTAGCTCATATATAACCAAAAGAAAAGAAACAAAAAATAAGCATGAGAATACTATATATAAATGTACGCATATACATATATAGGTAGATTTTTGTTTTTGCTATATAATAATATTTCTTTTAAAATTATGTTAGTTTTTCACATTATAAAAATTTGGTCAAATGGAACACAACATTAAAAACCCCAAAAAAAAAAAATCTGATAAAGGGTTTTCATGATTTTTTTACCAATGTATGGTTATACTTAAGAGGGATTATTGTTGAATTTGCATCTAGTCACCCAAATCTTTTGAATTTTTCATTCTCTTAATGGCTTGGTAGATTTGCATTTAAAAATAAATTGGCCACTTGAGAAATTTGACATTTATGAATATTTTTTTATAACATACATTCTTTGTAATAACAAACACTAAACTCCAAAAATGGAACAAAACAACTGAAACATAATGTGTAATTTTTTTTTCCAGATCTTTAAATATCCTAAATTTAAACACATGTAAACCAAAATGGCAAAATCCATTAGTGCCATTAAAAATAGGACTTTTCACTAATAAAAACTACTACTAAGAAAATTTTCCAAAATATCTTCTTTTTTTTTGGATTTTGACGAGACACACGAAGGATTATTTCCCAACCACTGCTTGTTGGAAGAGAACATATAATCTAACTGAATTTGTAATGGTGTGGATCCAGTAATTTTACTAATCCAGAAGCATCTGTTACTAACTAACATTTGGTAATTAGATTCATTTATTAAACCTACTACCATATAAATTGACATATATCAAATAAAATGGTCAACGTAGGGCATGTTCTTTGTTAATCGCTAAGATAGCGACATCGACAATTCAAAATGACGGTGGATGCAAAACTAGATAGTGATGGAGATGACTCTGTAAAAATTTGGAAGTGTGACACAGCGACGGAAGAATTTCTAAAAAAACCAAGCATTTAGAAAACAATTACAAATCATCAACTACAAAATAATCAGCTACAAAATAATCAGCTGATTTTCTTAAAAATTGCGTTGTTCGTTCATTTTCTCTTGTTTAGCGATCTCTTATATTGTTCGATATATATTTATCTCTTGTTTAATCAGCGACAAAAAAGTTAATGATTTCTTGTTGCGTTCCATATATATTTATTTCTTGTTTAATCAGCGACAAAAAATTAGCGATCTCTTGTTTTGTTCCACATATATTTATTTTTTTCATCGATATATTTTGGGTACTTAGTTTCTAATTGAGAAGATCTCTTCTTCTAATTAAAGTGTCTGATTGGAATATATAATTTGTTAATTTCAATTCATATATACATGACAAAAAAAAATGAAATAGAAAATCAAAGTTTCTCTTTTTTTTTTCTTTTTTTTTTTGTAAAAAATACAAAATCAAAGTTTCAATCACATGTGACATGACAAATTTTTTTTTTATTACTATGATCATTTTGATCTTGCGAACCCATTATAAATAATGCTACGTCACTTGTAGATTATATTCCTTGTTTTTCTTTTTTTAATGATCATTTAATATATCACTATGTGTTTGGACTTTTGTATAGTTAGGTAATCTAAATTAGCAAATGATTAAACAAATAAAACTAACAAGGGAGCAAACACAAGTTACGAAATAAGACAAGTGAGAAGACAAAAAACAAGAATACATGAGACAAAAAATGGAAAATACGAAGTAGAAAAAATGAAAAGACCAATTAGAAAAAAAAAAAATTAAAGAAAATGAAAACGACAATCTAACAAATACAACCGGCATAACAAAAGCATAGTTTATTTTATTTTGGTTAGTTAACTAAATCTATATATTTTTCAGGTTAGTTTTGCAAATTTCACTATTAGTCTATTATTAAAGTGGTGAATGGTGTGATCTGTCATGATACACATGTATCTCATGGTAATGCTAAACTTAAAGTTCTTTTTTTTTTTCCAACAACAATATTATACAGTATTACATTATGTATATAAAAGATAAATTGTCGTTGGATGGAACAATTTTTTCAATTTATGCTTTAGCATTTGCTCGTCAAAAAACTAATGATATCGTAGAAGTTTTTTATATAAAGACTTTCAAAAAAGGCTGGTAAATATTATGTTGTATAAATTGCAGTTTGCATGTATCATTATTAATAAGTTTAATGTAATTATTAACAATAAATTTTTATAATTTTTTATTAATTAATAAATACTAGATTAAGCATAGTAGATTTGCTTCAAAGAAAATCTTTCATACTGAAAATAATAATAATAAATTAATTAACTAAATTTAACACAATAATAATAATTAAATAAAACTTGATCTTGATCCTAATATAAATATGCACACATATCTCAAACCAAGTTTTGCAACTACATAAATATAAATAAAATAGAGAATTTTTGAGAAATACCCATTTTAGTTTACCCCTTTTTAAAAATACCCCTCTTTTCTATCCATTTTCAAAAATACCCCTTTTCAAATATGAAAAATTATAAACTTTTATATGGTTGATAAGGTATATTAAGATCATTATTAGTACTCGGAGACTAAATCCAAATATTTAGATGGTTTTAAAAGGTTCTAAACGGTATTTATATGGCTTTTATAAGGTTTTTAAAAGGTTTACAAAGTTTTTATAAGCTTTTTATATGATTTTTAAAAGGTATTTATATGGTACATATGAAATATATATATAAATTTACACACATGTAAAGATAATTTGTATCTATAAATATAAGTTTATACATATTTTTTTGATAAATTTCAAATTTTATAGTGGCTTTTTGATAAAATTAGAAAGAGGGGTATTTTTAAAAAGTGGTATTTGAAAAGAGGTATTTTTGAAATTCCCCCAAATAAATATAAGGGGTGTATTCAAATTAGAATTTTAAGTGATTTGTTTAAAATATACAAATCCTATGTTATTCAATAATGGATTTTAAATCTTTTAATGAATCCAGTTTTATTGAACTAATGATTTAGAGGGTGTTATTAGTTGTTTAAGTTAAATTCAACTACATTAGATTTTAAAATTCATAAGACTTTTAAAATCTGGGTTCATTGAGACTGATTTATTATCCATTCTTTAAATCAATGGAAGTGTATTTAAACTGACACATGATATCTTTTGATTTTGAACAATAGAATTGAATTTTATAACAAATGATTTTACAATTTTCAATGAAATTATACCAAACTTTTACCATCACGTATTTTTTTCCCATTTCAAATTTCTGTATTGAAGTCTTAACATATCTTTTAAAGATGAAAATTGTTTGTTTTTTTTTTTGTTAAAGTGATCAAATGAATCATACAACAACTGTTAAAACAATATACACATTAACTAGGGATTAAAAAAAAAAGACTGGAAAAAAATGATAAAGAGAGATACATATGTGTTGGGTCATGGGTGAATGAGTTTGCAAATATTGATAACGTACGTGTATTACGTTAAATGAAACTTTTATTAATTTATTAGATTGTCAAATCTCATGTTAGAAGGTTGGTTTTGGGATTGACATAATTTACACATGAAATCAGTTTCAGATTCACTCAAAGCTTTTCAAATGAAATCATTTTTGTAAATCCACCAAACTTGAATAACATAAGACTTTAGTTAATAATTGTAAGTATAAGAACCAATAACACTAGATTTTAAACACTTTTAATGAAGATTTTGCAAATATAAGAACCAATAACACTAGATTTTAAACTCTTTTAATGAAGATTTTGCAAATATAAGAACCAATAACACTTGATTTGAGTAAAGTATTTAAAATCATTGATTAAATAACATTAGACTTGGGTTAGAGTTAGACTCTATTAAAATCCATTATCCAATAACACCCACTTAGAAATCTACCTTAAAATCATTGTTATAGAAAACAGTTTGTGGATTTGATTTTTAATGATTTTTAATGATTTGAGAGGATTTTGTTTGTTAAAAATATAGAACTGTAAATCTCATGATTTTAGGTAGGATTTGAAATGATTTTATAACAAATGTAAATTTTCTTAAAATCATCAAAATCATAGAAAAACTCACCAAAAGTCTAGTCACTTACACTAGTATAGTTGAATATGATATTTTCCTTGATTACACAAAGTGAAATCCTAAAATTAAGTTTACTTCATGATTGGTTAAAACTTTTGACATAACTACTATTAATTCATGATTCGTTAACACTTTTGACATAACTACTACCAAAAGATACACTTAATAGTCATGCTTATGGGTACTACTACCAAAAAGAATCATCTTTATTTACTGCCAATTTGGGAAGCTAGAGTTTGTAGATTCAAGATCAAGTATTTAATTTCAATAACAGTAGTAAATCAAACATTAGTCAACCCAATAATAATTATTGAATCATCCACATGATTTTGAAATCTTTAAATTTCTATTATAAAATACACCAGTTTTGGCAGTCTAGATCAACCACCCAATTATAGATGTCTCTCACTATTTTTTTTATATTTTTAATACCCAAAAAGGAAAGCACGTGAATCATTCTCTATAAATAGAAGTTCCTAGAGCACTCTTTCATACTCACAAAATCAACAATACTTGCTCATTTCCTACTAGAACACTCTTAACTATGGCAAAACAAATCACCAAACAAGTCTTCTTCTCCTTCATCTTCTTGTCTGTCTTACTTTACCAATCCAATGCTGTCCCATCTTTCCATCGCAAATCACTCGACCTAGCGAAACCATGCAAGCGTTTCATCGTCCACCTCCATAACGTTGCTTACGATGGTGATAACACGGCTAACGCGACGTCAGCCGCGATTGTGAACCCTATAGGACTAGGAGACTTCAACTTCGGGAAGTTTATAGTCATGAACAACCCTGTGACAATGGACGAGAACTATCTCTCGAAACCGGTGGCTCGTGTTCAAGGCTTCTTCTTCTACCATGGTAAGTCACAATACGACACTTGGCTCTCTTGGTCCGTAGTATTCAATTCAACAGAACACAAAGGGCAGTTGAACATGATGGGTGAGAATCCGTTTATGGAGCCGACCAGAGACATACCGATCGTTGGTGGGACTGGTGACTTCATCATGACTCGTGGGATCGCTACGTTCACGACCGATCACATTGATGGAAACAAATATTTCCGTATCAAAATGGATGTTAAACTCTATGAATGTTACTAAGATCGTGTCTCGTGTTTGATATTTTTGAGTTTGATGTTTTGTTTGTTGCAATTTTATTTCATTTCTAAGTATCGAAGTTGATGTTGTTTCAAGTTCCAATAAATATAGTATTATTGTAAACGAGCTCTTTAATAAAATAGTCTATGATTAAACCTTTTTCTTGCGTATCTAGAAAATTAATTATTATATATGTTATCTAATTAATGACAAGTTTGATCTTTTATCATCACTAGCATTTATCCTTTTTGTTGTCATCTTTTAAATTATTTTATATTTGACGCAAAAGACTACAAGTTCTTAAAACTCCATTAAATTTTAACCAAAATTTTAGATGATAGAATTATTAACTAAGTTTATACAAATACACTGGTACATTTTCAAATTTAGCCATAATCCTCTCGATTCTTAATTAAGCAGTCCCGATACGTTACCATCAGTGTACTTAAAAGGCCAATGATTCTCTACGTTAGTTTCGTAACATTACTTTTTCTTGCTTGTGACCAAAAAGGTCAAAAACTAGTACTGGTTAGACTTTTTGTTAAATTTGCTGCACACTGTGGCCAGTAATAAAATCGCTTTTTATTTTCACCTACTATGATTTTGTGGTTGTTATCAATTGCTTGCACATGTTCAATTATACAATACTATATAGAAAGCTTTAATTAACTCTACATATATATATATACTATAATGTGCAAGTTCTTTGGGGGACACATGAAAAGATGTATTAGCTAGTCCTCTGGAGGCCTTCTGCGTCAAAAGAACTAGTATTTCACTTTATGTCCTGAAAAAGTGGACTCATCACTGATTCTTGAAATATATTATTGATTGCAACTTTAAGATTTCCGTAGTATAAAATGAAACTCGAGTACCCTTATCATTTCACTAATAGAAAGACGAACATAAGTTATCTTTGATGAACTTGGATAGATTTCAGAAGTTATCTAATTCCCTTAACCTCAAAGAGAAATGATACGCAATCTTTGGCAATACTTAAGGAGTTGCACCGTATATACGAGAAACTGTATTCGAAAATATAAGGTAATTAGTTTGGAAGTTTCTATAACTCTTAAGACCATTCATTGTTGCATATTGTCTATTTGTTGATACATTTTCACCTTCACGTAGTTGATTACAATGTATATATAGGCATACGTGGATTATTTACTTGATGACAAACTTATGTTTTTGCAAACTTATATATGTATTTGTAAATTTTTTGTATATATATTGTAAAAATAATTGTCTACCAAAACTAAAATAAATATGTGACATAAATCTACGATATAGTTTAATTACAACTAAAAACGTTATTCTAGCCTAATAATATTTTGCTAATACGATTGTCAAAACCCATATAATGCATATTGTAAACAAAAAAAAAAGAGAGTAAAAAATAATAATGTACCATGAGTCCATCACCATGAAATAGCTAGAGAAAATTATAAAGACTGCTATGTACAGTAAAAAAAACTTGTAAGAAATGTCATTTTGAGAAACCTCTTCTCCCGCCTGCCACAAGAGTTCTACCAAAAGACTAATGTATCCCTGGACGAATTGGCTGCTCAATGTCGTGACTGTTCAATTTTTTTTTTTTTTTTTTGTTTTTTTCATTTTCTTTTTCTTCTTCCAACAACAAACAATTCCAGCAGACCAGGTCCGACGGACGAACTCCGGCGGACAAACTCCGACAGACCAGATTCGACAGACCATAACTAACGGACCAGAGTCGACAGAGCAGATCCGGCGGACCATAGCAATTCTGGTCCAGATTCGGCAGACCAGATTCGACAGACCAGTTCTGACAAACCATAACTCCAGCGGACGAGTTCTGGCAGACCACAGTCAATTCTGATGAAATATAACCAGTTCAAGCAGACCAGATTCGGCGGACCAGTTTCGACCAACCAGAAAGACGAGTTCCGATAGACTAGATCTGGCGGACGAGTTCAGGCGGACCATAGTCAGTTCCTACGAACTTTAACCAGCTCTGGCAGAGCAGATTCGACGGACCAAATAAACCAGTTACGATAGACTAGTTGTGGCAAACCAGATCTGGCGAATCATTTTCTGGCGGACAAAAACTAGTTATGATAGACTTGTTCTAGGTGACAAAATCCGGCAGACTAGTTATGGTGACCTGATTCGGTGGACCAACCAGACGATGAAACAAGTGATGCGGTTATTATACTATGGACAATACATTTTTCTGTAGATGGACAAGATTCGGTGAACCAATTTTGGTCGACTAGTTATGGCGGATCAGATGTAATGGACCAGATCTTGTGGACGAGATCTTTTTTTTTTTGTCTATCGTTTTTTGTCTCTGCTCCTTCACCACCCCCAACTTCCATAAAATATCTCTACTCGTCCTCCATTAGCACCCACCAATTTGTACAGATCTGGTTTACATTATGCCCTTAAATAAATCAAAACTTTGTTTGTGTTCTTCTATAGAACGTCATTGGTGGACACACATCAGAGTTGTCTCTTGAATTCTGTCAAAGTAAGTTTTCGATGGACCACATCTACTTTATATTTTTTGTCCATCATATATTACATACTCGTCCGTTATTTTTGATATAGTCCATTATCCACAGGATATTAAGCTACATCCTAGCAATTAATGGCCTACTGCTGCAAACAGAAAAACAAAGTTTCACTCTTTATCTTTTGTGGCATGTTTTGAAAGAGACTTTTGTTAATGGCAGTATTACAAATTTGAGTTTCAAAAATGGCATACTTAACAAAATTCCCAAATAGCTACTTCAATAATTATATTTACAAATATGTCCAGTTTGATTGAAGACTTTTTTTTTTTAAGTCTGCAATGTATATTACATATTTTTTAGAACTGCGTCGCATTGAGAAATAACTATATGTAATATACACTAGATAGTACCCGCGTTAAGCACGGGTTAAACTTTATTTTATAACAAAATTTTGTATATTTAAACATTATAGAATGTTATATTAGTTTTAAACATTTTATTTCACATGTCGTTATAGGAATCATATAACTCATTCTTTTTAACCTGTTTGTTATAAATTATTTGGAAAATTTTAATTATACTATTTTGTAACTTTTTGATATGTTAAATATTAATCATATTCTTTTACTTTTGTAACGGATATTAATTAATATTCTCTTATTTTTGAATGTATGACATAAATTGCATGCAAAAATGCATGATATGTGATATGATTAACACATACCTTTCTAACTAATCAAGAGACAACTTCAACCTTTAAAATTTTGAAAACAGATCAAATTCATCAATATCTTTTCAAATGAAGAATATTATTCTCCATTAGTTTTCCCAAAACAGCTCTCTTCCTTTCTACATGAACAAAGACTTTTTCCTCTAATGTGAATGGATTTTCTTACAGCTAGGTATCGGAGACTCCAACATATTCAGAGAATAACCTTAGTGAGATCTGTTCGAAGACTTAACAACGCGAGGAGCACTAATCTTGTGATCGGAGGATATGAGTTTCTCAGGTAAATAGTTTTAAAACTGATTAATAAATAATATAACCTTTGTTAAACTGAATATTTGTTTTATGAAATCATATATGGGTTGACCCATAAACTGAGGTGAACGATTGATTGAAGTACCCTTAATGAATCGATTTTAATTAGTCTTTGTTATGTTTATTCTAATGGCAGTTTAATGTAAAAAATTACCCTTCAGAAGGTTCTTTATATAATGTACTTCCGAAATAATAACTAGGGGATGAGAAAACATTTTGAAGCAAAAAATGTACCAGAGAAATAAGTATGTGAATTTTTTTGTTCTGTTAATTTCAAATAAATATACGTAAAATAAAATAAATATAATTTACAAATCTGGCTGAAATTAAGTATACGAAAATTAATTTGTCAAGGAAACAAAACTACAAAAAAGTGCGGAAAATTAAGAAATACTGTGCAAATGTATTTTGCATACTTATTGGGTTCTGAACCAAATTTAGCGGCATTGTTATCAATTTATGTTGACTTTTGTCTCTAAATATATATATATATAAAGATTTAAAGCCAAGTGCTTTTGGATTTGGACTCAAAGATTTGAGTTTGAGATACGTTTTGTAATAAGCGCAAATTTTTTGTGTCAAATTTAATTTTTTAAATGGAATTTGGATTTAGAAAATACTGCATGAGCAAGGTGAACAGATCAATAGGAGTCATGTTATGGCTATGATTGGTTTTGGCTCAGAGATTGTCGAGGCTCCTGATTTGGTTGGAGGAGATAGATTCTCGGTGGTCGGTTTGCTAGGAATGGGTTCTGACTTCTCGGAACCGGTTGTCGGACGATTGGGTATTCCGGGAAGAGTGTAGCAGGTTGGTGAGTCGGCGGTTTGGTTTCAATGGTGGGATCCGGATTCTTCCACCGGCGTACCTCTTCCCCTCGACCTTGCAGCAACGCCGTGCTCCTTGAATCCGCCGGTGCTAGCGCTCTGATTCTCTGCCTCCGGTTATACATCAAGATCCGATCCTCCGATCTCTTCTCCGGCGAGCTCTCTGACGTCCTTTTTGGGTAGCCAAAGTTTCGTTTTTTCTGTAATCCGATATCGGCCCGTTAAGGACCCAACCCATTAAGAAGTTTTTATTTTAAAAAAATATATATATATTTTTTAAATATTTTAAAAATATATATATATATTTTTTAAATGGAATTTGGATTTAGAAAATGCTGCATGACCAAGGTGGATCTCACTTTACCCTGCGTAGTTGGATTGAGTTTTGGATTGAGACATGCCGATTTAATGATTAAGACCTAAAACAAGTAACATCTATAGGGATTTCATTAAATATATATTTTTAACTTGAAAAAAGAACATCTTCCCAATCCCAACTATATATTTTCTTCTTCATCTTTAAGGTTTTTTTTTTTTTTTTGTCCCAACAAAACAAGAAACATAAAATGTGGAAGCCAGAAATCTTGAATGCCTTGGGAAGTCCCTCTGAAAAAAGTTAAAGTCATAGGAGTAAACTATCTTTTTGTTTCAACTGATTTACGCCGTGGAAGGTTTTGGGATTTTTTTCAATTTAAACCTATGTGTGTTTGGAGTTTTTACAGGAATGT